TAGGTATCTGTAATTCGTTCTAATATTCATTTAGCTATATACAGATTGAATGATCATATCTGTTGACAGATTTGAAAAGAAAAACAAAAATACATGTACACTAGCACTGCCCGCGGCTCCGCCCGCGTTCAGATGACTAAAAACCAAATTCTTAGGTTTTACATATTAGTATACTCTTACATGCAGTTTTTGTATTTTTTCTCAGAAATGAGATATTTTCCCGCGGTAAAAAGTATCCTATATGTTGACCCGGATAACCAGATATCATCATGCATATGCATATATGCATGCATATGCATACCAAATTTCATGAAAATCCCTCCAGTGGTTTTTCTGTGATGCGGTAACAAACAGACAGACACACAAGAATTCTAAAAACTATAGATTCGGACTTTGTATCGATAATAATGATTATTTCAATAAGATAATTCAATATATATATATATATATATATATATATATATATATATATATATATATATATTTTTTTATTTGACTCAGAATTTTATTATATGTATAAGATATATCTAGAAAAAAATCTGCTCCCTTTATAATGTGGCGACCCCAGTAACGTGCCCGAGCGTAAAACCAAATGAAGCGGGTTCAAATATTTGTTCCCGCACGTCTTATATGTTCATGTGTGAATCATTTTCTACATGATTACCACTCACTTAGCGGGGAAGGAAAACATCGCTAGGAAACCCACATATCTGAGAGAATCTAACTTGTTTTCAAAAGTCATGCCCTTGACCAATGTTATGAAGTATGATCTAACCCCCTCGCATTCTTCAATTCACGAGATGCTACGGTCCTCTCTGTAATGCTTTCCCAGCGGTGGGACATTAAAAAGGGCTGAATAAGAATACGTGTCCAGTGTCATATCCGTTACATTGGAATTCAATTAAAAATGAATTTGGTTGTCAACCTTAACGTATCGCCGGCTAAGGGAATGTTGCCATGAAATTGTCAGACCATAAACGGTGTGAATACGACACGCGATCCGACCGCTTTACAACGTATAATTGTGATTTATACCTACAAGTAGTAGCTTTTATAAGCTTATTTTAAACACCTGTCAATATATGTTTATGTATCTAGGAATATATATAAAAAATAATAAATGTATATATAATATTTTAAAGCTTAGACTAAACTTGAGAATACGATATCATCGTTAGTCATCTTTCATTTATATTTTAACTGTGTGTGTGGAATACTAGTGATCTGTCATTACTTTGCTTTAATGGGTCTAAGAAAATTTCAACTGAATATTATCATATTATGGAAACACAAAATAATATACCAACATCAGTTACGTACTTAAATAAAAATAGCCTAAGTCACTGTATGGACCTAAAACTTTCGATATAAGAAATAACATCGACCAGTTGCTCTGTTTCTGCGTAAAAAAGTGTAAGCCTTCAAACTTTATATAAGATACTTGCTAATCATCGACTTAACCTCACTTTACTGGCTTTGATAGCTATAGGTATAACAGTAGCCTTCGTGTTACTCCAACTTATACATGACCTGGAATAACACGTCTGTATTAAATTTCAGTCAAATCTGCCTAACCGTTTTAGCGTGAAAAAAATAAATAAAAAAGGAAGTAACAAACGAAAGGGCAAACTCGCTAGATCTAAGACCTTATCTATGCCTTCGAGGTAAGATGAAGGTCAAGAGTAAGCCCATTTCTGATAAAGAAAAGGATAATGAAAAATTGACAAACACACACACATGCAAACTTTCGCATTTATAATAATAGTACCTAGTTTCATTCTCCATATTTGAAATACATTTTTGTTTGAATGAATACTGTACATTGTACAATTAAAAAAAGAGTAGCTAAATTTAATGGGTATTTCTCCGAGATTGCGTCCTTCATCTGATTAATCTGGCCAAAAATTATTTTCATTTTTGGCTCTATATTCAACATACTCTTATGATTAAAGACATGCCAAATAGTATTTGGCATGTCTTTGCTTAAAAATCTAACATATTAACAATAAGATTGGCGTTGGTCACCAAAACTAATTTTCAGCCATTCTAGAATGTACTATATTAATATTATTATACTTTCCACCAAAAGACTGCCATGCCATCCATACATTAAAGTTATTGTTATTCTAAAGCTAAGAACTAAATAACGTCTATAAATAATACCGTGTTCCTAAAAAAAGTTCCTTTTACAATATACCTATCTAATATTTCTCGCAATATTCTCATTGAAATCTGCTTAGAAATTTCATAAAAATGATAATAATGGGAAAAACATATACATATTATATAAAAACTCAAAATAAAAAAATCATCTATTTAAAAGCAATTAATATTCCAACTTCTGTACTTACTCTGTCAATGCAAGCACATCATAATATTAGGACTTTATGAGTCAGCTAAGTGATATGCATTCCTAGATGGCTATATTGTATAGTTACATGGTATACATAAATAAATAAATATATATATATGTGTGTGTATATATATATATATATATATATATATGTATATATAACTAGTATTGCCCGCGGCTCCGCCCGCGTTCAAATGACTAAAAACCTAATTCTTAGGTTTTACATTATTAGTATACTCTTACAATGCAGTTTTTGTATTTTTTCTCAGAAATGAGATATTTTCCCGCGGTAAAAAGTATCCTATATGTTGACCCGAAGAACCAGCTATCATCATACCAAATTTCATCAAAATCTGTCCAGTGATTTTCTCGTGATGCGGTAACAGACAGGCAGACGGACAAAAATTCTAAAAACTATAGATTCGGACTCTGTATCGATAATAATGTCTATTTCGATTCGATTTTCCAATAAATATTTAATGTACAGATTCGACTTAGTTACAATTTTATTATATGTATAGATATAGTACGTAACTACTTTTAACTAAGTTCATAACTTACTGATTTAAATACCACTCAGATCTGAAAACATCTGTCTAATGATGATTTGAATTTGATTTGACGAAACATAACATAGTGACTTTAAACAATAACAAGGTTTTACATTAAATTATAATTCATTTCTCCTAAATCCTTTAGCGATATGTATTTTTTTAATGAACATTAATATTTTATGGGTTAAAACATTACTTTATTAATTAATATTTAACATTTAAAATATTTAGTACGACTACCTAGTAGGTACTTATGGTATTATGACGGTTAGGCTCTTCTGATAAGGCTGACATAGGTCTTTTTCCTAAATACTATTATAAAATAAATAATAATATAATAGTTACTGCTAAGAATGATATAAGAAATAAGTCACTTTAACTTTAACGGGAACTAACTTTGCAGCAGTAGTCTTATACTTTGCAAACGTGTATGTAAGTAACTGTTGCCAAAGCAAGCGATAATTGACGATGTTTACACAACACTATATTACTTATGTAGGCAATAGACACGAATATCCAATAGCATACTAATATTATAACTTTGAAAGTGTGTTTGTTTGTTTGTTTGTTTTTCCTTCTTTCACTTCAAAACGGAGTGACGCATTGGCGTGATTTTTTGTGTGGAGATAGTTGGAGGGCTGGAAAGTGACATAGGTTACTTTCCAGCCTTGAGATTATCTAATTCCCACAGGAAAATCCGTTATAATACAATCCAAAAAAATATTTATAAAAAATAAATTTTATAAAAAAGGTACTCTATCACTTACAATACAACCAAATTTTTATCTTACAAAAAATAATGTTGATGTTATTCATGAAAATATATATTCTTATACATATATCCTATCCTTCTGATGGACGACTGTCCTGCCATCCACTGACGCTGTTTGCTTACGACTCATTAGCTTAAATGGCTTGTAGTCCTTTTGTTTGTTGTTCATTGTACCGCGTAGCTGACGGTATGTTTAATGAAACTGACTCATATATAGCTCAAGGAAAGAACAAGTAGTGGGACGAGTGTTCAAAGTAAATATAATAACGTACACATTCTAAAGAACTTCTAGTTTTATTTACACTAACGTCTTAAAGGCAATCTTAATGTATATATGTATTTGGTATCGACATAATTAAGTTGTATATTTTTCAAGAGATAAACTCAGAAACGAATGATATAATTTTGAATATTAATAAAAGTTATATTACCCTATATTTCTAAGGGTCATTAGCTTAAATTCAATTATAAGGGTTGTATGTAATTATTAATCCTATTATTAGGGTTTTATTGGAATATATAAATAAAGAGATTTCTCGCAATCTTTTTAAATAAAATAGTTCTGCATTATTAATATATTGCTATATACCATATGTAGGTATATAATGTCAACAGGAGAATTTTACTATATTTTTTTGAACTTAGTATTCAATTAAAAGAAAAAAGTGTTTTAATAAATTGTCTTACTTTAGGAAATTTTATTAGATTTATTTGAGTTTTCAAATGTTTTAAATATTTTGTGACAATTATTGTTACATATGTAGGTATACACTCATTTTTATATTATATTTAAAAAAAGCTTTGCGGATATCACGTTGTATAATGCCATAAGTATAATAATAACTTAAACCTCTACTTTCGTTGATAGGAAAAACTCAATTTTAGAAATATGAGGTGTCTTTTGGCCGATTTCACCAACGTCACCTAAGTTTAAGGACCCCCATGGTTAGGGGGCTGTTAGGGGACAGTTTCTGTTTCACCGACAGTTAGGGGTCACCTAAAAATAAAAAAAAATGCCATCTAAATATAGGTACTAGAAATACAGGCTCTGACGATGGTAAACGAAATTTAATTTAGGGGCTAGTTTAGGGGGAACTTTTAAACTAGGGATCCCATACGTAGGTGGTAGCTTATGGGATGTTGGTGAAATCGGGCATTTATCACTTACATCTACGCTTAACTCGTATAATACACGTCCATCTTTTAGTTTGCGAAACCACAAAATCGGGACTTATGGGGTCTAAAGTGCTTCTAAATATTATGTATTTAAATGAAGTACCTATACTTCTACTTTAAAATAATTAATCTTTTCTTCCTACAGGTATTAACGGCAAATATAGGCACATTATTAGATTTATATGGTGTAGAGAAGGGCCTGGACCACTACAGATCGTCCCAGGAACTAACTTTCGATGAGTTCAAATACTACTTGCAGCACGAAGTGTTCAGTTCTCTACCCAAGACATTGAATTTGCCAGTTGCTAGAGAATTTGAAAAGAAGATAAGCGAGGTAGTTTTTCATATACTATTACTTGTTATTATTTACTGCGATTTAATAAAGTAAATGAATATGCAATTTAATCACAAATTCTATTGCTAAATTATGTTTGTTGGAATGTACCTACCTAAAGGTTAGAATTTTGATCTGATTTTTGATGCTTAAGAAATTAATTTCTTCTCACATTTGAAAAATTTAAAGTCTTTTGTAGGATTAATTATTTTTAAATGAATTAAAATAATAACATAAAATACATTTAGAAAAATATATTTTTTACCACTAAATAAATTTTGAAATTGTAACTAAAGTATGTCTTTCAAGGTGTGCTGGTTTGTTTGTAAGAAAAATCTACTCACTCGTGAAAAACCGATCTTCACCGACGACTCTGTATTCAAATTATTCAGGATCTTCTGCCTCCTCGCAGATTTGGTGCAAGATGCTGATGATACCAGCCGTTATGTGGTAAGATGAAAGAAATCTATGATTAAAATAAGTTATTGAGAAGTATATGTAGAATTTACGCACAGATTACATACATATATTGGCTATTTTTACTTGGCATTAATACTAAATATGTTAGCGAAAGTCAGCCTTTCTATATTATTGCTTATATTAAGGACAGGATTTCATTCATCACAAAAATTATTTATCGGATAATTTAAGTATAAACAAATTTAAATAAAGTATGAATAAAATAGTGCAATTGTTTCACACGTTTTTCTTAGATCAAATTTTAATTAAATTGGTGGGCAACTTGTTGTCATAATCAAATATTTAACTCAGCAAGTTAAATTTCAGGTAGATACGTACATATTTATTATGTAAAATAGCGAAAACAAAAATAATTATGTTATAATTAAAGCTATATAAAAGTAAAAAAGTAATCCAGTTATAATGGATACGGTATATGGGTTTTATTGTTGTTTTTTCAATAAGTACCCACATGTGTATGCCATGTGTCAGATTTCTCAACACAATAATCTGACTTGAAGAAAGCTTTATTTAATGAGAAAATAGAAAAACACTAATGGAGATCTATTAGTTCCTACGGGAACCGTTCATTTTTCCGAAATGAAATACTTTTCATTTCGGAACCTGTTGTTTGACCGGCAATGTAAGGTATCAGAATGTTAAAGTTTACTAAATTAGGTGCATAAGTTGTTGTGTACTAAGCTGTATAAGATACTATAGTTTTTTAACTATCCCACGGGAACTCTTTATTTTCTGGGATGAAAAGTACCTAAGATGTTGACCGGTGATATAAGGTACGACCATGCAAAATTTCATTTAAGTCGGTCCAATAGTTTCGGAAATTAGCCCGTACAAACAGACAAACAGACAGAGAAACAAAAAAAAGAACAAAATCTGGATTTGCTCTATTTTTCTTCTTACGGGATGTAAGAAGATAACTAACTCGGTTTTTAGCATTTTTTTCTATGGACAGACATTCAACCTACAGTTTTATTATATTTATAGATAGAATAAATAACATATAATAAAACAGTAATATATAATAATGAAAATAGTTATAGCGAGTGTACCTTAGAAGATAGATATATACTATTCAGAACTTTCCTGTAGGACTTTTGAAGACCTACAATTTTTTTGTATATTGTTTTGATGTATGTATCTCTTAAGGTTTAGCCAGCGGAAGGTTTCTATGGAGGACTCGAAAAAACCAGTTGTTATTGTATCTTCCCGGAGAAAGAAAGATTTTCTTGAAGTAAAAGGTATCCTAAACGTTGACTCGAGTAATAAGTTATCACTTCACCAAATTTCGTTGAAATTGGTTCGTAACTTTTCGCGTGCAACGCGCATACAAAAACAGACAAACAGACATACAAACAGACAATTTTTTTAATAACTATTGTTTTGGGGTCTATGTTGTGTACATAATACGTTACAAATGAACGAAAACATCTATCCCACGGAAACCGTACTTTTTTCCGGGATAAAAAGTAACTTATTTGTTATTCTGATGTATGACCTATATTATTGTAAGGTTTCATCAAAATCCACTCAGTAGTTTTTGTGTACTAAGCTGTATAAGTTACTATAGTTTTTTGACTGTCCCACGGGAACCCTTTAATTTTCCGGGACGAAAAGTAGCCAATTTGTTATTATTATGTATAAACTATATTATTGTAAAGTTTATTAAAATCGAATCAGTAGTTTTTGTGTACTAAGCTGTATAAGATACTATAGTTTTTTAACTATCCTACGGGAACTATTTAATTTTCCGGGATAAAAAGTATCTAAGATGTTGTTTGGGGATATAAGGTATCACCATGCAAAATTTCATTTAAATCGGTCCAATAGATTCGGAGATTAGCCCGTACAAACAGACAAACAGACAGAGAAACAAAAAAATTGAAAAAAATCTGGATTTGTTCTATTTGTCTTCTTACATCCCCCTGACTTGGTTTATAGCATTTTTTTGCTATGTACAGACATTCGACCTCTACTCTTATTATAGTATAGATATTTAAAAAATTTAGCTTCAAAGTGAAGAAATTGAATAAAAAACATCTCACTTGTATGACTATTGTCCAAATCTTTGAAAATTGGACATTATTTTAGAGGCAATCCGACTCTACAGACATACTCGCACTTCATCGATTTTCATTATACTTAAGAGTTTGCACTAAAACCACATCAATGTTTTATTTTGAGCGCTTGACTTAACACTTGCCGTTGTATTTACAGGTAGTTCTTCAACCCTCAGAAGCAGGTATAATCACTGAACAGCTGGTACACTGTCTAGGCTTAAGATGGGATGCTACAGACTGGGAGGCGCTCGGCTCCTCTATAGGACACTTCAAGTGGGCAGCGTTCCTCGCAGTATTGGAAGCGAAGTACTGTTGCGATCAGCAATTGCATTCAGAAGCTTTAGTAGAGGCTGTAGATGAAATATATGATGTTTTTATTGAGGATATTATTAAAAAGGTAATATGTTCTTAAGAAGTGAAAGAAAATTTCAAAGATGAGTCTCGTAAAAGCCATCTTTATTTTATTATTATTTTTAAATAGATTTATTAATACTTACTGTTATTTAATACCAAGCAAAACTTAAATAAAATGATTTTTAAATTAAAAGTAAGACATATGTTTACAATTTTATTTACATCAATAAATTGTAAGTAACCATATATCCATCAGCTAAAATTCCAAACTGTTATTTATATTATTCTTTTTAAGCATATTTTTATTAGTCATGATTATCAAATACTGAACTAAAATAGAAATATTAAATTTTCTAGGGATACCTCTATAAACGTGGTTATCTCCTGCCTACAATGCGAGAATATTGGTGTGTTCTCCAGCCTTGTGCCTTAACCTATTATAAGAGCTCCTCGCAAAAGGACCAATGTGGAAGAATTTCTATAGACGCGTACTGTTCTGTTGAAGCGGCAGTAGGGGAAGGGAAGATACAGCGGTTTCAGCTTATCACTCCTGAAAGAACTTTTGAATTTGGCACTCAGGATCATAAGTAAGTCTTATGATTTTAAGTACTTCTATGGAATAGGATATATTTCGTATATATGATTGATTTGCTTATTTAATTTTAAATATGAAAAATGGCAATGATGCTTGCCAAATAATGTATTGTATTGGAATTTGGGTTTTACGATTCCATGCGGATATAGAATGCACTAGTTTCGTTAAGTATTCCAAATGAAGTTCCACAAGATCTTATGATACTCATATTATGAATGGGAAGTTTATTAACATATCTATCTATATAATAACACAAAGACAACCATATACATTAAGTGGCTTTTATCATCAATATTCCCGTGGGTAAAAACTAATAGTAAATAGTCACTCGAATAATGAACCAATTCCTGATATGAATAATTACCACTAATTTCCAGGAGTCGCCTGCAATGGCTGTCAGCATTACGTCAAGCGGCCGCAGTATCAGGCGGAGCTGATGGCTACCAGAGACGCGCGCGCGCAGGTCGGCGCGGCGCCGGAGCACGGCGTGAGCAAGAAGTCAAAGAAGCTAGGGCAAGACTACAACTTGAAGTTCGCGCGAGATTAGCAGCTGAAGCACAAGCTCAGGTATCGATAAAATGGTTAAAGACTTAATTATAACTGCTATGATACTCTTAGCATTTAGACTTGAAAATGTTTTTTGCTGATAGTAATTTGAATGTATATAGATCCTAAATTGGATTTAGCGTATTTATCAATTTGAAACTGGCGTTTTTCACATTTTTTAGCTTAGTATTTTAGTATAAAATATTCAATAAAAATTAAAAAATTGTGAAATAATTTTAGGAATTAGCAGAATTAGCGCAGCAAGATAATAAGAAATTAGAAGAATTGAAAAATGCTCAGACGGAACTAGAGAAACTATTGCAAGAAGAAACACAAGCGAAAAGAGACGAAGAAATAGTTAGAGCTTTACAAGCAAGGTAAAAGGAATTCCTGTTAATTTAAAAATAAAAATATTTAAAATGTAAAATGAACTATTAGTTGATAACATTCGGTATTTAAATGATTATGATGATATTACTAAGTGAAATATCTTTAACTCTTGCAACTTCTAAGTTTGTTTAACAATATACTTTTTTTTATATTTACAGAGTATTAGCTGAGGAATGGGAAAGACGTGAAGAGTTGGAGAGGTTACAAGAAGAACAAAACAAGATGCTAGAAGAAGAAAGACTGAAACGGAAACAATTCGAAATGCTTCAAGCTGAAAAGGAAGCGCAATACAGGGGTAACGTAATATTCAATTGAATAATAAAAACTTACGACACAGAAGAAGATAATGATCTATTACAGTAGGTAATATTAAAATATTTATTTTAATATTATGAATTGAAATACAAGATGATAAATTTGCCATTTAAACTTCTTACTAAAAGTAAGTCTTTTAACTAACCGAAACGTAAATATAAATTTGGTTTTTGTTAACTTACAGAGGCTGAACGTCGATTAAAGGAACTAGAGGAAGAGAAACAGAAGTTAGACGCAGAGTTAAAGGCAGCTCAAGCAAAGATCTCTCAAACAGAACACAACGCGCATGCGCTTCATGTACAACTTAGGGTGAGTCTTAAAAACATGGAAGCACTCCTTATCTATTTAAAACTTCGGCAATAAGTACAAACATAAACATAACATAAATACAACTATACCAGTAGGCTTACACATTTTTTTAAATATAGTATTGTAAATTAAATATCTGAACGAGCCGAACGTCGTCTTTCTCAATTTCTATTGGGACAAATATCTTTTTTACTTTCATTGGGTACGTCCCAGATAGAAAAAGGACAATCCTATTGTCTCGGATTGATGTTGAAGTTCTTTTAAACAATTCCAAAATTCTGCGGAGCGCTGTTCTATATGAATAATTATTCGCAACCTTAGTCATTTCCTGTCACATAAACTTGTCCTTGTCTTCGCAATCATAAATATGTACTTGTAATTCGTATAAACTTATGTAAGCAGTACGCATAATTGTGAACATTGAATATTGTCTAAATGTCTGGAATTAAGCATTATTTCAAAGCTGATCAAGAACATAATGTGTGTATATTGCTGTTATGGGGCAGGTAAAAATTAATAAAAACACACACTTTGTTGTTGTATTTATAAAACAATAAACAAGCATCACCAGTTTTAGCCAAAGGCAAATATTATTCTTTACAGTAGGTTATGTGGAATAACTCCGAGTCATATTTATTTGTGTACTAAACATCAAAATCCAATGAACAATTCCAAAGGCAACAAGTATGAGAAACTTGATTTCCTAAGAAATACTACGTTACAACATCCATACTAATATTATAAATGAGAAAGTGTGCTTGTTTGTCTTTCTTTCACGTCAAAACGGAGTGACAGATTAGCGTGATTTTTAGTGTGAAGATAGTTAGAGAGCTGGAGGGCATAAGCTACTTTTTACCACGAGAGATCATATCATTCCCACGGGAAAATACGTTATAATACTATCTAAAAATTTATTGCTGATCAGAATTACTTGAAACTTGGTATTAATGCTCTTCAATACAAATAAATAAATACGTGTTTACGTGTTTGAGTATTATTCAAAATTCATCCTATAAGAGGGTAAAATAGGGGATGAAAGTTTGTATGAAACCTAGGTACCAAGCTTTTTAGAGATTTTTTTGCAGTTTTAGCGCGAGCAGAGTTCGCTAGTGTATTAATAATTACATATTTTTATTTGTTTTATTACAGGACTTGAATCCAACGCTGCGTAACGGGGAAAGAGCGCGTCGCGCTATCTCCTTCGTGCCTACAACGAAAAGTTCATCTGACACATTAATCGATCTCCGAGCTTTGAGGCATTTGAAAACTTTAAACGACGACGAAAAAATATAAAGACTGTATAATTAATACATAGTTAATCAATATAATGTATAAGGGAGTTAGAAAAGTATAGAAAGGATATCAAATGTGGTCAATCAATATTACCCTCTCGCATGCAGTTAATCGCTTAAAAAAGTATTACTGTAGGGAAATAAATGAAGATCCTGCGAAAAGCGTAATTTGTTTGTTATAGTCCTATGGTACATTCGCAGTTACAGGTAAACTTATAAAAGTTTTTACAAGCTTTTAATAGTTTAACTCTTATATCTAAAAAAATTAAAAAAAGTTTGCTTGTAGCGTTGCTACTTTATGTAGTAGAGCAGCAAGAAATCAAATAGATAGCAGTAGCTGTGATGGAAATATATTACATAAATATTAATAATTTCAATTTTATATTAAAATGGCCCGTCGCAAACCATTTTTGTGGGAGATATGCCAATAAAAACTTTATGATTCTGGCTGAATCCTCAACCAGTCCAGTCCAATCAGAAATTTTAAAATTCAACCCTTGAAGATGTGAAAAAATGGGAAAATTAAAATTAGCAGGGCAAAAATATTATCCAGTTGTCAATTTGAGAATAAAACCGGATAAAACCGGGTTATACCGCTAGTATTATACAACTATAAGGGGCTGGTTTTTTTAAGCTTTTATTTTTTTACTATCGTTAAAGGCTTAAAAAAATATAGAACATTAATTCTTATACCTACAGAAAATTACAAAATCTATATTAAATTGGGAACTTTGCAAAATTTTCAGAAAAATTTTTTTTTATGTATTCGTATTGTATAAAATCTATCTCAAATGTACTTGCCTGATGAGGTATTTAATAAAATTACAGCTTCTTTTTAAACAGCTTCTACATATATATTTTATTAAATTAAAATTTCATTTAAAAATAAAATAGTTTTATTATAAATTTAATGAATAATTTCATTTCTTTCCTCCGTTCTTTTCGGCGGCGGCAGCAGCTGCTTGCATCTTCTTTTGTAACTTTTTCAGCTGGTATAAGGAAAGTCAAAAAAGAAACGGATGAGATTTTGGTACAAATTAATAAAAAAATATATAAGTTAAGGACAACGGGCTTCAACTTAAAAAATACTCAGGATTAGGACTATTATAAGGAGGATAAAAGTAAATTGGGGATAAACTTAAACTTTCTTCTTTCCCTTTTTACCCTTTCCTTTCAGCTGCATGTAAAATAAAAAAAAATGTTTTTATATTGTGCAAAGTAGGGTAAGGTTGCTCAAGTCGTACCACGGCCTAAGTCGTACCCCGGTAATATCTTGCCTGATAATTATAAATTGCGCCATATAGTGTCGCTAATCTGAACTTCTTAGTCGAGCGACCGATCATGAACAAGTGGACGACCTTGGCTTGGTGGGTAAAAATATTGAAAAAGTAAGTTTTTGCACAATTTTCATTAAAATTATTGACTCATTTGTAAACTTTTAGCAGGAATGAGATCCTTATCTTTTTTCTTTGTTAACATGTGTTAGTAATACTTATCTGTTAATCTTTTCGAATACTCAAACATTTGAACTTTTTTAGGTTATGTCATTACTTTTATTTTTAAATTTAAAAAACACCGCCGCTTAAGTCGTACCTGTACAAAATCCCTTACTCGTACTGGTACGACTTAAGAAATTTTGTTTAATATATAATTTACATATATTTTTTATCAGGTTATACTTAAATATGGCGAAGAGAAGGTACGATACTTGGAAGAAAGAGGATACGGACGAAGCCTTAGAGAAACATCAGGATGAAGAATTGGATTTGATGAAGCATGTAGAAGATTTAATATACCGAAGCCTACTCTGCGACGATATTTGAAAGGTTTGAATAAAAGAACAAAATTTGAAAGACCTAATGATATGTCACCAGACATGGAAAAGACACAGGCAGAGCATTTGATGAATTGAGAGTCTTGTTTCTTCGGATTAATGGCCACTGAATTTAGGAAACTTCCCTTCGAGCCTGCTGAAAAATTTCAACTACCTCATCGTTTTAGCACGGAGAAGAAAATTACAGGTAAAAAGTGGTATTACATGTTTATGAAAGACCATCCTACTTTGTCGTTGTGTGTTCCAGAACTTCAACGGTCAGAACTAAAGGATTTAATCTTTCAAAGTTATTGCTCAGGGATAAGGGAAAACACCAAGTAGGTGCAATCACAAGTGGAGAAAGGGGTCTGTCCACAGCAGGCATATGTGTGAATGGCAGCAGGCGAATTTATACCACCCAAGTTGATATTTAAGAGTAACAGACTGAATGATGCCTTAAAAATAGAGCTCCTCCAAACACAGCATTTGGTTGCTCGAAAAATGGATGGATAACATCAGAGCGTTTTGTTCAATAGCTTCAACATTTTATTAAATGCACAAGATTAGAAAAAAGTTCAAATTAATATCAAATCAAATATTATTTTTACTAGATGGCACCCATACCAAATTTATATAAATTTAACATTTATACTTTGATATTTATACAAATTTAACTTTCTAATTAATAACCAAAAAAATGTTTTAAGTTGTCTCAGACAGAATTGTTTGTAATTATGTAGTTGTTCATAGTGATCTCTGGTTATTAAGTATATTACTGTATAGTTTATTATGTGTTAATTAAAGTATATTTTCTAACTAGGTGCCTTAATCGTACCGAAGGTCGTTTTGGAAAACGGTAAAATATCTATTTTGATAAAAGATTTTTCAGTTTTTGTTATTGTTGATTAAAAGGCAACTTAGTAAATATTCAATACATGCAGAAGATTTCGTTTTATTTCAATTGCGCTGAATATAACAGTATTATTTCCTTAGGGGTTACGACTTAAGCAACCTTACCCTACCTATTTACTAGTACAGAAATTATATGTAGGTATTATCAAGTTTGAAGTTCTTTAATATATACATATTTTCTGCTTTAAAATTATTATGTTTTAATATTAATGTCCTCCTGATCCATTCCGGCCACGCAGTCAATCTCCCTGAGACTAGCTAACTCCGCAGGAGATATTGTAGTGCACAGTGCATTCTCTATTCCTGTCACTGTCAAAGTCCGATGGGACGATACTTCGACATAACCGGTGAGAGTTAAGGCGAAGGACCGATGACTTTACGTGCTCTTCGATGAAAGGGGGTTGTAGCGGCAATTCAAACGCAATACCTCAGATCATGAGAGTCGGTAAAAATACCGTTATGCAGCTAACGCTGCACTCGGGCGCGCATCGCGTTTGATCGTGCGAGATCGTTTTTTCCCCGTCCGCCAGTCGTTTACCGATAGCTACGCCGGGAGGTCGCGCACGCGCTCGCTCTCTCTAGTCTTCGTTCCGTAATTTCTACTTCTTCCTATGATCTATTCCTATAACTGGTGACCCCGACGTGATCGTGGACATTCGTGTACGTTATAAAAACTTTTATTTTGAAAATGGCTAACCCTAACGTAAAGGAAGAGGTGTGCCGTGTTGGCGTTAAGGTGCCGCCATTTTGGCCAAACGAACCGGCGTTATGGTTTGTTCAATTGGAAGGTCAGTTCGTTTTAGCTAATATAACGACTGATGCGACAAAATTCTACCATGTAATCGCCAATATAGACTATAAATACGTGTGCGAAGTTAAAGACGTCATAACGAATCCGCCGGCTGAAAATAAATATGAAAAAATAAAAACAGAGTTAATTTCGCGCTTGTCAGCATCACAAGAGCAGCGTGTAAGACAACTACTTACTCACGAAGAGTTAGGAGATCGAAAACCATCCCAGTTTCTTCGACATTTGCGGAGCCTAGCTGGAGCTGATGTACCGGACGAATTTATACGTTCACTGTGGACGAGCCGTTTGCCTAGCCATATCCAGGCGATTATTGCAGCTCAAGTCGATCTCCCTTTAGACACAGTGGCGCAAATAGTGGACAAGATTCACGAGGTATCCCTACAACCCAGGTAGCAGCAGCGTCGACATCAACTCCAACATCGACGGGAAATCCGATGACACTCATAGAAAAGCTTGTTCAGCGAGTCGATGACCTGTCACGGCAAGTTGCGGAGCTATCCATCAGGCCCCGCTCGCGTTCGAGAAGTCGAGCGCGTTCTCCTCGCTGGCGTCAACGGTCCCGGAGCCGCTCTAATGCTGGCCCGGGGCATTGCTGGTATCATCGACGTTTCGGCAACCAGTCAACGAAGTGCCGCTCCCCGTGTTCGTTTCATTCGGGAAACGAGACAAACAGTCAGTGAAGGCGGCAACGCGTGACTGTGATAGTGTAGCTGGTGGCCGCGTTTTCATTACAGACAGTAAGAGTAAAGTGCAATATTTAGTAGATACCGGTTCGGACCTTTGCGTGTATCCACGTAAGTATATTCGAGATAGGAAGTGTATAGAGACAGACTATAAGTTGTTTGCCGCCAATGGGTCCACAATAAATACTTTCGGTTGGGTGAACCTTTCTTTAGACTTTGGACTCAGGCGGGCTTTTACGTGGCGTTTTGTCATAGCTGACGTCACTAAACCTATAATAGGCATAGACTTTTTATCACACTATAATTTACTTGTGGATGCTAGACACCATCGCTTAATAGACAATGTTACGTCATTAAGTGCTTTTGCTAAATCCGCATCAAATGTTTTGTGCCAAATAAAATCTATTACAGGTACCTTACCATTCCATGACCTGCTATCACGGTTTCCGGATCTCACTCGCCCAGCTGGAGACCTGGCTTCACGGGTGATTAAGCACAACACTCTTCACTACATACGCACGACTTCAGGACCCCCTGTACATAGTCGTCCTCGTCGGTTAGCACCGGATCGGCTTCGCATCGCCGTCAGGGAATTTGAGGATATGGTAAGAACAGGTATTGCTAGAAGGTCCGATAGCCCGTGGTCATCCCCGTTACATCTCGTACCTAAGAAAAACAATGAGTGGCGACCATGCGGCGACTACCGTGCACTCAACGCACGCACTATACCTGACCGATACCCGGTTCGCCATATCGCTGATTTTGCTCATAATTTATCTGGCTGTACAATTTTTAGTAAAATAGATTTAATCCGGGCTTATAATCAAATCCCTGTAAATCCAGCCGATGTACCCAAGACTGCCATTACGACTCCGTTCGGAATGTTTGAGTTTCCATTCATGAGCTTCGGTCTACGCAACGCAGCTCAAACATTCCAGCGCTTCATGGACGAAATACTTAGAGATTTAGAGTTCTGCTACCCTTATATTGATGATATCCTTGTGGCTTCCCAGGACGAGACGCAACACCGAATTCACCTGGAACAAATTTTCCAGCGCCTACAGGACCACGGTATCGTCATCAATGCGTCGAAGTGCGTATTCGGAGAGCCACAAGTGGAATTCCTGGGTTACATCGTATCAGCAGCAGGTACCAGACCACTTCCACAAAAGGTTGAAGCTATACAGAACTTTCCTCAGCCGAAAACCATCAGGGAACTTCGAAGGTTCCTAGGTATAACAAATTTTTATCGTCGTTTTGTTCCAAGCGCAGCAAAAATCCAGGCTCCATTGCATCAACTCTTATCTGGTAAAGCTGTCAAATCTAGTACTACTATCACTTGGTCGACCGAGCTTCAGAAGGCTTTCGACGCGTGCAAGGCAAGTCTAGCTCAAGCCACTCTATTAGCACATCCGCATCCGACAGCTGAGTTAACGCTGTGGACGGACGCTTCAGACAACGCGATTGGTGCTGTATTACAACAGATGATAGACTCCGAGTGGCAGCCTCTTGCGTTCTTCTCTAAAAGGCTCAATACCGCACAACAAAAATATAGTCCGTTTGACAGAGAGCTATTAGCAATTTACGAAGGTGTGAAACATTTTCGTCATATGGTTGAAGGTAAGGATTTCACCATATATACCGACCACAAGCCTATTGTTTCGGCCTTTAGAAAAGCCTCAGAAAATTGTTCACCGCGTCAATTTAGATACTTTGATTTCGTGTCTCAGTTCACGACTAATATTAAGCACGTCGCAGGTGAAGACAACGTAGTCGCTGACGCCCTCTCACGCACCGATGAAATTTTTACCGCCATAGACTTAGATGCACTGGCCTTGTCGCAGTTGACAGACGACGAGCTACAGAAAGTATTACATAACAATAATTCTTCGCTGGACCTCCAGGAGATAGACCTCTCTGGCTCTGGTAAGAAGCTGTACTGTGATTTTTCCTGCTCAACGCCGAGACTTTACCTGACTCCAGAGTTCCGTCGACAAGCGTTCGACTGCATTCACGGCTTGAGTCACCCCGGTATCAAGGCAACAACCAGATTGGTTACACAAAAGTACGTGTGGCCTAATATAAAGAAGGATTGCGCTGTGTGGACTCGCACCTGTCTTTCATGCCAGCGCTCGAAAGTTTCAAGACATACTCGATCCCCTGTACATACTTTTGTTCCTCCATCGAACAGATTCAGTCATGTGCACATAGACCTCATCGGACCTTTGCCCGTGTCACAAGATTATAAATACTGTCTCACAGCCGTAGACAGATATACACGTTGGCCAGAGGTAATACCGCTTCATGACATCAAAGCTGACACAGTGGCGAACGCTTTTGTCACTGGCTGGATATCACGTTTTGGCTGTCCGGAGAAGATCACAACAGATCGAGGTAAACAGTTCGAGGCATTTTTATTTAAGGAACTTTCACGGATAATAGGTGTAAACCATTTAAAGACCACAGCGTACCACCCGGCTGCAAATGGAATGGTTGAGAGATTCCACCGCCAACTCAAGGCAGCGATTATGTGCCACGCCAAAGACGATTGGGTCGAAGTGCTTCCATTAGTACTCCTCGGAATACGTTCAGCCTGGAAAGAAGACATTAACTCATCGTCAGCCGAGCTCGTCTACGGAGAAACCCTACGTTTACCTGGTGCATTTTTCGATCTCGATAGCTCTCCCGTAGAAATAACGGACTACACCGATTTTCTTTCCCGGTTGAGGCATAACATACGGAAGTTGAAGCCCACACAAGTAGTTCACCATGGAACAGCACCCGTGTTCATCAGCAAGGATCTAAAATCTGCGCCACAGGTCTTCTTACGGCAAGATTTTATTCGAAAGCCTTTGCAAGCACCTTACGCTGGACCCTTTATCGTCATCGAACGTGGAGACAAGTTCTTCAAGATAGATATTCGAGGGAAACCTACCACCGTTTCAATTGACAGGTTGAAACCAGCGTATCTGCTTAGCGACCTAGCTCCGCCTGAGGATGAAGCCCAGAAAGTACCCGAGACATGCTCATATAGGAATATCGAAGATCGTCGAACTCGATCAGGAAGACGAGTACGATTTACAGATTTTTTTCGACCTTAACGGTCTCCGGGGGGGCTGATGTAGCGGCAATTCAAACGCAATACCTCAGATCATGAGAGTCGGTAAAAATACCGTTATGCAGCTAACGCTGCACTCGGGCGCGCATCGCGTTTGATCGTGCGAGATCGTTTTTTCCCCGTCCGCCAGTCGTTTACCGATAGCTACGCCGGGAGGTCGCGCACGCGCTCGCTCTCTCTAGTCTTCGTTCCGTAATTTCTACTTCTTCCTATGATCTATTCCTATAGGGTAAAACACCGCCAACTTTGCAACTCCGAGCTAGTACTGAATATATCTTAACAGGAAAAACTCAGTAATTAAACATGGACCAATCCGGGACTCGAACCCAGGACCTCCGGATCTGCAGCCCTACATGCTTGATGCTAGCCATTAAACCACCTAGGCAGTTAATGATAATAAAATATAACTTAATAAAGCTAATTTAAAATTTAAGTTTTAAAAATAATTCCATTATATATCTCAAGATCATATTAATTTATATAATATCTGTACAGTACCTATAGTATTGTTTCGTAGACTAGTCGAAAACTTCTAGAATAAATGCAAAGTGTAATCAGTAAAATTTATACCCGTTTCTTTTCGGCTCTATTCGCCAGGACCTCTCTCCAAGCATGCTGAATTACTCTTGCAGCGTGTTCTGTGAGGAACTTGTTCATCTTCTCAGTCATTTCTTGATGATACTCTTTTTCTCGCTCTTCCATCAGTGGAATGTACTCATTGTCTTGTTCTGCTAGTTTTTTCTGGGCATTATTATTTTTTTAATAATTTTATTATTATATATACACAAAAATGGACAAGATTTTTTGGTGATTTGAACATTGTAATCTAATATATATTATTTATTCTTATTCCAAAATAAAATATAAATCATTTTATCATTTGTTAAATAATTAATGCTGAAATCCAAAAGATTATATGAATTTCTAGTAGGTCACCCTCGCTTCACTCGGGTTCGCCTTTAGAACAACAAAAACAAATCTATCCCACGGCAAACGTACATATTTTCCGGGATAAAAAATAGCCTATTTGTTATTCTAATGTATGATCTATATTAGTTTAAAATTTTAATACAATCCATTCAGTAGTTTTTGCTTGAAAGAGTAACAAACATCCATATATCTATACATCCAGACATCCATACATCCTCACAAACTTTCACATTTATAATATTAATAGGTTAGTAGGATTACTTACTGTAAATTATGAACGAACTCAAAACGCCACAATTAATTATAATAATGTGTATTTCAAGTAGAAAATAAACAAACAGATATAACATAACTATAAAATACAAACCTCTAACTCTTCACATTTCTGCAACTCATCTTCATACTTTTCCGTAAATTCATCTAGCTCTATCTGCTTATCGCCCATTTCAAGATCATATTTCTGTAGCCATGATAGCAATTGAGTTTCTACTTTGAATCTAAAATATAAAAATAATATCTTTACTTAAATAAAAAATGGTAAAAGTTAAAGAGTAAAAAATCGTAGCGCTTGAAACTGGATTCTATGGCTACCATGCAAGTCATAGTGCGTAAATATATAATTATCTACACATATATAATAAAATTGTAAATAAGCCGAATCTGTAAAATAAATATTTTTCATAAATCTTATTGAAGTAAATATTATTATGTATGCAGAGGCCGAATCTATGGTTTTTTGAATTTTTATCTGTCTGTTACTGCATCACAGAAAAACTACTGGAGGGATTTTGATAAAATTTATTATGGTGATAGCTGTTTATCCTGGTTAACATTTAGAATACTTTTTACCGCGGGAAAATATCTCATTTCTGAGAAAAAATACAAAAACTGCAATGTAAGAGTATACTAATATGTACAACCTAAGAATTTGGTTTTAGGTCATCTGAACGCGGGCGGAGCCGCGGGCAATGCTAGTAATTAATATAATTATAATTAATATATATGTTTTTAAGGTATATATATCATGAGCATCCGTCTTTGTTAACATAATATTTAAGATCTTTTTATAAATATTGCCTAAAAATGATTAAATTAAAAATAATAATAATAATTGGTACTCTAAATGAGGTACAAATGTGTGGGTATCGCGTTTTATTTACCTATACCGTGCTAGAAACGAACAAAGACATTTTGGGGTAGCAAGTATATATGAATGTGTATATACAAAAAGCCTTAGATAAAACTAACCTTCGAGCTCTCTGATTCTTTTCCTCAATAAGGTGAGACTTTAACAAATTTTCGTACATCTCTCTTGATTCAACTTCTTCTTCTTTTAACATTTCATTTTTGACCAAATGAGCTCGAGTCGCTAACACCATCTGACGGTCTGAGTCAAGACTATAAAAGCAGATTTTATTAATGACCTATGCGTAGAAAGTGGACAAAATAATTTCCCACAACAATCACCATGTACGATATACACGAATTCAGTAGGTACATTATCTACCTACGAAAGTGTCCAGTTGCTGTAAATTATGTTATTTTTCGAATATACTTACATCTCAAACACCAATTGTTCTAAAAGTAAACCATGCCCTACAAAACCTCATTATAATTTGACTATAAACAATTGTTTTTTGTATTTATACAGAGTACCCACTTACATCTTTTTCTTAAGTTTAATGTCAGCCTCTTGGTTAAGCGTTGCTAGCTCTTTCTCCAACTTCGCTATGAGCTCTGCTTTTAATTTCATAGTCTCTTCAAATCTTTCATTTTCTTCTTTCAACTTTTCAGTATATTCTATAATAAATATAATCATATAAATTTAAAACTAATATTTATACTAATATATTATTTTGTCTTAATTTGACAAACATTATAGGTACCTATATCATTTTAGCATAATGTATTTTAACAGCAAGACTGAACTAGTAAGTACGAGTATATCTTAATTATATTAAGGTGAGCACCTTTGATTTTAGCAATTAATTTTTCATTCGAAGCCTCAAGTTTCCTAGTTTTTATTTTTGCTGCCAACTCCTCGGCGGCTGTGGTCTCCATCTGACGCACCATCAGTTGGCGAAAATGTTCCAAAGTAAGAAGATATTCAATTCCTGAAGCAGACTGTCTCATCTAAAAATGATCATCTTCCTTAAATCACCCATTCTAAATAACTCCATTTATTTTATCATTATCATTTTATAAAAGGAAACGCAATCAGGTCTTCAAAATAACAATTATATTCAGAAGTAAAATTATGAGTAATAAAATTTTTGTATATTATCTGATCTACAGAATTCTTATTTTCCACATACCTCTCCTAACTCGGAATATTCAGTTTTCATCTAGAAATATAAATGAATAGTTAATTTAGAAAGCGTTAATTAATTATTAACCTTTATATAAATATTACAATAAATAATTACATGAAAAATTTTCACTAATTTTCATAATTACATAATTTACAAACTTTAATAACACACCTCCTCCATCATTTCTTCCACTTTGGGACGAAGTGCAGGATAGCTGTTCATTATGTACATCAAGTGTCCCAACTCTGGGTTTAGACGATTCTTTAACGATACATCACCCTAAAATGATAGTCTATTAACAATATTCTGCCAACAAATTAACTACAAATTTTATCTGATTTCTTTGATGAAACATACTGCTTTAATATCTTCCATTGCTGCCATATTTAGCAAACTAGCAGAAAATAGTGGATTATCATACTGCTCGAAAATAAAGATCAGATCTTCCATATGCTGAGGTGATAGGATTGAGCTAAGCGTACGGTATTCTTGCACGAGGTTTGGAAGGCAGAGGGCAAGTTTGGTTTTGTATACTGCCTCATCAAGGATTTTTGTGATCCTCTCTGCTTGAATGTGACATTCCAAGTCGATAGGGGAAGCAGCTACGTACAGACAAAATAAATTATACACTTTAGTAATTTAAAGTCAGTTTACATTATTATTATAAAGTGCTATATTGCATCCATGTAACTTCACACTACAGTTGTGATTTATGGTTAATTTTGTATTGGTCATACGAAAAATACGTGATAAACATAAATAGTTTATAGTTTTAATAAAGTACTAAAGTGTTAATTACCGAATCACTAAATAATTTATAAAATATATAAAAAATGTACATATATTGCATGAAGTACATGAGCATACCATTGTCTTTGGTAAAATTTTCTTCATCTCTCTCTGTAGTGCCTCCAGATTTAATACTGCCAGTCTTAGTGCTATCAGAATACGTCGAAGGAGACAGTAGAGTTCCGATCGATTGCGTGTCCATATTTTATTTCCCTCTGCAATTACTGTTTTTAATAACAAATAATCAGTCACTGATCGTCAAAATTGTAGATGTCAAAGGTTTTATTTTTTACAAATGAAAACATAAGCATGTTATTTATATAGTAACTACATTCGAAGCTGTTTTACAGTTATTTAAAGAAATAAACAAAGACTAAATTAAAATATTACATTATTTGTTAAAATTCTTTCTACGGTGCCCTTTTTATAAAATAGATTTACCTAAGTAGTAGACTGTTACTATGAGACTTCATACGAGTAGGTTTGATCAATACTATTTGCTTGACGATTTAAAACAACACTTTTGTTTGACGATAAACACTTGTTACTGAAGAGGTATATGAAAACAATCCGTACTGGTATAGAGATATATATTTAATATTTTATAAGTGGTAAGTATTTTAAACTTTTACTACGACTTACTACTTACTTACGACTTTATCAACAACAATAACAATTATTTTTAAAAACATCATATCAAATATATTTATATCATAAAATGAGAAATTTGTTAATGTATAAAACATAAAATAGTCAAATTTTAATTTTAAACTTAAATTACACTTTAATCGATTAAATATATTCATAGAGCTTAGCACCATGTTTTGAGCTCTCTAATGTATACGCTCTCAGTGTCATATAAAGTAGGAGAATACTTATTGGTTGAGAATTACTTAATTTTTATAATAACCAGTAGTAAATAGACGTACTTGGACGGTTTAAATTTTACAGTTACTAAATAAAAATCGACGATGCCCAAGAAAAGCAAAGTAAACAAGCTAGCGCGTATGTCTGATGAAGAACGGGCTAGGTATCTGCAACACCGCGCCGACATAGAAGAAGAAGCTAGACGGAGAAAACGCGAACTTATCGCGAGATTTATAAAGGTACAAAGCCAAAATTAGAAATTCTTGATAAAACAATGGAAAATCTACATTCTCTTGATACAGACCCGTCACTTCAAAAACTGAACCCTTTAGTCTTGAGAAGCGAATAGCGAACTAGCGAAAGAAATTCATCAAATATCCAGGACGCAATCACATTATATTATTCATCATATTATAAAAAAAATATTCTTTATTAAGCTTTTACACTCACAAACGTGCTGAATTAATATTATCTAAATCCTACATTAGTTAACAGCATGGGCGCCGGGAGAGGGGTGCCACTGTCATTAAGGACAATATATAGAAAAAGTTAAAAAAATAAAATTGTGTTAGTAAAATCCCTGTTTAAATTTAGATATCTGCGAAATAAGATGATAAATAAGATATGAATAAAAATTATAAAGTTATTCATTTAAAGATTACTTAGTAGTAGTAGTATAACATAAAGAGCTTTCTTTTATTCAAGGCGAAGCGTAATACATATTATTTTTACAGAATAAGCTCGACAAAGAAGAGGCGTTCGCTAAAATTAATACAGCAAAAATAAACCAGCAATGGCGATATATTTTACGGAAAATAAAATGCAAGCAGTTGTCACTGGATATTCAGGTCTCAATTTCATTCATTTTATTTTTAATAGATTAATGCGACTAACTAATAAATAAATAAAAAGTCTAAATGGATCATCTTTTAGTAATCTTAATATGTTTATGAACATTTATATAAAATACTAGCGACTCACCCTCGCTTCGTTCGGGTTCGTCTCTAGGTTGATTTCCCATACAAACTTTCATCTCCATTTTCACCCCCTTAAGGGATAATTTCTGAGATAAAAAGTCCTATGTCCTTCCCAGGGTCTCAAACTATCTTCTTACAAAATTTCACCTAATTCGGTTCAGTAGATCCAGAGATTACACCCTACAACGTCACAAACTCACAAACTTTACTTCTTTATAATATTAGTATAGACTATATAATATTCATATACTTACTCAAATAAAGATTAGGTAATTAAGTTTCGTATAGTCCTTATAAAGATGACAAGTAATTTCTGCAAGTATACATATTTCAAAATTCTAATAATTTCAACTCTAAGCTAATGTATTTAGACACTTACACCACTACCTTGACCTCGTACTGATATTTTTATTTCTTTATTTTCATCACCTACGTAAATTTTTAGGGTATGATGACAAGCTTCAATTTTCTGGTGGAGAGGAAAAATCGTCTGCTAGATTCTCTCATGCGAGCCATAGAAGATTCTGATGACCAGCATCGAAGAGCGTTCCAAGCTCATACGGAAACTCTGAGCTACTTTCTAAGTAAATATATTTTGATAGCCACACATTATTGTACAGAATGATTATAATTTTCATTCATTACATTCACGTAGCGGGTATTAAAATATGTCTGATACAAAAAAGTAGTTCACTGATTTTATAATAAATATTTTTAGACATCGGCTCTCAAAGACTCGATAAATTACAAATGGGGTATGAATTCCAAAAGAACAACTTCCTCGAATATTGGGACAAAGAAGAATTAGACATTACGGATGGTCAAGACCGATCTGACTTCAAATTGACGCTTATAAAATACATACAAGAACGAGATTTTCAAACATTTAAAAAAAAGAGGGATATACAGAAAGCTACTGAGAAAAATGACGCTCGACTTGAGGTAAGTAAGACGACTGGAGGTAAATAAAATTCGGCTATTTTGTAGAATTTTCAATACTATAAAATATTAAAAAAATGTTATATTTCATATAAATTATTGATATTTATTTTAAATTAAAAATATAAAACTTAAAATATTTAATTTTATTTCGAATTATTTATCAGGTTATTTAACAGTGGATTGAAAATCACTCTAATAAAAATCTAGCCTTCTCAGTCCAGTCATCACAGTTGGGTCTTCCCTTCTCCAATAGACACGTGAATAAATTTTTAGAAAACTCGCACTTATCCTCTATGTTTTCTGTAAAGATAAAAATAAAAAAATATTTTTTTTATATCTTAAAAATCTTCAGTATTATTCGTCTAATATTTTCCTCGAAAATTGTAAAACGCTGGGGTAATAATAAATTATTATTATATATTATTATTATATATTAATAATATATTATTATTGCTTACTAGCGATTTACCCTCGCTTTACTCGGATGTTTCTCTAGGCGCCTAACAATAGCCTATCTGTTACTCCACAGATAAACAAACTATTTAACTGTGTACTAAATTACATCCAAAAGCCGTTTCAGCATGAATGATTATCAAACATACACACATAGAAACATTCACATTTATAATAAATTACCAGAACCCGCGGCTTCGCCCGCGCTAAAACTACAAAAACACTAAAAAGGTAGGTTTCATACAAACTTTCATCATTCATGCCCTATTTTCCCCCTTTTGGGATGAATTTAGAAAAATGCTAAAACTCAAATTTAATTAATTGTATTGAAGAGAATTAATACCAAGTTTCAATAATACTTTCTTAGATTAACGCGGATATTTGTCATCTATAGACTATACATTTAATAAAATTCTAACTAAGTCGAATCTGTACATTAAATATTTTTTGGAAAATCTTATTGCAATGGACATTATTATCGATACAGAGGCCGAATCTATAGTTTTTAGAATTTTTGTCTGTCTGTCTGTTACCGCATCACGGAAAAACCATTGGAGGGATTTTGATGAAATTTAGTATGATGGTAGCTGGTTATCCAGGTCTACATATAGGGTACTTTTTACTGCGGTAAAATATCTCATTTCTGAAAAAAAATACAAAAACTGCAATGTAAGACTATACTAATATGTAAAACTTAAGAATTTGGTTTTTGGTCATCGGAACGCGGGCGGAGCCGCGGGAATGCTAGTTTAAATAAAACTATCTAACTATTTTTGTAAAATAGTGGGTAGGCACTATCTGTAACAAGAATATGTGTTTGAGACGTCTATAACCTTAATCTTTCCCGTGACCATGACTGCTGTAAAGCATTCGAAACTTCGGGAACCAAAAATTAAAATAAATCCGCGAAATAATCCGAAAAGATAGTTTTATTTAAAATACCAAGTTCCAAGTCATTCTGATCATAAGTTTTTCTTTTGGATTTTATTATAACGTGTTTTCCCGTGGGAAAGAGCAAGTAGCATGGTAGCCTATGTAATTCCTATCCGTCCAACTATCTCCACACAAAAAATCACGCCAATCCGCCAAGTCGTTTCGACGTGAAATAAATACAAACAAACACACTTTCAAATTTATAATATTAGTATGGATAGTAGACCGATAACATGCAAATGAACACAATTCATGCATGTTTTAATCCCCCGAGATATTTTGCATAATTTACATCAATAAATTTTGTTCTATACGTAAAGCTTAACTTTAGAGTCACCTAAAAAGAATAATTAAAATATACCTAAAGAATTAAAAAAAGTATTATATAAAACAAGCTGTCTTTTACGCATACAAATTGATACACAAAATATATATAAATATTTTCGATTACCTATAATGACCACTTACCATTGTCAAGAATTTGAAAACATTCTTCAGTTGATTCTTGTATAGAATCCCTTATATCTTCATCTGTCTCTTCTTGCATTAGATTATGTGTGATCAGATATCTGTCGGGCATTCCGTTATCTCCTGTCTGAAACATATAATCATGGAATAATAATAATAAATCAAAGGAATTTTGAGACTAATAATAATTATAATAACACAATTTTAGTCTTTTAAAATAACCCACTATGTGGTTGTCTCTACATCGTTGGAACACTTGAAACGGTTAGGTTATCACATTGTTTTCTATTTCATTTTTAAGTTAGATTTTAATTTTAAAGTATGATAAATTAGCAGTACTTCTGTAATAGACATACCATGTGCAAATTTTCTAAATAACAATGCAAGACACACGCCCTGTTCACTTCTCTACTTGAGTTGTCACTTGAGTTCCTTTCATTTTTATAGCTATCCTCGTGACCACTGAAACGTTGCGAGTGAGGATTGTATTGGCTACGTTGTCCCGAATTCATCTCAACCCGCTTTTCTCGTTTGTATCTTCTTGAGGGTTGGGATGATGGCGAAGGATAATAAGTGTTGTGATGCGACGTGTCCTACAAGATTAATTGTTTCACAGTAATATGTTTAATCGATTTTTAATCGGATAACTATTATAAATACGAAAGTTTACATGTGTATTTATTAGTCCTTTACACTGAAAAAGGTAGACGGATTTAGATGAAATTCAGTACACAAATAGACTATAACTTATAGTAACACATAGGTAAGGCACACATGTAAGACACTTAGGGGAGTATCCAAACGAAGCTGGAGTAAGTAACCAGAAATACAGAAAAATAAACTATAATTAATTTAAAAGAATTGTTCTCTGAATTCACCTAAAATCACTACAATATTTTTTTTCTAAATATCTGTCCCTCTAACAAATTCACTTACGCTGCCATATTCCTCGCTTTGTAGAAACTCGTCTTGACCGCTCAAATGACCATTTCTACCATAGCTATTCATCATATCATTACTTCCTCTATGCCTTACATCAACGCCATTCATACTACCCATCCTATCGTTTCTAGAACCCATATTATTGCTTTGTTTAGAATTCATTCTATTGGACTGGTTATCTTTCATGTAATTTTTATTTTGTCTGTTATCACTTCTTTCGTTTGAGTCATCCCTATCTCTGTTTCTATCTCTATCACCATATTCTCCATTCCTATCTCTATTACCATTATCTCTATTTCTATCTCCATCTCCATTCTTGTCTCTATCTCCGTTTTCATTTTGGTAATCTCTTTGCCATTGATTCCTTTTATTCTTATGATTGGTCCAGTCATCAGCGGAATTCCGTCTACTTCCACTGGTGTTACCTTCTATTTGCCTTACGCAGTTATCGAATACATTCGAATATTTTTCTAGCTTAGAAGGATCTTCGAAACGACAGGAAAAAGCCTGATAAAACATTTTAAAATTATATATTAATTATGTAGTTTTATAAAATATTCCAAGGCACTACTGACATTTTATATAGGCAACTATTTAAAAAAATACTACAAGTGTACTACAATATGTGTAAAACGTTAATTTACTAAGGTTTCTGATTCACTTTTACATTAAATGTACAGGGTCATTGTTAATTTACTGAAAACCTTTTGGGATTATAGTATTTACATCATAACAACAACATCTGTAACAAGAAAAAACAATATTTCTTAAATTTTTATTTTCATACAAAAATATATATTTTTTCACTTTCTAAACTTTAAAGTTCTAGCATCTGGCCAAGTTTAAATGAGCAAACGCGGCTTCCTACAACCCTCCACCCCTCCTCCTCCACCGGACACGCACTTTCTTTTGCTAATGTTGGACTATTAAGAAGGAGCAATAAAAATATTTTTATTTTTGTTAAATTTAAGATATATATATTTTTTTCTTACAGATGTTATTGTTATGTTGTAAATAGTGTATTCCCAAAAGGTTTTCAGTAAATTAAAAATAACCCTGTATACTGGCAATAAAAAAATAGTAATATACTAGAAAATATATATATAGAAAAACACTAATAAAAATCTATTAGTTCCCACGGGAACCGTTCATTTTTCCCGGATGAAAAGTAACCGGTTGTTTGACCGGCAATATAAGGTATCAGAATGTTAAATTTTACTAAATTAGGTGCATAAGTTATATAAGTTATAATAGTTTTTTAACTATCCCACGGGAACCATTATATTTTCACAGGATAAAAAATATCTAAGACGTTGTCCGGGGATATAAGGTACCACCATGCAAAATTTCATTTAAATCGGTCCAATAGATTCGGAGATTAGCACGTACAAACAGACAAACAATATCACACGGGAACGCAGTCGAACGGGATAAAAAGTATCCTATGTCCGTCTCTGGGTTCTAAGCTACCTCCCCGCCAATTTTCAGCCAAATCGGTTCAGCCGTTCTGGAGTTATAAATAGTGTAACTAACACGACTTTCTTTTATATATATATAGATTTATTAGAATAAAAAAAAGTTACGAAAAATACTTACATAGCATTGCGAAATAATTAGGAGAAATAATAAAACACAATAGTCCCTGAGATACATTTTTACTCGCGATGTGGTCAATACAATGACGCTGTATACCGTGAATCGACCATATATACTCGTACCTACCCGTAATTGCAGCACACGCTCGACTAACTCCATATATTATGCTTTACTTAATTAAAAGTGCGCCATGAAACCGCTATGATTCGGATTCGGACATGTCTAGGAGGATGATGATAAGATAATGTTCCATCGTGAGTGAGAACTATAGAGAGCTAGATAGATGCTCAACGTATTTTATAACGACGTAAACGCCAGTTTTTAATTCACTATAAATTATTAAACAACCAATCGAAAAACAAATTCGGTAACTGAATATATACTTCTAGGCTTCCTGACAAAACAAAAACCCTACAAAAATACTGAGCTGTTTCTGAGATAAAAAACCACATGAGTGTAAATTATTTTAAAAAAATATTATCGAGAAATTTTTTACCAATCGTCTTTTATAATTTGGAAATTTAAGATAAAAGTCCGAAGTACCTATCATTTTCCTAAATATCAAAATGGTAACTTTCACAGATTCTGAGATAAATAACGATATCTAGGTACAAAATTGCAATATGCACATTCTTAATATGCACATATTTATTTACCTGATTATATATTTATAATTATTATACACTGGCGACTCGCCCTTTCTCCGCTTGGGTTCGTCCCTAGATATGTTTTAAAGAATAATATAGATTTCTCAGAGATAACATATTTTCCCACAGTAAAAAGTATCCTATATGTTGACCAGGATTACCAGCTATCATCTTACCAAATTTCATCAAAATCTATCCAGTGATTTTCTCGTGGTGCGTTTCCAGACAGACAGAAAAAATTCTAAAAAATATAGATCCGGCCTCTGTATCGATATATAATAATGTAGGTATATTTTAATAAGATTTTCCAAAAAATATTAAATGTACAGATTCGACTCGGAACTTTATTATATGTATCTATAGATAAGTATCTTATTTAAATTTAATTAAATTTTAACAAACATAATGTTAACTTATTACTTTAGCCATTACTTCTGGTAATTAGCGGTTTTTCTTTTTTTCGCGCTTTAGAGATGTATTATGATGAAATAAAGTTAAAGATCGAAATTAACTACCACTATTTTTAACCAGTGGCTCTGCACGCCTACTATTCCATACAAAACACCATACTAATATTATGATATAAGTATGTATGCTAAAGTTACTGAGCTTATCTGTTCTCACATCTCACATCTCAGCCCTGAACAGATTCAAGTGAAATTCGAAATGTAGAGTTTTTTAGTTAGTTACATCGCATTTTTTATTACGGTGGAAATGTCATGGCGTCTACCGAGCATTGGGCAGGGACCTCTTACTCACTAAAGCTAAAGGAATTCTGTCACAAATATTATAAGACAAAGACCACGTTTTGTTGACGTAGGCATTTGTCAATTGTGGCGTTCGGAGCCGCAGGTTCCTATCCCAATCCCCTACTAAAATTGGTTAACGTTGTAATATTATGCTATCATACAAATATAATAACACTAAAAGATCTAACGGTATAATATGAATCACAAAAAATTATAAACAATGTATTTAATGTAAAAATAGTATTAATTTAAAATATGTATGAATTAATTAATTTATACAACTTTTGAATTGGGTCGTGTTAAACCAAATTCAGCTAACGAATAATGTGAATCCGTCACGCCTGTCGGGGTCTCAGTGTAGAGCGGAACGTGTTTGACAGTAATCACAGGAAGACCAGCTGTGACCAATCCCAAATTGCCTTGTTTACTTGACATGACGACTGATAAAGAACTAAATTAAACTTTTATATTATGATGGTCTATGTACCTATTACCATCTTATCTATACCATCGCTTTCTACTTCAAAGTTCAAACAATATGTAGAGACAATCTACATATTATTTAAACTATGAACTAATTTGAATCTATAAAAGAAAATCCTTATTATCTTTGTATTCTAATTTTTTCAATTCCTAGATTTACTAATGAGTAATATTAAAAGCTATTTATTATATATACATAAAAACAATTTTCGGAACAAACATTAGTTAACTCGTTAGCTAAGTAAAAACTTCAGTTATATATAAATGATATTATACATTTCTTTTTTTTAAATCAGCATGAAGAGGTAATTCGTCAACTATGCCGACCAAAAAAGTTAGAAATAGACACGTATTGGATGAAGTTACGTGAAGTTTACGACACGTATCTCGAGAAGCACAACCCCATCATGGGGCATTATAATGCTCTGCGGGAGAAGGACGAGTTCTATCAGAGCGATATAGCTAAAAATGATTTACAAATTCAACAAGCCACAGTAAGTAATTGTTGAATTAGTAGGAACATTTTAAAAATACCTAGTGAAATATTATGAATAAATATTATGTGATCGGTGAAAATACTTAAAAAAAGGTCATATATAATGTTAGGAAGTTCGAGAAGAATGAAGGAGAGTTTGAGAAGCATTTAAAAGTTTTAGAGGCTTTGAGTCTGGAACTATCTAGATTCTAGACTCTATAAAGTTATGGCTAACCAAAAGATAGGTACCTAACAGATTAAATAGAAGGGTACTTTAATACTTCATTTATTTATTTTAATTTATATGTTAAAAATTAATGAAACCAATAGTAAAATTTTAGTCACACGTTTTATATAATAATAATTATACTATAAGTTGATAAATGATTACCTCGAATTCAATTTTTTTTAAATATATTTTTTGTAAAATATCAAAGTAAATGAAAACCTAGACCTTAGTCTGATAAAGTTAAAACAACTTTGGATAACGGACACTGAATTAAAAAAACACTAAATAAACTGCGATAAATCTAATATAGTGCTGTGTGCACTTTGTTTTAATTATTATAAAATTATTTATTGTAGTTTCCCAATTTAGGAAATTGTATTAAATTTACAAAATGAGTGGACGAAAACAGTATACACCATGAGCTGCAAACTGCAGCGCATGAACAGTCACAAGGAGGATCTCGCTAAGAAGTACTGGCAAATGAAGAAAGAAACTAAAACAGCTAGAAGTAGAGAGGATGAAATGCTCTCTGTGCTGGTGGACTCCAGTCATGATGCCATAAAAGTTTGAATTCACATTAATATCTTAAATAAGACAAGCCTTTTCTATACTTTGCCAATATTTTATTAATGAATTTCCATTTCATAATTTGTAAAAAAATCATATAACGTACTGACTTGTAATAATAAAAATTAATAATTAAATATACCTACTTAAGATTTTAAACCGATTGTATCAAATATCGACCAATTCGGTTCGATATTACGATACCGGCACCGCAAAGCTGGTCTGATAATGAAATCTGAAGGTCAGTTCAGTTGCCTCAGGCTCTACATTTAGTAAATATATTTTTAATTTTAGCGTCTCGAAGATGTCCAAAGTAAATTAAATAAAATTAAACAAATGGCAGAGATATGCAATAAATATGAGCATGAGAAAGACGACGTGTTCCTTGAAGATGTTGAAAAGAACGGGACATTTACTGACAATTTTGAAACTTTAGACACTGATATGATTGTAAGTTTACTTTGATAGTTTTCATAAATATCTTGTAGTTTATGTTTATTGAACCACTATTCACTAGGTATGTTTTAACGGTCAGTATGGGATAGATAGACTAGACTACATATTATATACCTAAGAGTGATGAGTTGTTGTGGTTTATATTTAATAGTGTTTTACCGTGAGAATGAGATAATCTCCCGCAGTAAAAAGTAGCTTATGTCACTCTCCCTCCTCCAAGTATCTCCACACAAAAAATCACGCCTATCTGTTTCGACGTGAAAGGACAGGTCCTTCAAACAAACAAATAAATACACTTTGTTTACACTTTCTTATATAATACTAGCGGCTCACCCTCGCTTCGCTCGGGTTCGCCTCTAGAAAGACACTGATGGAGATCTATTAGTTCCCACGGGAACCATTCATGTTTCCGGGATGAAAAGTAACCTGTTGTTTGACCGGCAATATAAAGTATCAGAATGTTAAATTTTACTAAATTAGGTGCATAACTTGTTGTGTACTAAGCTGTATAAGTTACTATAGTTTTTTGACTATCCCACGGGAACTCTTTAATTTTCCGGAATGAAAAGTATCTTACATTTCGACCGGGGATATACGGTACGACCATGCAAAATTTCATTTAAATCGGTCCAATAGTTTCGGAGATTAGCCCATACAAACAGACAAACCAAAAAAAATTGAAAAAAATCTGGATTTGTGCTATTTTTCTTCTTACGGGATATAAGAAGATAACTGACTCGGTTTTTAATATATTTTTTCTATGTACAGACAGACATTCGACCTCTACAGTTTTATTATATTTATAGATAGAATAAATAACGTATAATGAAACAGTAATATATAATAATGAAAATAGTTATAGCGAGTGTACCTTAGGAGATAGACATATACTATTGACAACTTTTCTATTGACCTTTTTAAGACTTACAATTTTCTTGTACAATGTTTTGATCTATCTCTTAAGGTTGAGCCAGCGTTAGCCACATAAATTTCTAAGAACAATTCGACAGAACCAGTTATTGTGTTTTCCCGTGGGAAGGAATAATTTGCCTGTCGTAAAAGGTATCCTAAATGTTGACCCAAGTACTAAGTTATCACTATACAAAATTTAGTTAAAATCGGTTCAGTACTTTTTGTGTGAAACGCGCACATCGATTTGACTAAGTTAGTTTTATTATAGGTATAGATAAGACATAGATATTGCTTAGGAGATATACATATACTTCAGAACTTTCCTGTAGGACTTTTCAAGACCTACAATTATTTAGTACATTGTTTTGATGTATGTACATATGTCTTAAGGTTTAGCCAGCGGAAGGTTTCTAGGGAGAACTCGATAAAACCAGTCATTTTATCTTCCCGTGAGAAAGAAAGATTTTCTTGAAGTAAAAGGTATCCTAAACCTTGACTCGAGTAATAAGTTATCACTTCACCAAATTTCGTTGAAATCGGTTCATTACTTTTCGCGTGAAACGCGCATACAATAAAAACTTTTTAACAAAAAAATAAAAACTGACTTCAAACAAAAGTACTAAAAAGTAAAAAATAACTGATTGGTAGTTTTCATTTACTACTAGCGGCTCACCCTCGCTTCGCTCGGGTTCGTCGCGAGGTACGTTTTAAATAGATATAAATAGTTATTAGCCAGCATTAGCCATATAATTTTTTTTTGTTAATAATATTGACAAATATTGACATTAATATTGATACGATTCTAATCACTCACTCAATTGCCATCAATGTTTTGCCTTCCCGGAACCTCTCCACTAACACTTAAACTTTATGTTATGGTATTAAAGTTCAAATTGACTTTTAAGTATTATTACAAATCTTTTGTATGGGAGTATAAAAGTGTTGGTTTTGGACTTTTTCAGGCAATTTTTTAAACTTTTCTCTCCGTAAGAACCATCCTCGTATTTCAAGGAATATTCTAAAAAAAGAATTAGCGAAATCGGTTCAGCTGCTCTCGAGATTTGCGTTTACCAACACATTCAGTGATTCATTTTTATATTATAGATACATACCTAATCAAATATTTTCGAAGTCGGTGTGCTTTGCTTTGTATGGGCTGGCCAAGATATAACCCTCCTTTGGGCTGCGCCGCAGTCGGTAAAACCTAACAAATTCTAAGTGCCATTTTACCCTACTGCGGCAAATGAGGGTTATGTGTTTAACCTATGTGTATGTTTTAATGATTCATACATCACTTATTTTAATGTAAGTTAAATTGTATTCAGCCTCTTTATAACATCCCCCTGCTGGGCATGGGCCTCCCTTCAGTATGCGGGTAATCAGGTCATAGTCCACCACGTTGGCCTAGTGCGGGTTGGCAATTTGAATACTTTATACTAACAGTCTGATTTAAATTTATTCTTTTATAATGTATCATTACATTATATTTCAGGAGGAGTGCAAGGAATTTAAGAAAATGGATAAATTTTTGTTAAAAGTGAACAGAGTAAAAGTACAAACTATGTGTTTAAAAGCTGAGAAAGCTAAACTGGCTAAGGAAAACATTCAGCTAAAACAATATATCAAGAGGTATCTTACAGAATTAGCACTCAAAGGAGGCAAAGATCGGCCTCTCAGTATGAAATGTCAGACTGCATTAAAGATTGAAATAAATGGAAATGTAATGTATGTATCATTGCAAATAAGTGTTAAGTAGCTTATTTAGGTCTTGATATAAAGTACTTAAGTTTCAAAACAAAACCATAATAAAGTTAGTCAAGTTTCACAATTTTATGGTATATACTCTTCATTTTTTTTTGATATATACTCTACAAACAAAGAATTACTAATATTAAATTTATTTAACAGTAAACGACCTGTGACTTGTATCGAAGGAGCTTTATCCAATGCTGTGATGCATGAACAAAGAATGAAATTACAGGAAAAGAAAAACAAAGAGTTAAACAACATTAGGGCTTACCCACGAGTTCACTGCTGGTAAATTAACATAATGGATATAAATTATAATTAAAATAAAATTATACAAACTTTTTATCATAACATAACAATGCTAACTTTAATCTTATAACTGCTTTTTTCAAAAAAATAAACAAATTAAAAAAAATCATTTATTTAACAAAAATAATGTAAGGCTATTGTGGTAATAGGCAAATGTATAATAAATTACAAAATAAGCTTATCTCTGTTCTTTACTCAAATGGTTGAACTCCCTCCATAGCACCTCCTCTTTCCACAGAACCTTCACCCAAATCCCAAGGATAGTCAAGCGCCACTAATAATTTAGCCAAACTTTTGTATCCCTCGATATCTATATTTTTAGTCATTTCTCCAGAAAATGGTACATATTCATCACAGAGAACACTCTTGCCTTGTGATACACCGTGAATTTCGTACCAACCTTCAAGATGTTCAGTGAGAGGTTCTTTTAATTTGATAAGAATTTCTTGATCATCAACAGTTTTAACATAAAAGCCTTCGCTACTTGAAACTTTGGTAACTTTTCCCCAAAGACTGATTTTGGCGCTATGTCTTTGTGCAAGGTTACCGGCGGTCACGTATGGAATATATTCATCATTATCAGGATATTTAGTGTCTTCCAAATCTCCCTGATCACCCATAGTTATTAACTTGCAACTTTTAGGAAATTTATTATCCAAATATTCGGTATTTCAAAAGTTTAAATACTCTTCCGCTGAAAACTGAATTATTATTGATAATCACCATGGATGACAAATAAAAATCACCATTCACCACAGATAAGGATAACAATAACAGATTATATAGGTTTTAACTTTTAAGTCTATAATCTATTAACTACCATGGATGACAAATAAAATTATCTATTCCGTTAGGCCTACCACATACATCGACTAAACTGTTTTGTCAAGTTGTATACTTGTGTCGATTTCATGACAACCCAACAGTTTAGTCGACGAGGTGTGATTTAGGCGCACTAAATTATTATTAACTCTGTCGTAATTGATTTATTTTAGTTTTCTTGTGTTTCGTTTTTTAAGGGGTTGTTTTAAGGAACTCAATTATGTTTAAATATTCATTTTTATAAGTAATAATTATTATAAAATTATTATTAGTAAAAATTTATTTTTATTAATAATAATTATTATAAGAAATAAATACATTGGGATATTAATACACAGCATCATCTAGTTCCATGGTAAGCTACGAGGCCTGTGTTATGGAAACTAAATAGTTGATACACTACACATATAAAACTTTAAATACATACATATTATTATTAATATAAACACCCATGACTGGAGCACGCATACGCTCGACTAAACAGTCGATCCGTGACAGTCGTGCTGCTACGTTTAGCTCAGTTTGTAGTGACCCTACTTGCTGTGCCAGCGGTCTTGGGTTCGAGTCCCGCTGGGGGCGTCCGTTTGTATGAAGAGCAAGAATATTTGTACTCCAGTCATGAGTGTTTATACTATGCATGTTTTTAAAGTTATATATGTGTAGTATATCAACTGTCTGGTATCCATAACACAAGCCTCGTAGCTTACCATGGAACTAGATGGTGCTGTGTGTTAATGTTCCAACATATTTATTATTATTATTTTAGCGCTTTGGGTGCTAGTTTAGCTTTGTTGGTGTGTTTAGCGCGCAAATCAAAATTTTAGCGCCTAGTGGATAATCTAGCGCTTTTTTCCTTTGTGTCAAGGCAATATTGATAATCTTTATTACAGATACACTATAAGTGGAGGAATCTCCTTTATTAAATTTTCGTTCATGGTATTATTTTCATTCTGTCATTTTTCAGTTTCAGTCAGTTGTTTTGAGAACAACTAAATTAAAAGTTACTTGGAAGTAACAATACAAAGAAAGTGTATGGCCGTCCGCAAATATTCAGTTTTAGGTTGTATTTGGTCATTAGTATAAATGCCATTCTGTTGATTCGTAAACGATTAACTTCATGGCAGCAATTGTTATAATTATGAGCTTGCAGTCGATGTCTTGCGAAGGATTGGGACATCTGAGAAATATAGTCAGAAAAATACGCTGATGAAGCTGGCCCTAGTTTAGTAATGCGTTATTAACTTTTTAATTTAATATTAAGTCTTTAATGGTGTTTTTTTTATTATGATGATGGCGAAATATGTAATTTACTTTTTACTGCGGGAAAATATCTAATTTCTGAGGAATCTATATCCAAAACATTAAAACGTAAGGCCTGTTGTTAACAACACGGTTTCTTTTTCACAACACGGTTAAAAAACCATGCGAGTTTGTATATGACACGGCAACACCATCGAACGAGATAACAGTAAGGTACGGCTCAGTTGCGTTTATTTAATGCGCCATGAATCCTCATAAAGAAAAAAAATAATCATTGCTTTTACATATTATTTTATATATATTTTACATACTATTTACATATTATAGGAAACTCAAAAAGAAGGAAAAGAAGGCTATGATACATCCGATTTTAGAAAAAAGGGAGAAATATGGCGCATTTCAAACACTTGTCAAAAATCGACTGATTATAATTATTGTTGTATTTAGATTATTAATCAACTTAAATTATAAGTATAAAAATAAAAACATCCAAATTTCAATAGGGAAGATGGCTGGGTACTACCATCGTCATGGGATCCTGTTATTAATATAATAAAATCAAATAATAAATATAAACATAACAGACAGGCAGATGTAGTAAGTTCATACCAGCCCCGGCCGAGCTCCATACAAGCGCATATTCATAAAACCGAAGGCGAATAAGACGAAGCGGGGGCCGGGGGGGTCAAGATAGTCAAAGAAAGATTTTTCCCGATTTAACCATTATAAATTAAAAATAGCTACATGGGATATGTTAATTAATATCTTATTATATTATAAAATATACTTAAGTTAAATATGTTTATAATGATTTTTTTTATAAATCATATGTGCTATATATTGATTTATATAATTATATTCTAAATGATTTTAACTATTATCGAATATCTTATATTTTAATTATATTTCATATCAAACATAAAATATCTATTAACATAGGTTTTTATGTTATAAAAATTGATTTATATTTTAGAGCTGTGTCATGATATTTGCCTTAATATGGGGACAGTTATGGCATAAATGGCAAGTCAAAATATGCTGTCACTTTCACGGCTATTGTATTTCTTTTGAGTCGCCACGCATCTCTTTCTATGGGTATGACGTCATATGCGAATCTGGGAGAATTTAGTTCGTAGTGATGTGAAAATCGGTATTCATTACGATTACGATTAAGTAGGGATGTTTTTATCGTAATGTTATCGGTATTCAACAACTGTTATCGGTTTTATAGTAAGGTTTTCATTTTTATGATATTAATTATAATTAGAAATAAAATACAAAGATAGGTTTCTCGTTTTTTTATTTTACTATTTTAATGCTACCACTAGTTTGGAAAAATGCCTCAGACCTGAGAAGAATTAGCAAGGACTGAGGTCCTTGACGGGATAACCTTTTTTTTAACATTTATAACACATTGTTATTACAATAAAAGGACATTTTTAAAGAATTTTATCAATTGAATACAAAATACAAAAAATATAAATTAGTACAACGATTTGGTATAAAATATTACAATGCAATAAAATTAGAAGTAACATAGAACAATAGTTTTTGTTAATAACAATATCATATTAAGCGAGTAGTAGGTTTAATTGTAGGTATAAATTAAAATCTAGCTTTTGTTTGCAGTTTTAGCTCTAGAACCACCTTCATCTTCAGTTTATAAAATGCAAAGATTCGAGATTAGCGCATTTGAAAAAACAAACATTTTAATCTTATATAAATTTAAAAAAAAATGCAAATTTCAGTAAAAAAAATGAATAATAAAATTAATTTTCTTAAAAGCTTAAGAAATTTAAAATCAAAATGTACATAGTAATAGTAAAAATTTGGTGTAAAAAGAAATAACAGCTAAACATACTCTAAAATAAAATTTCTAAATACATAGTTCTATCAAATGTAACAATTATAATTAATATATTAAAATTATATACTGCTATAGTAGTATATTTTAAGAAATTATAATATTATTTCACAGAAATCAAATGAAATATTCATACATTATTTTTATACTTAATAGAAACATAATGAAAATGGAAAATTCTAAGTGATTATCTTTTAAATAACCAAGAAATGAAACAAACAAGAGTAATAAATATTAAAAGTTAATTAATGAAAAAATATTGGAAAATCATTCACTACTCTGAAGACTAGATGAGTTCAACCATAGCTAGGCCCTTCTGAAACTTTCATATTAAGCAAATTTTCTATTTCCAGACCCTTTTTTCTCGAATCCACTTCATGTATTCTTCAATTAAAATTTATACACCTTTGTTTAACTTTTATACATATCATAAATAATGAGAATGCTCTTAAAAATATTTCTCTATGATCTACACAAGTGTACCAAGAGGTATCAAGATTTTCAAATGCTTTTATTAAATCGGGAAATATGTTAACTTCACAAATCTTTAATACTTTCTTAGATTTACGCGAATATTTGACATTTTAAATAAAACTATCTTTTCGGATTTGAAACGTCGGGAAACAAAAATACAAATAAATCCGCGACAAAATCCGAAAAGATAGTTTTATTTAAAATTCACAAATCTTTGGTAATTGTCTTTCAATTATGTAAATTGCATACCATACTAGAGATGACAGATTCTTAGAAGGATCATGTATTTTATTATTAATGAATAAAATAATCTCAGCTGTGAATAAGCCATTCTCAATATTTACATTTAATGTATTACAATAATTGTGTTCTTCCTGGAAACTAAAAGCCTTTATCAGGAGACTTATAGATGTTGAAACACTTCAACTGCTGAAACACCTGCGCAGCATATACTTCACCTGTAAATATTATAATAAATTAATGTAATACAACAAATAGTCACCATAACTATAGTATATGTACTAGTAACTAGATGAATAGTAGCTTATTTAAATATAGTATTAGTTTATTATTATTAGGGTCTAGGTAGATAAGCCAATTAAGCCCTTAAATAGCTTTTAACATTATACAATAGATAGGCTATATAGTTGATAAATTATTTTTAATGGACTGAGCATTACATGGATAAGTGCATTAAAACAATAAACAAACTCTTCAATTTTACATATTAGAATTGAATAGTATAATAATAAATAGTATAATAATATCAATAGCTTCAAGAAGTTTCCTTCTTAAAAACAATTTCATATTAAATATAAGATAATATCCAAGATCTAAAGTAATATAATAATATCTTAATTTACTTAACTTAACAATATAGTTACCTTCATCTTAACAAAAGAGTTTGGATAAATATGCCTGTCAGTAAATTTGTTAGCCTTGCAGCACCTTTATGGTCATCTACTTTATACAACATATGAACATAATCCCATTGAGCATGCTGACTGCCTAGGAGCAAATTCTTTTTCTGAAAATTATTACTGAAACATTTCAGTAAATGAGGTACATCATACTTATGATAGGTTTTGTTCCCATTAACTTCATAATGGATAGCACTTGATGCATCATTGGCACTACAAAGTATATTTACCTTAGTATCAGAAATTAATGAATTTATTGCAGCTACATTGGCAGAAACCTAGTCAGATAGAGTTACTCTAGAAATAAACCCTGTTTATAAGAATTTCTATAAGTATACGTTATAAAATTGAAGTGCATCTTTATAAGGCATTCTATGGCATGAAAAACCTGTTCCTTCCTGACAATTCGAAATATTAATGCTTTCCCATGATTACACAACATTAATAAAAAACCAATAAAAGGAAGAGAAACACTAATGAAGAAATCACAAATTTTGTATCCAAGCACAAATCTTAACTATATCACTGATCTACATTAATCAGCACTTATCCACATTAATCAATACTAATCTACAAATTGATAAAATGTAAATTTAAAGTGTAAAATAATATAAAAACTGCAAGCCCTCACACCCTAGTCCCCAGGGGCGAGTAATAACAACGGTTAAAACTTGAAAATTTCAAAAATGACAAAATATTGCAGTGACGTCACAGTAGTGACGTATGTAACTGCGACAGAAATAAGTTGTTGTCCCACTCGTTGTCGCCAAATGTAGAGATAGCATGCTAGTTACCAAGCAAATGAAAGGGATAGATAGATCCACCAAGAGCTCGTATGGAACTAATTCATCTATTTTATTTGTCATCCATGGTTCATACTGTGTAGATCAAAATGACAGCTTATCAGATTAATATTTTTCATTTGTAAAAGTATATATTAATAGTGTTGCTTAGTAAGTTGTTTTTAAATAATAGCAAACTAAATTAAAATGATTATCCGTAATTAATTTTAACTTTTTAAATTACACATAGAACAATTATATGGCTTTAATAATTAATACTATATTTTTATATTTTTTATTTATGGTTATAAATATAATAATGGCAACACTAAATATAGATTACTAATCAATATTTTTAAAATTGTAATAATTATAAAAATAATAGCAAAAATTAAATAAATAATTTTCCATATTCAATTATAATTAAAATTATAAAAAATGTTTAAAGTTAAAAATATTGTAATGTAATTGGTGCAATTTTCATTTTGTTAATTGTGGGTAGGCTGTCTGTAACAACTATATCTTTAAGACATGTAACACCTCAGTCTCTCCCGTGACCATGGATGCTGTAAAGCATTCGAAACGTCGGGAACCAAAAATCAAAATAAATCCGCGAAATAATCCGAAAAGATAGTTTTATTTAAAAATGTCAAACATTCGCGTAAATCTAAGAAAGTATAAAGATTAAATGTCAAGATTATAATCAACTGATTGTAATCACCAATAGTTTTATCCCATATTTATAGACCTTTCTTCAATCAATGTCATTAGTGTTTATCGTAATAAAGAAAATCAGCGTATATAAACTGTCCCGAAAACGATTGTCGCCGTGAAAATATCCGGCGCCGTCTACACACTCGCGTAGACTGCAATACAACACCGATAAAAATCACGCCGTGCGTAAATACGGCGCGCCGAAGGGCACACACGGCGGCGGCGCCGTGCAGTAGCGCCGCCGTGTATGTCAACATGCTTCCATTCCAGTGATCTATACTACACTGACGACCGTGCCTACACACGGCGAATTAACCGTAGATTTTCACGGCGAAAAACCGTGTGTACAAGAAGCCTAAGTAGGGACGAACTCGAGCGGAGCGAGGGTGAGTCGCTAGTTTAAAATATATCTACGAGTATATCAACATTGTGATATTTTTATACTGATACGACTCGTGCTACCTCTATATTTTTGAAAGGATCATCATACACTGGCGTGCAAAAAAATCGGGCCACCTAGAGAAAATGGACAAACTTAAGATATGATATTTTTTATTAATTTTGTTATTATATATGGGTAGCTGTATACCCTAGGTACCTAAATCAATAATCGTTGAATAATTTAAATAAAAATTATTGCTCGAAAATAGAGGAAAATCAAATTTAATGATTCGCGAGTTTGGTATAAAAATGTAAGCCGCAAATTAATGGGAAAATTAAAAGATTTCGATTGGTTTTATGATTTTTAATAATGCGTATTACCGCCTCTATTTTTAATTACAGCTTTTAATCGGTTTTTCAGAGATTTGACACACTTTTTCAGATAATCTTGTGTAATAGACTCCCATTCTTCCAATAAGGCGCTTTTTAATTCTTGAATGTTGCTCGGGACTACTACGCGACTTCTAACTTTTCTTTTGAGATGGTCCCATACATGCTCTATCGGATTGAGGTCAGGGCTTCGCGCTGGCCAGGCAATAGTAGACACTCCGACCTCTTGAAGATACTGCCTTACTGATGTAGCAGTGTGTGGGCGAGCATTATCTTGTAGAAGTAGAAAATCTTCTCCAATGAACCCAGTAAAAGGCATCACATGATCTTCTAAAACCTGCATTATATACCTAGCGGTTGTAAGGGATCCATTTTCTATGAATATAAGCTCGGTTTTCGCTTCATAACAGAATCCTGCCCAAAACATAACTGAGCCCCCTCCATATGACACTGTTTCCCGCATAGTGCATATCTTTCACCTGGTCGCCGGTAAACAAAATTACGGCCGTCGGCACCATGCAAACACATTCTGCTTTCGTCAGTAATAAGAACCTTCTTCCACTGCTCCAAATTCCAATTCACGTGATCTCGGGCAAAAAGTAATCTTGCAATTCGATGTGCAGGGGTGAGTTTGGGGCCAGTTGCGGACTTGTGTGGCGTCAGGGAAGCGGCTCTAAGTCGGCGCCTTACTGTCCACTCGCTAACATTAACACCTCTCACTTCTCTCAGGAGATTTCGAACGTCAACCCCTGTGCGATGACGATTTCTTAGAGCTGATGACACAATAAATCGATCATCACGCTCTGATGTGGCTCTTCGTCGGCCGGAACCATGTCGTCGTACAAAGCCACCAGTCTCTATGTAACGTTTGTACACTCTGGACCGTAGAACGGCTCACAGAAAAAGCTTGAGGCACTTGACGTTGATTTTGTCCAGTTTCAAGCAAAGTTACAATTCGAGATGATTCAGCCTCGGTCACATCCATCTTGCAGTATTTCTAATAATCGCAGATCAAAGTAGAAGTGTCTCAGTCATAATTGGAACTCAACTAAGCTTCTAAAATAACAAAAAACAGTATTTGTGGCTTTAATCCATATTATGCAAATATTCACTAATTACTGCTAATTGACCATAATTAAGCGCACACGTGCATTTCCAGGAATTTTATGACTTTTTTTAAGCAAACAAAGGCGTCTAATCTCCTTAATTACCTTTGTGGTATTTTTTTTCACTAAACAATTGTCAACAAAAAATTATGCTTAAAATTAAGAGTGGCCCCATTTTTTTGAACGCCAGTGTATTATGCCGTTAGTATTATTCATGAATGAATTAGTGGCTACTTCGTTCAGGTATTATTTTTAAATTTATAAATAAAAAATGAACAATGGTAATTCATGGTGATGATTAAAGCGAACAAATAAAAAAATGTCAATGAAAAATCATTAAAGTGAAAATTTTATTTATTTACAGTTTTCATAACAGAATTTTAGTCGGCAAACAGTATCCTCTTACATATAAAAACTGGTATTCTTATCTGATTAAAAGACTAATATTATTACTAAGCAAAGTGATCTTCCCGATCTGCGGCTAGGGTTGGCGCGGTGGCGTCTTCCATTGCGGCGAAGTTCATGAAGTGAGCTGGTCTGTGAACTTCGTGGTAGAACTCGCGTGGATTGCCTAGTTGTACGCCATACTTCATGTTTGGATCGTGACGAACACCTATAGGTAAATGAAAAAAATTTGAGTCGAATTAGAAAAGTAAGAAGATATTTGTTACTAGTTACTTAAGAAAGGGCAACAAAAATAATTTTAGCGAATGTGAATTTGCAATAATTATACTAATATAAGTACATTAAGATATTTACTGAAATAAACATTTCTTACCCATAAAGTTGTAATTCCAGCTTCCTTGAGACGGTACCATGAAGTAACCCAAGAACCTATCAGACAGCAGCATCTGTACCCTCTCATAATGGCTTGGGAGGTATCCCTTGGGATTATTCCCTCTGTCTGTATTTTTCGCGCCCCATTCATATCCACTAGGTGTTAGTTTGTATGCAGTGAGAGAACAGGAACCGGGAGTGAAGGAACAGGTAATGACAATAGTTTTCTCTCCATCCCATGTTGGGTTTTCAGCCATTATTTTTGCGTGTGTTGTTATATCCTACAAAATAATAAAATAATAATGCTATTATTAAATTATTTCGTGTCTTTAATATACACTTAAATTGTAAAACTTAAATTGTTTAATATATACTTAAATACAAAAGTAAAAATAGTATTATAACTGTGCTTCATTTAGGTAATTTGTTAAACATTTGCGTACGAAGTAAAGCCTTTTGAGCTGCTATTAATTTTATTATACAATTACACAGAATACAAATAACATTTTTTATTAATAACATCATAACATTTACCTGTGGAGATAATTGTGGTAGCTCATTAGGCTGAGTGTGCATCCATCCAAGCGGCTGTAGATGAGCTAAAGCCGGGTGTTTGGGCAGTTGCCTTGGTAAATGCACGGCTTGGTGAGTGCCCCACTGTGGCGGTAGTACTGCGCAGTGCACTTCACGCACTTGCGGGTTGTCCGGTGGTGATGTGCCGTAGAGGTAGCACGCAATCTGTAAATATCAATGTTATATTTTAATGGAATTTTAAATAGACCAATTTTAGTGATTCGGTTTTAATAATTAGGTTAAATACGAATGGTCAATTCAGGTTACAAAATTATTCATCTTTAAGATGGGTAATAATTACTCAGATTGGGAAGGTAGTTTAATTATTATTATTTATTTATTTTAATTAATCTAATTAGGTAGGAAATTAATTTTATTTTGGTACATATTGTTCTTGTTACTCTGCTTACTCATACTCTATTTTATTTATCTATCTAATAATTTCATAGCTAATCAATCTTACCTGTGCTCTCAGGTCAGAAATTGTGACAAATTTCTTGAGCAGGTTCTTGGGCAGAATGTATGTGTAGCCACTCTCTTTAATGTCGTCAGAGCTGACGTAAATGTGGTTCGTACGCAGATGAAGGTTGGTCGCAGAAATAGCACGAACCCGCCATTCGGTCTTAGAACTAAAATAAAAAATATATAATTAATATTTCAATATTTTAAAACTCTAGTTATATAATAGTTTTTATTTACAATAAGTTCTTGTGATTATTCTCCCACTAGGTTGAAAAAAATACTTTTCTATGCGATCTTGGCGAAGTAAGCTGTGTTCAATGGACGCTTTGGGGCCATTAATAAGAGAATTGAATTTAAAAATCTCTAAATTTTATATCTCTAATATTAGACGCCTATTATAAGAAAATTATGAAATAATAGTAATATTAAATCTCCGATTTCTGATAAAATTTAATATAATCTGATAGGCATAAGCTTTTAACATTATTTCAAAACATCAAGTTTTGCATCATGAGTAACAACAAACATACAAAATATTTAAAAATCGGTAATTTGATGTAAATTCCATACAGACAATTGTAACATATCCTTATTTATTTTAATTACAAAACACATTCGCACAGATTAAATCAAAAGAAACATTAGAATACATTGCTCATTGTCTATATTATGCGGACATATAAAAGCGCTGCGTCATTACAACGCGACCTTTTTTAATCGGTCAGCCTGCGGGGAACGAGTTGAAGAGACAACGAGAGATCACTTCACGTCTTGACCGCGGACGGCTGCACCCTAGTCTTATTTTACTACAATGTAGTGTGCACTTATTTTAATAGTTTAGTTAATCTTCATCTTCGTAAGTTTTTACTAACCCCAGACTGGATAAGTGTTGTAAAACAATTTCCTATATTTTAGATATAAGAGTTAATAGTCCGTATAATTTACATGTACCTATATCTACCGTCAACGTTAAAAAATATATAAGTATTTTAGAAAGTAGTTAAAAGCAATCCTTGTTTTTAATCAATATTTATGCTTATTTTGTTTAAGAAATGTTTGTACCTTGTTTTTTTATTTTGATTAATATAACTTCTTATGTTAAACTTTATTCCCTTTGTATGCTGGAATTATTTTTACAAACACATTTTGTTACGCCTGGACTGCCTCATCTATTAATATATCAATGTATATTGAATATTACTATCCTGTGTTTAGCGTGGTATCAAAAACTTATCACATCGGAAAAATAGGATGTTGCAGTCAGGTGTACGAAATCAGTCATTTGTTAAAATGTCTGAATATGTGCGTTACAGGGTTTTCTTAACTTCTACGTAAATTTCTCACTCTCGGAGGACATCCGAAACGCAGAAGTCACTTAAGGACATCAGAGGTCGCGCAAGGACGTTAGAGGTCACCCAAGGGCGTGAGAGGACTTCACCGAACATTCCAGACTCCCGTCTCTTGAGACTCCATTATCCGGCTACAACCGCGGACTTACCCGTGGATGAAAATTAAGCTACACCTACCGTGTCGCTAGCCAGGACTTTGAGGTTAATCTTAGTTTATTATTATATCATTTTAGTATCATGTAGCATCGAAAAAGTGTTCTCTTATTTTATATACCTTTTAACTTAATAGTAATAATCCCTTCTTAGGATACGCGAATATTATTATTTGTACTACGTAACTATATTTTAATATACTTGTAAAACTTGATATTGAATTTTATTTTTCTCTTTAAATTAATAAACCGCTACACAATGAAAAGAAAATACCATAAAATATTCTGTAATTATCCCCAATACACAGATAAGCCACTGTTATTTTTATCATATCTCTTTTAAACTTACAATTAGTATTACTAAAAACAGAAGTGATAAATACCTAAACGTCTGCGACTCATAGTTGCTTGTAGTAGATGTGATGATTTCATCACCATGCTTATTCACGGTGCGAGTGGTGGTAGCCGTTAGTTGACTCTGTTCCTTGCTCTGCTTCTCGATCTCAGCGATCTGTTGCCTTTGAGCTGACGGCGCGGATATTTCCATACCGAGGATGATGTCTCGGATCTCGGATTGAGTCAAGGACGCTACGTTCACACTGAAAGGAAATAATATATGAAATAGCTTGTACGATTTTAATATATTTCTACTTGGTTTTTGCCTAGGGCTCTCAGTGTAAAAAAATATATGCCTATATTTGCTCAATTCTTCAGTGAAGTTTCAAAGTAAAATTAGTTTTACTCAGAATGGTATTGTAGAGTTAATGAAAACAAATACAAGACATTTCTTTAAATAATTATTATATTTAATGACTTTAGGTAATGTATACAGCATGGAGGACTCCATTAAAAATAATCTTCATCAAAAAGAAATAAAGAATAGATGGGCAGCTATTTCAAATTAACATGGATTTTTTTTTTTTTTTTCATAAGTATAGAGCAAAGTGTAATAACATATTTCACTAAAAATTATTTAAAACATTTTATATCAAGAAAATATAAACTCACTTGTTCTTCTTGCCGTAATCAGCCAATATGAGATCTTTGAGTTGAACTTCAACCTTGATCCAGTCATCATCAGAGAGAGTGGGCCAGATATGATGAGGCTCTGTTAGTGTTGTTTTATCTGGTTTTAGGAGAACCTTTGTCCTTTCGGTGTTTACGTGAAGGGCGCGCAATATGAGGATCAGTCTACTGAATGCCTATGGAAATTTGATTGTGTCATATTAAAAATACTAAAAAAGGTATGTAGTTATTGTGGAATACCCTCAAGTTTACTCTATTACAGCTGGTCAAAAAGTATATACACATTAAATTTTATATAAGGTATACTTACTGTATATGAAGATATAGTTTTCAACCAGTCGTCATACAAATTGAACAGCACCATCTGAGGTTCAGTGGCCTTGAGGATTAGATCACCAAACTTCTCCACTTTGAGACAGGCTTGGAATGGTAGTTGTAATTCCGAACCCTTGATTACAATATTTGGGAAATCTAGCAAGTGGACCTGTGAAAATAGGAATAATGTAAGCACTTATGATTAGCCAAAATATAAATGTCCAAAACAATTTATTAAAGACTGGCGACTCTTACGTTATTTTACGACTTAGGTGCGTTCTAATTTTTTTCCTGCAGAACCCTATTTTTTTTCTAAAATGAAAGTAAAGTAGTCTAAGTCTTATAACAGCAGAAAGTCCCGTCAAAATCAGTCTAGCCGTTTCTGTGATTAGTCAGAACAAACAAACACAAAAATTTTAAAAATCGTGTTTTTCTTATAATTACTTTATATTTTCATATGCATTTAGTAAAAAGTTATTATGACAGTTATTTAGACAGTACAAACAGATACTTCATTTTTATTTATCTGTATAGATATAGTCTTAATCATAGTATTTAAGCTTACAGTGTAATTTTATAACAGGTTATCTAAAAAAAATGTTGTCTTCGAAAATTACATTTGTTAACATCTACCACAAACAGTTTTTATATGACTGATAAACGTCAACAATTTAGGTAGTAGAATACAAAATAGGCTCACCTCAAGGGGGTCCAACATTCCTTTCCTGGTGACAATGATTTGTTTCGGCTGTTCTTCTACTGGCAGTGAGCGAATGAGCGCCGCTACTTCTTCTGCAGTCTTCCATTTTGCGAGCTAACAGAAACAAAAAAATATTTTTAATTTTGATGCATGATGAAAAATGTGCAGGGTTTAATTTGTATGTGTAAAAGTAATGTTCTGATAGAATTATTGATTTAAAAACCAATTTTATATCTATTACTGTTCTGATGGAATTATTGATTTAAAAACCAATTTTACATCTATTAATGTTGACTGTTGGCTATACTGTAAAATAAAGCTTTATTTATCTACTACATTTAATTTTTGTTGTGATCTGGAATTTAGTGAAGTGAAATTATTATTTAGCGGCTAACTAATAATATTATAATATACATAATAAAATAATATACATCATTTAAATATAATATACCTGTCCGAGACGTTTCTGTCCCGCCCAAACGCTAGTGTGAATGATCTTGAGGAAGAGTTGGCCTGTGCGGGGATTGAAAATAAAGATGGCGCCGTTGATAGGCTTTGTGGTCAAGTTACCCTCGAACGTCTTGTGGATTGTTACACGATACACGTTTGTGTCGTCTACGAACCTTAAAAAATAAAAATAAAATAGTTTGAGGAACAGAGCATTGAAAATAATTCATGTTTTTTATCAGTAACATATTTGTCATGTTGTGGTTTCATGCCAAATACTTTTCATATTTGGAAAACAAATGATTAAAAAAGGCCCGACTTCTAAGTTTAGAATAAAATCAGTGATAACATCACATCAACTATCCATGCCAGAAAAGAGGGAATTCCAAATTTAATATGTACTCATACATTTTTTTTATTACAGTATATATGCATTTATAATTTACATATTTATATATTTTAACAGTTAGTATGAAATACAAATCATTGAATTTCTCTGTTATTCTGTACTATATTATGCATGTATTATACATAATGGAAACCTTCCTCTTGAATCACTCTATCTATTAAAAAAAAACGCATCAAAATCCATTGCGTAGTTTTAAAGATCTAAGCATACATACATACATACATAGAGACAGACAGCGGAAGCGACTTTGTTTTATACTACATAGTGATATCGTGTACTAAATTATCAGTTTAAAGAACTTTATTTCTCATTACGAACAAGTCTTTTACATGAAAAACATATATTTCGATATAAGAAATTATGACAGTTGATCAGTAGAACTGAGAACATTAGTTAGAAAAAATATATTTATATAACCTAGACTTAAAGATATTGAGTTTTATATTTTTTTTATTTCTTTTGGCAAACTATTGTAGAGTTTTAACTTTACACTATACACCATACAGATAGTTATGGCCAGATAATAAAAGTTTATCTTAGTAAACTTACCAAATAATCTGGTTAGAGAACAGTTCTCCATAGTTCTGGCTGGATAGGTACGGCTCAGTGGGCTCAGACGAGTACAGCTGTAGGGCTTTGCGGATGCGTTCACGTAACACGTATAGAGCTGGATTCGCTTTCATTATCTTGGCCATAGCTTGTTGGATGAGTGGTTTGCAACCGGGGAACCAGTTACCATATGCACTGTTTATAGAGAAAAAATGTTTTAAAAACAAACATATACCTTTTATATTGTAAAAATAAAATATTTTCAATACTTATTTTGGTATATATAAATAATATTATAATACCTATAAAGTTACAATAATCAATATTGTTTAGATTTTCTACTTCTTACAAAATAATTTTGACATATTTATAATCAACGCCTACCAAAATTTTGTTTTAGACTAAACTTAAACAACATTTATTATGCAATAAATTCTTCCAAAAAAAAAGGAACTATTGGAGATAATCTCCATCATAAAAAACCTTACCTGTGCAGATTGTATGCCAAATCAATAGCAATAAGCAAGCCCGTAGGCGAGGGGTATATTGACATATTATCAGTTGTGTAGTCGAGGAACTTGGCTCGCGCGTATCTCTCCACGTCGTGCGAGTCGTAGTCGCCCCATCTCAGTTGTATATCGAGCCAGTACTTTTGTGTCGTTGTATTGTCCATAGTGTCCCTAAAGAATTTAGATATTTTGAAAATTTAACGTAGTATATAGCTTGAGCCTCCTATTCTATTATGACGAAAACTAGAATTTATATATAATTATGTTTGTTACTACTACTTATATTACTTATAAAAACTATATAATTATTAATTATACAATAATAAAAACAAAAAATATACACGTACATAAAGTATGACTTCCTAAAATTACTATAATTAAACACACAAGCACTTCACTTAAGTTTATTTCACTAATAACCTAATAACTGACAATTTTATCCGCAAATTTACCGTCTAGAATTTATCCCGACTTTAAATACTTACTTTGTATCAGCAAGGAGAGACGGGCGAGAAACATTCCACTTATAGGCCGAAAACAGTAAAATGTCGGCGCAAGACGAGTTCATCTTATACGATTTGCGTGGATGGATAGTTTCCTTTTGTACTGTTTCTATCTCGAGGGCGTCCAGTTCCTGATCGAATACTTGACACAAGTCCATCACAATAGACTCGTGGACCTTCTGCCACAAGTGAGCTCTGAAGATTTGAATGAGCGAAATCTTCAGTGTTGGGATTTTGCCGTGCATGAATATACCCGTTAAGTCCAGTTGCACCTATAAGAAGCGAATCATGTTAAATTTAATTTGGAATTGACTTTATTTGTATTTAATTTAGTTCAGTCAAGTTTTTTTTTATCTTAGGCTTAACAATTGTACAATTTTTCTGAATGTTTTTAATTGAATGTAAGGCACATTATATTAATTATATATTTTAAAGTTTCTCTTCCAAGAGAATCGGAAAGTTAAATACATAATTTATCGTCAAAACACACACCTGGAAACCGACGTATACGTTAGCTCGGTTGATAGTAGGCGACCACCACAATGTGAAACGACGATTGGGGATTTGATTCAAACCAGATCGTTGCGCGTTTGTCAATTTCTTATATTTCATAGACTCTTCGAAACCCGACGCCTTCTCCCTATGGAAAAGCACATTTTTATAAGCAAATCTATTTAAAGAAAATAAGACAAGATATGGTTTTTCTTACAAATTACCACAAAAAAAATTTATAACAATACATTTCTTAATGTGCAAAAACTTCTATTAATAAACATAGTATGAGTAATTGATATAATTCAAAAAATATTTTACGTACCAAAACAGACCCTCCCATGTGGGGAAATATGTGCCTTTGAAGAGTGTATGTTCCAAGATACCCTCCACACCACCAAGAGCTTGAATCATGTCTGTACGATAGTTATTAAGATTCCATAGTTTACCGTCATGACGTTGATGAGTCCACCAGAATGGATTTTGCTTTAGTACCTGTATCAAGAAAAAAAAAACAAAAATAAAAAAAAAAACGCAGAACCAAATCAATGGATTTGATGATTAATTTAAACAATTAACAATCATATAAAGTAACACGTAGTGCATATTCATATATCATGAACGATGCAATACAGTCAGAACGTCAGAAAAAAAGGTATTTTACCAATTAGTACACAATTAGAATATACGAGTTAAGTTCTGTAGTGCTATCTATACTAATATTATATAGAGGTAAAGTTTGTGATCTTGTGAGTTTGTGACGTTGTAGGGGGTAATCTCTGGATCTACTGAACCGATTTTCAAAATTCTTTTACCAATAGAAAGCCACGTTCTTTCTGAGTATCATAGGCTATATATTAACCCGAAAAATGAAAAGGCTTTTTCGTGGTAGTCGGATTTGCAAAGTAAGTCGGATAAAAAACGGTCGAACGAAAAGGTTTCTTACGAACGCTGCCTTAACGATGAGAGATATATGATTATGTTCTAGAGAAAAGTTGTAGAGCTTAATAATGCCTACAAAAAAGTCAGCGACAGCATATGTCTAACTTTTATATTTAAGTCACAAAAAGTAGTTTTTTATATTAAAAAAATCATTTAAATCGGTAGGTCATGTTTATTGGTCATATTATCAACAATTATGAATTCTTATGAAAATAAGTAAATTTATCGTCTAAAATGTTTAAAACAAAAGACTTTTCCCTTTTACTGCATATAATTTGGACAAATGGTTAAAGAGATAATACAACATATTCGTAGGTATGGAAGAACCCGAGCGAGCTGTTTGTCTGTTTTTCTGTTTGTACGGGCTAATCTCCGAATCTATTGAACCGATTTAAATGAAATTTTGCATGGTGGTACCTTATATCCCCAGGCAACATCTTAGATACTTTTCATCCCGGAAAATCAAAGCGTTCCCGTGGGATAGTTAAAAAACTATAACAACTTATACAGCTTAGTACACAAAAACTACTGATTGGATTTTAATGAAACTTTACAATAATATAGTTCATACATGACAAAAACAAATCAGCTACTTTTCATCCCGGAAAATTAAAGAGTTTCCGTGGGGTAGTCAAAAAACTACAGTAACTTATACAGCTTAGTACACAAAAACCACTGATGGGATTTTTAAGGAAACTTTACAATAATATAGTTCATACATCAGAATAACAAATAGGTAACAACTGTGTATCCCGGAAAAATGTACTTTTCCCGTGGGATAGATATTTTTGTTTATTTGTAACGTGTTATGCACACAACATAGACCCCAAAACAATAGTTATTAAAAAAATTGCCTGTTTGTCTGTTTGCCTGTATGTCTGTTTTTGTGTGTGCGTTTCACGCAAAAAGCAATGTACCGATTTCAACGAAATTTGGTGAAGTGATAACTTATTACTCGAGTCAACATTTAGGGTACCTTTTGTATGTATGTATGTATGTATGTATGTATGTATGTATGTTGTATTCAGCCCTTTTTAACACATGCACGGGCCTCCCTTCAGTACGAGGTGGATCAGGCCATAGTCCACCACGCTGGCCAAGTGCGGGTTGGTGGACTTCACATGTCTTTCGAAAAAAAGCTAGGTTCTGTCAGACATGCAGGTTTTCCTTCACCGTTAAAACAAGTGGTAACTGTGTTAGAAATGATTCGCACATGAAAATATCAGAGGTGCGAGACCCGGGATTTGAACTTGCTTCACTCGGTTTCCCAAGCGAGCGCGTTATCACTGGGATACCACTGCCTAGATACCTTTTACTTAAAGAAAATCTTTCTTTTCCACTGGAAAATACAATAACTGTTTTATCGAGTCCTCCCTAGAAACCTTCCTCTGGCTAAGCCTTAAGACATACATCAAAACAATATACTAAAAAATTGTAGGTCTTGAAAAGTCCTACAGAAAAGTAGTGAATAGTATAATATGTCTATCTTCTAAGCTACACTCGCAATATTTATTCTTATTTATACCTATAATAAAACTTAGTCAAATCGATGTGCGCGTTTCACGCAAAAAGTACTCAACCGATTTTAACTTAATTTTGTATAGTGATAAAACTTAGTGCTCGGGTCAACATTAGAATACTTTTTACGACAGGCAAATTATTTATTCCCACGGGAAAATACAATAACTGGTTCTATCGAATTGTCCTTAGAAATTTATATGGCTAACGTTGGCTCAACCTTAAGAGATAGATTTAAACATTGTACAAGAAAATTGTAAGTCTTAAAAAGGTCTATAGAAAAGTTCTACATAGTATATCTCTATCTCCTAACGTACACTCGCTATAACTATTTTCATTATTATACATTTCTGTTTTATTATACGTTATTTATTCTATCTGAATATAGGTACATATATGAATAATAAAACTGTAGAGGTCGAATTTCTATACATAAATGGTAGTAAAAATTGCAAAAAAAGAGTCAGTTCTCTTCTTAAATCACGTAAGGAGAGAAATAGAACAAATCCAGATATTTTTTTTAAATTTTTTGTTTCTCTGTCTGTTTGTCTGTTCGTACGGGCTAATCTCCGATACTATTGAACCTATTTAAATGAAATTTGATACTTTTCATTCCGGAAAATTAAAGAGTTCCCGTAAGATAGTTAAAAAATTATAGTAACTTATACAGCTCAGTACACAACAACTTATGCACCTAATTTAGTAAAATTTGGCATGCTGATACCTTATATTGCAGGTCAAACAACAGGTTACTTATTTTATTTTATTTATTTTATTTTTATCCCGCAAAAATGAACGGTTCCCGTGGGATAGATCTGTTTGTGCTTTTCTAGAGGTGAACCCGAGCGAAGCGAGGGTGAGCCGCTAGTTTTATATAATTATGAAACGCGAGAATTAAAAAACTTAAATTGCAATTATATGTAAGAAAATAAAAATGTATAGATTACCTGGTATTGCTTAAACTCAGTGCGTATACGCCATCCTTTGTCGTAGGCCAACGTGTGTCTATCTTTTTGGAACAACGTGTTGATTCTCGGAATACCTCTGTCCCACGAATCTTCCAAGTCTTCTAAGGTTAAGCGCCTAAACATATTGACGTTCTTTACTTGATACAATAATCAAAAATTATTTTAATAAAAGTTAAATATATATTTCTATTGGATCAGATAGCGTAGTCTCAGACGAAAATCTCTGCAGTACAAAGCGATCAGCCTTGCCTACAGTCGACAGTCGTCCCCAGGGCACAGGGACTCTCTGGATTCGGGACCCCTACGCGATTCATCATGTCAAATAGCCCAACAAGTTTATTTATAAGAAAATATTTATTAACATAAATTAGGATTTAAATCAACTTAGCAACTGACACCCAAATAAATGAAGGTATGATCTTAAAAAACAAATTTAACCATTCAATATGATTATTTTTTTAATTAAATTATATAATAAATTTCATCCTTTTAATTAATATATAATCAAAAATTAAAACGTTAATAAACAAACCTATTTTGAGCATTAGCCTCCTGTCTCTTCAAGGCATACTCAGCCCATACTCTTTGCGAGTCCACAAACTCAGCTTCCCAGGGTTGGATGTAGCGGTACAAGTTGGGGATTAGCTGGTCTTCGTCGTGCGACATTCCTGATCTGAAGTGAGTGATACCAACATCCGTTTGTTTCGACCAGCGCAGATCGGACTGTGGGCAACGCAGGCATTTAAATTTTGTATAAATTGCCATATTTTTTTAAATTAAATCAATTTAAACTAATTTTGAATATAAATGATCACCGCCCGCACTTGGCCACGCAGGTGGACTATGGCCTAATCTCTTTTGTACTAAAGGGAGGCACGTGCCCAGCAATGGGACGTTAAATAGGGCTGGATACATTAAACTTGATTTTTTTTTTATTTTTACTATTCATACATGCGTACAGACAGAACGACAAGGGAACAAAATCTACTACCACATACCTGTGGAATTAACACGTGTCCCATAGACAACATTCCCAATCCGCCCAACTCTTTCGGTGTATAGAACACGACGGGCGGGAAACGGGAAGGCATTTTAGAGTTCAAGCCGATCTTGATACGAGTTTGGATTTTGTTCTCGCACTTCACGAGAAGATCTAGCAGTTCCTGTGTATTGACAACTGCTTCACGGAAGTACGTCATAAGACCTGATCAGAAAAAAAACTTTTCAATATAATATCCCCTAGATAGACATTTAAAATATTATTAGTTATAATCAGATAGCGTAGTCTCAGACGAAAGTCTCTGCAGTACAAAGCGATCGAGCCTTGCCTACAGTCGACAGTCACCCCCAGAGCACAGGGACTCTCTGGATTCGGGACCCCTACGCGATTCATCATATCTCATAGCTTTATAATGTAAACATTATAATATTTATTTATTTAATTAGGATCACCAACATGATATACAGTAACTTAACAAAAATATTTATATATTAAATAAAAATTGTCAAAATTGGTTATTTCGTGTACATTTTCGTCACAAATTCACTCACCAATTAGTGCAGTATTCCATTTATTAACAATCTTGGTAAATGTAGTAGACCCGGACGCCATGAGGATCTGTCTTACACGGTTGTGGAAGCGAGCCAGGGACTCGTCGTCCACGCGCAAGTAGCATTGAGCTGTGCGCTCTTTAGTTACTTCGTTCTGGAGATTCCAAACTCCGTCACGATGGGATAGTTCTTCATGTTGACTTCGGCACTGTGAATGAATTATTTTATTAATTAAATATGTAATAGAAATTACTGATTAAGTTGAATAAATAAAAAAGAAATTATAAAAATTGTTGAAATTAACAGAAACAGTAAAACGCAAGTTATATTACATAGAGTTCCATTATCCATATGTTATACGGATTTGAAGACAGTTTTTTTTTATATTTTCAGAAAAAAATATATATTCTAACATATAAAAATAAAACAATCTATACTCAATAAAAAAAACTATTACACTTACTTTAGGCAGTATCCTGCATTCAAATCCGGCCATATTAAATAATAAGTTCGGGTTGTCTTTAGAGTAGACCGATACAAAGCTGTTCTCCCATTGAATAGTAGTTACTGAGCGCGGTAGACGATTCTTTATATCCCAGAATACAGCACGGCCCCTATGGAAAATAAAAACATATTTTATCTTATAACTTAAAAATTTTATGCTTATTAATATTTTCACATAAATATAATTAATTACATGAATGTTACCAAAAATTCACCCACAGTTTAGCTAAACCACATTTTAGCTTTCTTTGAGAATATTTATTATATTTATATTACTTTCGGGTTAGAAATTGGTATTTTTATTTTAAATTCTATCATATTAGAGATTGTGAATTGTAATACAAATTTTATATTATTTACTATTTAATATTTATTTAATTAAATTCAATTATCTTTTGAACAGCTCCAAAGCATGCCAGTCAAGCACAAAGTCATGTAGAATGGAGTGGAGGAGATTGGTCGGTAAGTATACATATTTATCTAACATTAACTTACAAATTAACATCATGCTTCATTAATCTCATCCTTGCATCTCGTGGCCAGCATTTTTTATTATTGTAACCAACAATATTTTCATTATTTGGATCTGGGTGCTCTGTTAGGTATCTTTGAATCAAGTCTCTGGCCTCTTCTGCTGTAAACCTATGAAAAAATATCTTATTTAATATAATATGCTAAGTTAAGCATTTATTAAATTTAAAGCAGTTATTAAATGTATGTGTAATGTATTTTTATTAAGTTTTTTTATGCAAAAGTCTAAATATATAATTGTTTAAAAAATATTTAAATAACAAGTACATATCTACCTGAAGAATATATGGATCCTGTCAATATAACGGCAATACAGCCTGATGGGGTGAGCACCCTCAGCGGCTCGGTCCTGATATGAAAGGAAATCGTTCGGCAACTGAGGAGGCCCTGCCATTTCACTGGCCCTTTGAAGGCCGAGGACAAGTAAATCCAGGACGAGGCCATAGTATTGAACTATGAACGACGCGAATTGAAGACCTCGAATAATTCCATAGGAGTTTGTGTGATTCATGTCCTGTGGCAAACAAATTTATGTTATTTATCGTTTTATTTCATATAATTTGTTGGATTTGTGTGTATTTCTATTGGATCAGATAGCGTAGTCTCAGACAAAAGTCGATGCAGTACAAAGCGATCAGCCTTGCCTACAGTCGACAGTTGCCTCCGGAGCACATGGACTCTCTGGATTCGGGACCCCTACGCGATTCATCATATAAAAATGTATTTCAAATATTCTTACTTAAGATAACATTATAAATACAATTTTACATTATTAAAATGTGTCTTTATTACGAATCAACTCGAGGATGTTATTAAAATCGTTCTTATATTTTCAATTAACTGATATGTTTCTATTATTATAGACGTATCTATAACGCGAGCGTAAATACGTAAAACTGGTCATAGTTACATAACTTTTGAAGTTAAGTTTTTACAGAATGCTACTTAATTTTTTTTAAATGTAAATAAAAAAAGAACTTACTTTGTAATTAATAACGACGTTATTCTTAGCCGTCATGTAATCGGCAATATTGTGGTCGACAATCAAACGTAGCAGACGATTGAGGAGGGTCAAATCGATTTTTTCGTATAGCTTTTCGAAGCGGGACTCTAATAGCACGTTGCATTCGCCTTCACCAACCTCCCATACATCTTGTAGATTGTTGATACCTAAATATATAAAATTTAATTAATTAACTATGTATATATGTTTATTATATGACTTTACTTCTATTTACATATACCCTGCAAAAATTATATGGAAATATTTAAGTGAGTTCAACAATTAAGTTGCCTTTGATTAATGTAAACAGTCAAAGGGGTCAAAAGTAAATTTTATTTCGATTATGGTGATTGCAAAGCGCAATAATGATCACCAAACAAGTTTATTTTTTTACTATAAATAAAAATGAATGTTTGTATGTTTGTCCTCTATGGGTTCCTAAACCATTGATCCAATTGTGATGAAACTCTGGAGGATAATTCTGTATACGCCTACGAAGATTCCTGGCACAAAAAAAAAAAATTTTCTTTGGACATATTATTAGATATTGTATATATTTCTTAATCATTTTATTAATCATACAAGCTTAAGAGCGCAGCCGAGCGAAGCTATAGTAAGTAGATAGTTTACTACAAAATATAGTTTGAAATTTCACTGAAATATTTTCATTTGCGCTTATATATTACACAAAGTAAAGGAATTCCAACCGTTGATGTGTCGATGTGTAGAATGTGCAACCAACCAAAGTGAGGTTTGTAACAAGGGGATGGTATAACCACTTTGATCTCCTTTGCCACAACGCACACTATGGGCAGTCGCTCATTTTCTTCGTTCTTCTAGAATCTTCTGTAACTAATAACTAATTTTTCTTATTTATAAAAAATGTTCTTTGTTTAAACAATTTTTTTTAATAACATTCAAAATTCATTTTTAACACTATTTCCTCCATCAAAACATTAACATTTTTCAAGTCCACTATATATTAAAATATCCAGTCTATAATAAACATATTTAAAAGAATTTTAAAAGAACAAAACAAGCACATACCTTGACACCACTTATACACAAGTAACGGAGAGGGCTCGGTATCAGCCGGTTTTACCCATGGAGGAAGCAAGCGTCGTTTGTCTGCCTCATACCAGAGGTATTGGTCGAGGTATGCATCAGTTATCTTCTCTAGAGGCTCCACGTCGTACACTGGGACTAAGTGGGAGTAGAGGTCCATAAATTCTATTCCGACCTGTCAAATAAATTATTATCATTATTTTCAAGTTTTGAATGTGAAAAATTAAAAAAAAATATATGATACATAATATGTACTTGTAACAATGTGATATTATTTTTTAAAACATTTTGATTGTTCGGTTCAAAAATATTTTGAAAATAATATGTATACTGATTAAGCAGTAGCAGTATGTTTATTCTTATTGTAATTTTTAGTAATTATATTTAATCATAGAACAAAAAGTTATAACTCAATTTCATTAAATTTTAAATTTTCTTGTTAATGGCCTCAAAGCATGCCAGTTGAGCACAGATTTCTTCACCAATGTTACATAGAATAGAGAAAACATGAAGGAAGTCAGTCAGTAAAATAAGACCATTAAACAATGTTAAACCAAAAACAAAATTATGTGCAAAAAAGTGAACTCTTTTGATCTTTTCGTATTTTTTGCCGATTTATTTTTAATTTTGGTTTCTCACTTTTCGAATGCTTTACTGCGATCATTGTCTCGTCGTTTACGTAATCAGTCTCTCCCGCGACCATGATTGATGTAAGACATTCAAAAATCAAAATAAATCCGCGAATGTAGGTTTATTTAAAATTCTTAGTTACAATATGAAATGAGAATATTTATTAATTTAAATATTTATTATTCATGTAAACATACCTCTCTAAAGGTTCTCTGTGTTAGCAAATGACGCTTGATTCTTGACAATGCTTCATGAGGATTATCATATGCCTGTTCTATCAGACCAAGTTCCTCTCTTTGACTTTGGTTCAATCTGGATTTTACACTGTATGCTTCTTTCAGTCGTTCTAAAGCCAATATGAGAAGTTTTGTGTCGTGCTTATATGAAAGAGGCGGGAAAGGAATGGGGGCAAAGCGCCGGGACTCCAGCCAATGGACTGTTGTTGTGTAGATTGCTACGGCTTCTTCAGGTGAAATGTATGGACCATCCTATGAAGAAAATGTTCATATTTAATACATTAAAAATAATATTTTATTTTCAAAAAGAAAAATGGTCATATTATTAGAAATAGGGGGAAATAACTTGGTTGACTTAGTCTGGCTCAATAGAATTTCTTCAATAGAATCCTCTACTTGAAGTGTCGGTTCTAATGTAGGCAGTTGGTCATACCATTGTTTGTTTAAAAATAGATTAAAGACCATTTTCTGGACTGCAAAAGGAGTAACTAGTGGGCGCAAACAGGATACAGGCATTATCAGTTGTCTTAACTGCCTACCTGATAATATATAATAATAAATATTTTAGTACCTTTAGATAGTTATGCTGTCTCTCCTGCTCGGCCTTCAAGTATAATCTAGTCAGTCTTCCTAGATTCTTCTTGCATACAGTTTTGTCCACAGTCGCGCCACGACGTATACGTTCCCTGTTGTAGTGAGCGGTGTTAGTCCACCAGTCTGCCTTCATTTTCACGTAGCGGAGAATCATGTTCTCTATAGGTGTTGGCAGTCCCGGGACCTGTGTAGAACATTTTGTATAAATTGAAACTAATTTTTTTCAATATGTAACTTAATATCAATTAACAATGTTAAATATATAAAAAATGACTTTTAAATTAAGATTATTATGGAAATACAAGCCTTTTCAAAATATAAAAAAAACACTTTTGCAATATAATACTACCCACATGAAACAAACTCTTAAATTTCTTTTATTACAGCAATCATGTTCACGGAAGAGACTGAAGTTAGGAACTAGAAGTCGAAAACCTTAGTCTCTCCCGTGACCATCATTGATGTAAAATGTTACGCATTTAAGCACAAGCAAGAGAAAAAATCCCAAAAGATAGTTTTATTTAAAATGTAAAATATTCGCGTTAAAAGAAAATATTACTTTTAATAAACCTTAACAAAACAAAAACGCACCTTCCACGGTATATTAGCTTTCCAACACCGCCACGCTTCGGATAGATGCTGCAAGATAGTTCTGGCTTTGTTCTGCTTGATACCTTCGGGCATCATGTCCACAATGTCGTGCATTACGGACGCTCGGAGCTCCAAGTCGAAATGTGACTCAACACGCTGCTTTGTCACTGTCTTGGCTACACCTGCAATAAAATGTGTATGTTTGAGTGTGTTTATTATTTATTCATGCTATAACAGATATATTTTTAAAAACTTGTATTGAAAAATATCCTTCTTTTATAAAGATTTTTATAAGAATAAAATAAAGCAAAATTAATAGTAAATAAGAATATACAGTTTAATTTAGATTAATACTAGTTTGTTGGTTTTTTTGAGTACTTATCTTTATAAAACATGTTTTGATGAAAGAATATAATCTTTCTTTTTCCTTATATTGTTATATTTAAACAGAATTAATTTCATTCATATTATTTATTCAATATAGAAAATAAAAGGACACTATAGCAGTAGAACTAGTTTCATACACAAAAAAAAAACTAAAACAAACCTTTCGAGTGCCTTCCCTCAAACTGCCTAGACAGCAGGTTACCCAGCCATCGCTCCAGCAGAGGTGTGATACCGCGCATGAAGAACAGCCACACTCGCCAGCCAGGAGCCCAGAATCCACACCCGGGTCCTTTGGACACCGGACCCTGTAGGACAGGTTGTTACGATATTGATGCAATATTTTCACAGATTATGATATTTTACATGACAACCATGAACATTTAATATTGTCAAAAACTACCATGTATGGTACCGCCATGGCGACATGATAGTTCCTACATAGAACAGGAAGGAAGAGACATATTAAGGAAGTACAATAAATAACTACAATAACTTTTAATAATTAATGTTATGATTTTTTATTTTTCAAAAGACTAAAACAAAAAAAAGTTTTAAGGAAACACAAAGATATAGTAAATCTTACCGTATTGAATCTGTAGTAGATCAAATGCTTCAAATCCTTGCACATTCTTATCTGCCGCATCAGTTTGTACTTATATCGGTACATGCCAGTTAATTGACCAACATGAGCAAATATATATTGTAAACCATCAGCCAGTTGGAAGGAATCCACATTGTTTAGACGATATTGCACATGAGAGTCCACAATTAATTTGGTCAAGCGAAGAATTTCACGACATAAATGGAATGCTGCAACAAAAAATCTTCGATAAGTAATCTTACTATTTTTTACATTTACAAAATGTTTATAAATAATTTACATATGCAATAAAAGTACTTAAATTAATATAATCATTTTTATAAGTATGTATTATAATATTGTTTCATTAGAATGCATTTACTTTTTTTTTGTTTTATTCATTATAATCATATTATCATCATGAAAATTTTCATAATTATGATAGGTAACAGCAATAAACATGCAATTTGTTATATTAAGAAGAAGGTAATTATCTGTACCATTAAGAAATATATTTCTTCCAAGCACTATTAGAGGTCTTATTGAGTATGTTATACAACTAGCTATAGGATAACCAATAAATATGTCCTTATTTTACTATTTATAATATGTATGTAGTTAAAGTTTATATATGTGTAGTGTATCAACTATCTAGTATGCATAACACAGGCCTCTGTGTCAGGATTGTGCTGTGTGTTAATGTCCCAACATATTAAAAATGTTATTATTTTTCTTCACATTTATTATTTATGAATACAATGATAAATTCTTTTATTTATAAATAGCATTGCCCGCGGCTCCGCCCGCGTTCAGATGACCAAAAACCAAATTCTTAGGTTTTACATATTAGTATACTCTTACAATGCGGTTTTTGTATTTTTTCTCATAAATGAGTTATTTTCCCGTGGTAAAAAGTATCCTATATGTTGACCTGGATAACCAGCTATCATCATACCAAAATTTCATCAAAATCTGTCCAGTGGTTTTCTCATGATGCGGTAACAGACAGACAAAAATTCTAAAAACTATGGATTCGGACTGTGTATCGATAATATCGATAATAATGTCTATTTCAATTAGATTTTCCAAAAAATATTTAATGTACAGATTCGACTTAGTTACAATTTTATTATATGTATAGATATTGATTACTTACCATTTCCGAATCTCGATTTCTTTCTCTCCTTAGTGGTAAGAGTTTTCACAGGCTTTAAGTTGAAATTGTAATCCAAATGTAGATAATTCAGATTCTTTCTATGAATGAGTAGGTTCAGCATATTGTACCCTTGTCTGCACACTTGGAGACCAGCTTCTACCCAATCCAGGGTAGTAGTTTGGAAGAATTTGGTCGATTTAAATGAGCGGAAGAGGTATCTAGTCAAGAGTAAAAGAACAATGTAAATTTAAAAATAATAAATCAAACAAAACTTTAAGGAAGAATAATGTGAAAGCAAAAGTTTGCTCTCTGGTTTATTCTTATTCTACATTATTTTTACACACATCGTTGTTTTCAGTTTAAACAGTTTGCAGGCTAAAAATAGACACATCACTTTTTATCCCAGTATTAATCCCAAAGGATATTGAATTGAATATAAAAACTAAAAGACATGCAAATAGTAGTTAGGTCTAAGGGATATACATCCATTTTATTGTAATTAATAAAAGAACATGAAGATTCAAGTGCTTGTAATGAATGAGTCTAATTGAATAAAGTTTACTTTCATTCATTCACTCACAATCAACAGCCTGACTGATTGGTGTATTGGCTCTAAGGTATAGAAAGTGGAGTAGTTTTTTTTTTTGATAATGATATTAATAACTTGACTCACCTCTTCTTTTGTGGTTTGGGAGGTCTATGCTTCAAAGCATTCAGCACATAGTATTTCAGTAACTTCTGGTAGGACACGCGAACTTTGACGGGCTGTCCAGGTGGGCAATGTTCTTTGTACCAGGTCTTTACCAGGGGCACATCAATAGCACGACGGGTTCGTCCTACAAGAAATATTCGGTTCATTTCTTTGAATTATTATCTGCTGATCTAAACTGGATTTAAAAAAATCTAAATAGAAGATCTAGAACATAACCCTCATAATTACTAACAAATCCAAAGTCTTTTATAAATAAATATATGTTTTTAAAGCCTTTTAAATTATCTCCACCTCTACTTATTCAAACATAATTATAATCTTTTACACCAATCTTACCTGATCTCATATTAAATGGCCTTGGAGCCCACAATAGAGCTATGCCATTAGCAGTATTGTCAGTATACAAAGCTGTTTCTTGTAAAAATGGTGACACTTCCTCAGGAAGTAGAAAGTCTTCTTCTTCAGGCACAGGATCTAAGGACTTTACGGAATGTCTGTGAGAGATTGGGTTGATAAGAGGATCAAAGTAGAAGGCTGGTAGATCTGGATCTTCAGTTTTGATGTATACCACATTTGGTGTGTGATACCTGTTAAAAAATTATGAGTACTATAAAAAAATGTAAAACAAAAAATATATTAATCCAATTGCACCACAATCAATAAATCACAATTTAGTTATAATAAACAATAAACATACATATATGATAAGCATGTTAAATATACCATTTCTATTTTATAAATCTTAATTATGTAAGAAAAAATATTTAAAAAAATAAATACATATAGATTATTTTATATTATAAATTATAGAAAAACTAAATAATCTACTTCTAATACAATTTATAGCCTTAAAATAATGTAGACTTACCAAGACAACTGCACAAAATGAGGCAGATTATTGTATAAGTATGGAAAAGCAATCCTGTATTCAGTTCTGATGGGCTGCCTGATAATAATTTTGTTGATGTCATTGAACTCATTCCAATCTTCATCACCTGCTGAATTGTCTTTTACCAGAGGCTCAAACTTTGGTCCACCAGGTATAGCCATGTTCAAGGCTTTGGCTGTGAAAAAACTCTTTGAATCGAAAAGATAAAAATAATTATCATCCACCAAATCTGTCAACAATTGATTGGCAAGTCTGTATAAAGTAGCCATTTGTGGAAGAGACAAATTCCACTTTCTGTATGTTGATCCGTTAACATGCCTTGTTCCTAACAGTGGTTTATGGTCATAAAACCAGGATGCAACTGCTCCATCTTCTTCAGGGTCTAATTCAATCTGAATAGGTTCTAAAGGCTCGACATCTAGAATATTATCGGCATAGTCTAATGGAGGTTCTTCATCATCAAATGGCGGGAACCTCATACGTTTGAAGTGTCGTCGATCGCGTTTCTCTCTACGCATCATAATCCACATGGTGCCCCACTGAGCAATGTATACTGGTTCTATGACCCAAGGGATTTCATTCACGAATGTAATAGCTCCAGTAATGTGGTACAAGACTTTGACATCTCTGATCTGTTCCCATGGCATAGGCATGTTCTCCAAGAGTTTCATGACAGCATGAGGCATGTACTTCAAGGCACCAAGATACACTCGTTTATCATGTCGATATTTACGACTGGTCATGTCTCCATGGTCCCTAATAATCTTCCTAATGTGCTCAGGTGGCATATCTTCTTTCTGAGCATCTACAAAACCGAATTTTCGTTTTTCGGCAAAACGCTTTGACTGCAGTTGTAGCCATTTTTGAGCTGTTGATAAAATTATTAACATTTTATTATTATTATTATAGTATAGATGTTTAAATATACATAAGTTAAGAAGCACTAACGCACATTTCATAAATTATATTATATAAATGAACAACATCTGAAAATGCATATTATATTTGCAAGTTATATTTGTTTGCAATTACAGCATTTTTCACCAAAACTTAGATGAAAAAGAATACCAATTGCATAAATTTTATATCCCTTATGAAATAATTACAGCAATGTACTAAATATTGAAATTTGAGCAAAGGGAATAATATGAATAATTTCAATTAGTACATGATAATTGATAATGTCATAATTAACAAAATGATTGCCTGTGCGTAACTAAATGACAGACCAAAAAGGTAAGGATATACTGTGTGAAAGAGGAAATGTGTGTGAAAGGTGTGAAAAGAAGCCTATATCAATATTGTTGCATTGTTAAATAGTGTAGAATATCTTTATACCAAAATAGCATGGTTGAACTATACTCAAGAATAGTTGCCAAGATATTTGACAACTTTTGAAATGCTTAATAAAATTAACATGATACATAAAATGAAAGTTGAAGATATATTACAAAAAATTATAAATGCAATAATATTCAGTGTTTATATGTGTACATATAACACCCCTATGTCTGATAGTTTAAATCTAAATCAGTGTTTCCCATTTGGTGGGTCACAACTCGGTACCAGGCCATCAAAATAAAATACCGGGTTGCAGCATTCCCGACATATTCGAGACAAGACCATTGACAGATTTTTGGTTATCTTGTCATCAAGTTATACACAAAATTAGCTAATCAAGCAATAACTTTTTTGATGCCTGGTTTCACAACCTATAAATGTGAAGCTGGGTTTTCAACACTAGTTTACCTTGATAGCTATACTACTGCTTACATGATAATTTTCTTAGTTGCTAATGAACTAAGCTCTAACATAGCAAGTTAACATGGGTGTTTATATTTATAATATTTAATTCATTTTCATTTAATTCATTTATAATAAATCTGTGTCCTGACAAAAAACCTTTTAAAAGCAATTTTAAGTCACCAATTTTTACTAAAAGGTAACGGAATCTTTGTAACATTGTATACAAACCTTTTTCTTTGATCTTCTCCTCCGGAATGTGATGAGGTTTTGGAGGCTGCGCCGGCGGCACAGGGGGCGCTGCAGCGGCGGCGGCGGCATGAGCTTGCAAAGCCGCTTGCTGCGCCGCCGCCAACTGTTGCTGCGCCATCATGGTAGCCCATGGGTTGGGCCCCAATAGGTACGGCGGCAGCGACATGGCTGCGCCTTAATTCTAAAACAAAACACGTGGATGTTTTAAATTTACTCGACGCAAAATATCCAAACAACGTTCACCGGCATACACTGACACTAATAAATTTGAATATAAAACTCACTTTAACTACTCTATGTTTAGTTTATGTTGTTCTCTATATTTTGAAAACATTTATTAAGATTAATCAATTGTCTAACATTTATGAAGCAAAAGTAAAATATCGGATAGCGGCCATTTGCTTTCACATCGCATTACACCGTAGTTAAGTGTTGTCATAGCATCGATTTTACTTTTGCCATATTGTAATTTTTTTATATAATATTAATAAATGAATTTATAGACGATATAGTACGATTTTATTATGCATCATTAATATTCTGAAAATATGAAAAAGGAAAGATAACTTGTGACTTAATATCTGTTTTATCTTAAATTTACTGACTACAGATTTGGTACATGCTTGAAGTTAGAATACCTAGACGTAGCCCATAGGCCACAGTATTTCATTTAATTAATAATTATCTGTATTTCATTGCATATGCATAATTATCTATTATGTGGAACAAAAAGGTTTCTAAATATATTATATTTAAAATATTTTCAATATAATTATGGTAAACGCTTAGTACTGGCATTACTGCTTCCACAGGCAAAAAAATATTTTTTATTAATGATGTCTATATCATTGAATGTTTATATTACTTGAACTCAAGAAAGGCATTTATTTACATAACTTATAAATATAAATGGTTTTATAAATCTTTAATCTGAAACTTAAATATATTTCTTTTTTATTAAACGAAGATTTTTTTGAATTTACTGCGATGGTATCGATTCAGCTTTCTTAATATAAGGTATAAAAAAACAGCGTCCGATAAGCAGCTTTCATCATACCAAATTTCATCAATATCCCTCCAGTGGATTTTCAGTGATGCAGTAACAGAGAGACAGACAGAAAAAAAATCTAAAAACTATAGATTCGGCCTCTGTATTTATAATAATGATTAATGACTATTTCGATAAAATTTTCCAAAAAATATTTAATGTACAGATCGACTCAGAACTTAGAATTTTATTACCTATATGTATAGATTTGTCATCCATGGTTCAGTTCTTTATTTAATAGCTTTAAGGCGTGCCAGTTGAGCACTAATTATTTCACCAATGTCGCGATAAATGGAGGACATCCTTCCTTTATAGTTACTAGATAAAAACTACGGATGACAAATAAAGATAAAAACCAGTATAAATATAAAAGAAGCTGACCCTGTCCATCCATGCATAATTCAGGACCTTTCATTGCCGACCAAATACTTGTCATGTTGTGTAATATTGTCACCGATTTACCAAGATGACTAAATTTCATTCAAATCCGTTCAGCCGTTTCAGGGCGAAGGAGTAACAAACATACATATATACTTACAAACTATAGCATTTAAAAAAGTAGATTACTCAATAAAATAAGTTTTTGTACAATGAAAAATCATCAACAATTTTTAAAATTAAACCTTTATTGATGCAAATACCAATATACTTCGTCTTAGGCTATATTGTCAAATATATATTATAATTTTTCTAATCTCTAAATTCTAATGGCGGTGTAAGAATTATATTTTTAAGATCTACATTGAGTTTGTTTAACTGTTCTTCACTAATTTCCTGTACTGTTTCTCTCATAAGTTCCTCGTCCACGGACATTTTATTATCTGAATCCATACTTGCATCTGAAGTTTCTTCTAGTATTTGTGTTAAAGCCGATGCAATATCTGATTCATCACTCTCATTAATTTCTTCATTAATTTCATAACTTTCGATAATTTCATCTTGATCATTATATACTGGATCATTATTTCTGTTATTGGAATCGTTGTTATTAACAGCGGTTTTTAAAGTATGATCATTATCGTTCATCATTAAACTTGTTTGGATTTTTTGAAGCGGCTTCAGTTTTTCGTCCAAATTTTCATTATTAATTCTATCAAACTTAGAGTTTTCCATAGTATTTAGTAAATGAGTAGAAGATTTAATAGACGCATAAAGAGCTCTACTTGTGGTGAAATGTTCTTGTGTGGAATTACTGTAGCCTGTTGTGGAATTCGAATTTTCAACGGCATTATAGATGTTTTTATTATGATTTTCATTATTTTCAATATACTTTTCAGTGTTGGTCCGTAAACGATTTGTTATTGCTTCACTGGACATCGTACTATTAATATTTGAATTTGTATCTGATTTATTTCTTTCTACCTTAAGTTTGTCTATAATTAAAGGATTGTCAATTTTAAATTGTTGTATCATTTTTGGAATAGTTTCTTCAAATTTTGAGTTTTTACGAGATTCTTGTCGTATTTTTGCATTTAACTCATATAATATTTTTTCAAACGATATTGATGGAGATTTATGTGTTTGTGGCTGGAATGATGAATGTTATTAAAATGGTTATCGAATTTAGAAAAAAATAATAAATACGTAAAATGTTTTGTAATACTTATTTTGAGTATATTAGGTAACGTACTATGTATTCATTCTAGCAATACCCGCGGCTTTATCCGCTTTCAAACTTCAAAGGATCACCCGCTAGCTAAAAGATTAAATGAAAATTTCATCAAATTCGCTCCAGCCGTTTTCCATAGGAAACATACATTTACTCGTATATATTAAATACACATCGATTTATATTTAGATTGGGACATAACAAAATTACCATAGAACTGCGTAATAACAAAATAGAACGCAAGAATTTACGTTAAGAATTAGGTCTATATATCAAAAAATACGTAATTTAAAAAAAATATTCGTCTACCTTTATATTTCTAGCAATAAGTTCTGCAAGTTCTTTGGCCAAGTTAACAGTATCTCGTGGTAGGTTTGTTGTTGCTGCTAAAGCTAAGCCATAGTGTTCAATTTTAGTAACACCAGGTTCTATTTTATGTTGATATATTAATCTTCTTTCAGAAGTTTGTGAATTAATTTCTTCTTTAGCAGCTGTGTGGCAACTAAAATAAATTTTGTTAAGGTTTTCGATGATACTCAGAACATTTAAATATTGTTCATACGATATAAGTCTAAGTAATCTACTGATTTAATTAGATACAAGTAAAAACATTTTTAACGTTATATTAATTAAAGCAAAGGGGTTCCTGAACAGTATAATTAAGAACAGGTCCAAATAAAGCAAAATTGTACAAGATAACGTATGAATGTCCTTTCAAGTTCTAATAATTGTATAATGTACATAAAAGTTTATAATAACTTTAAATTCATATCAAAATATTCGTTTTCATTATATAATTATATAAAAATACTTCACTTTACAATATTATAATACAAGTCTTGCAATCTAGTTAGATACAGGAAGTGGGTAGTAAAGAATGTGAAGGCGTTGCTCATTAACAACTCCTCGCATATCGCCCAAGCAATACTCGTGCCCTCCTCAATACTTGTCCCTCTATTCATACAAAATGGTCATTAATTAAATGCTTTATTACTCATTTTAAAACTGTAACTCAAAATCCTTCATTTTAGACGCGTACAATTAGTTACTTGTAAAATGTCTGAGGCAGATATTTTACAAGAACAGCGAGATTCAATGGCTTTTTTAATGAATAGATAATATCTAAAGTATGTTTCCATATAGTTTTAATTTTCGGTCGCATCGCTTTTTCGCGTTTCGGATCGCATTTATTTGCAATGGTAGCCCTGTGGCAACGCGCTCCCTTGGGAAACCAAGTTGGGCGAGTTCAAATCCTGAATCTTGCCACTCCGATATTTTCGAGTGCGAATCATTTTTGAACACGATTACCACTTGTCTTACGGTAAAGAAAGCATCGCGATGAAACCTTGCATGTCTGAGAGAACTTAGTAAGTTTTCGAAAGACGTGAAGTCCGCCAACCCATACTTGCCCAGCGTGGTGGATTATGTCGTGATTTCCCTCGCATTTAGGAAAAACTTGTGCCCAGCAATGGGACGTTAAAGTAAGGCTGAATACAAGCATACATACATCGGCCACTTATTACATAGGCATTTACCTTATTTACATCAACAGCCCACGTACAAAAGAAACTTAATATAATGTAGGTATACATATCTTTTTCCTATGTTGTTTATTTACTTTGTATTGTGATTGCTGGTTTGCGGTCATATAAACGATTTTTATTTATATCTACAATATATTTTTATGACAAAGTATTATTTTAATAAAACTGGGTTACTAGATTTCATTTAATTAACGATAAGCTCATACATTATCAGAAATTCCAAAAAAAGATGAGAATAGGCAATACGAGTTTCAATTCACTTAGAGTATAAAACTTATAACGTTTTCATTCTATCGTTGTAATTAGGCAACCTTATATTTAAACTAACTTTGATTTTTTTACCTAAATTTAAATATTACATACCTATATCTGGTTTTGTAATATCTCGTAATTCGTTCTTAGTACTTACCTGCATAACTCGTCAATTATAACCAAACTTGAAGATGTTAGGCCTTTCAGAATGTGCTGTGTTTCTTTCATCTGAACAAATATTAGATAAATTTTTAATTAGGTAATACTCGTGGCTCACCCTCGCTTCGCTCGGTTCGTCGCTAGGTACGTTATAAATAGATATAAATGGTTATTAGCCAGCGTTAGCCATACAAATTTGAATATTTTTTCATTAATTTTTCTGATATTTTAATATTTATTATCCTATTCCGGACTAAGAGAAATCCAAAATCAAATAGGTATGATAAATATTGGTCCAGCCGTTCTTGAGTTATAAATAGTGTAACTAACACGACTTTGTTTTATACATATACCTTAAATTATTTTTGTTCTCTTTATTAAAACTTTCCGTGAACCTTAAGGAACATACGAAAAAACAATTAGCTGAATTGGTCGAGCCGTTCTCGAGTTTTGCGCTTAAAAACATTCATTTTTATTTAAATAGAAGATTATCAAACATATTAGTTGTAGTGTTTTATATAAATTCTATAGTTTTAAGCTATATATTTTCTGTCGACTATAACCGGCTTAAGGCGATTAAAAGAAAGTATATGGTGGTAAGTAGATGGGTATGTAATAAGTATAACTCCTTTTGAAGAAATAATTTTTAAACTATAGTTTACCTTTATAGTTACGATATTTTTAATTCTAATACTTCTCAACTTACTTCAATGACGTAACTAGAGGCGTTAAATTCTACATTGTCGTTGAAGCCGATCCTGGAAAAAATGCGATCACACAAACGCAGTACGGCATTCGTTGCTGGTAAGAAACAGCCTAACTGAAATAACACACTATTGTACTAAAAAATAACTCTTTGACATTTAATTTAAAAGAAATAAAATTACATTTTTAAAATCATTTTAGTGTAGTGTAGATTTAGTGTGGAGATATCTTTATAATTTTTGTTTTTACATAACTTAATTCAGATATATTTCAAAAACAATTAAAAATTATGAAAATAAGTATTTTAGTTTAGAATACCTGCGCCATAATTTGCATAATAGCAATTTGTTTTATATAAATGCTTTTGCCTCCCATATTCGGTCCTGTTATTATTGTAAAATTATACTCTGGAGTTGCGTACTACAAAGTGTATTGTAATCAGTGGATGCCATCGACATAATAAATTATATAAGCAATAAATATTTTAATTAAATATGAAAGTGACCGGTTTCTGATGTTCATTAAAGCGGCATTTTACAAATATGTTTTAATTAAAAGTCTCATTAATAATTTAAGACCTATTGCTATAAAAACGTCATGAAAATAAAAAAAAACAAATGACAATTTTATACTTGTCGTACAAATAAATAATACTTTATGGGAAAAAATACTTAAAACTGATTTGGTTTGAATAGCTTTTCTTTATTCTGTAATTAAGGGGAAACCCCTTCTTTTAATGGATGGAAATGATATATTTTCATCGTAAAGTATAAAGATGAATATCTTACTATATCATTAGGCACCGGCATTACGTGTGAATTGTAATCAAGGAGAGGATGCACACTGTTCCTAATTTCTACATAACAGTCGAATTCTGGCCGGATATAAGAACCTACGGTGCTCGCCTTAAAGAAAAATAGTATTTTTTAATTATATGATTTCTAAATTATATAAAATAATCACAGTATATTAATCCATACAGTCATTTGACGAAGGCATCTAGCCGGGTATGCGGAAGTGTGGCAAAACGAGTGAGGCGAACCCTATAGAACCTATAGAATGGACTGAGCAATACTTTCATGAAATTTACCATTCTCTAGAAAGAAATCTTATCTTTTTCCAAATTGAATTTATAAATGGGATGTAAAAAAATTATAATATTATTAAAAATTATAATATTATAATGGATTGTAACTTGGTTATGTACACGTACGTATGTCTTCATTAATCGTATTTCAATTAATATAGAAGAGTTCTGGCCACACGTTCGATTTGTCTCTGTCGCTTTTACGATTCGATTTTTGTCTGACGGCTGGCAAAGAAATACTCAGTCTACTCTTTACATAATAACTAGCGGACCCGACAGACGTTGTCCTGTCTACACGTCTTTAATTTGAAAATTTCAAACTTTTTTTAATAAGCTAAAACATTCTGGACCATTTTGATGAAAATTATTATTCAAATTGTGAATCTAAACCATTCCCAGATCCCCTTGAACACACACAAAAAATTTCATCAAAATCGGTCCAGTCGTTTGAGAGAAGTACAGTGACATACACACTCACAGAAGAATTATATATATAAAGATGTATGGCTAATGGCTATGGACGCACCCGACTGTCATTTTTATATGACAGTCGGAAAACGGCTTATAATTTATATCTCTATCTTGCCACCGTTCGCTATGAATATTGGTATTTTTGAAAGCCTTCACATTTGGCGACATTAATTCTTTAGGTAATGGATGATATTGCGAGATGTATCAAAGTATGAGCTAATGCTTTTTTATCATTCCCATAAATAAATTAGCTTTACTTATCATTTTGGCAAATGTAAATTTTACTTATTTTCGTAACTTTTTGGTGGATTTTGACAATTTTAAACTCAAACTCTAATTATCTCTCTATGAATATGAGTCCCTTGAGTGTTTAAAGATTAAAGGCTGATAAGCTATTGTATACAATTTTATAATGGGCAATTAATATTATAATTACGAAATGATAGTACATGAGCCAGTGCAAGCAGTATATCCAGTTCCGCTACGTTTTCACATAGCTGGTGCAGACTTGACATAAATGGGCGAAATTCTTTTAACAATGTCGATATAACACTAAAACATAGGTAATTATTTCATGAAAACAAGATTCTTAAGTGAAATCATGTGAAGTTATTAGAAAATAGATAGGTAGGTACATGTTGCTCATTTTTTGTATTTCATTTAGAGTTTCTTTAGCTTGATGATCCAAAACGACTATCTCTTCAGTGGTCATCGTAACACTTGTCCCATTGAACACGACCTATTAAGTTCAAATTTTTAAATTGTGATTTAATCGATATTATAGTTTACTAATAATATTTTAAATATACCCAATGAAATTTTAAAAAATCTTCGATTGAATTTTTGACTTTTTTATAATTTGTCTTTGTTGTAATTAAACGTCTCATTAAACTTTTATGGGTAGATACTGTATACTCAAAACAAGCTTTGTTTTACTAACCTATACTAATATTGTAAAGAGGTAAAGTTTGTGAATTGTGAGTTAGTGACGTTGTAGGGGGTAATCTCTGGATCTACAGAATCGATTTAGATGAAATTTGGTAAGAAGATATTTTGAGACCCTGGGAAGGACATAGGATACTTTTTATCTCGGAAGTCATCACTTAAGGTGATAAAAATGGGGATAAAAATTTGTACGGGGAATCAAGCTAGGGACGAACCCGAGCGAAGCGAGGGTAAGTGTCGCTAGTGTGTTATAATAACAAAATTGTAAGTTCGTAAGAGAGAGAGAGAGAGAGAGAGAGAGTACCACCGGCTCGGAAAGCAGTTCTGCTAAGAAGAGTCCAAAAGAAATTCAACAGGTGCTCTTTTAAAAATAATACTTAGGTATTTGTGTACAAATCCGTACAATAGTTGAATATATCCTACTTGATGAGTAGGTAGTAATGAGTATGAACTAAAATTACTCTTAAACATTCATATCTGCAAAGTATTCCGTAACTAAATATGCTTTGCTCATTCGTATATTTTAATTATATCTATACATATAATAAAATACTAACAGAGTCGAATCTGTACATTAATTTTTTTTTGGAAAATCTTATTGAAATAGTCATTACTGTCGATAGAGGCCGAACCTACGGTTTTTAGAATTTTCGTCTATCTGTCTGTGAATGTGAATTGTGATGAAATTTGGTATGATAATAGCTGGTTTTCCAAGTCAACATATAGGATACTTTTTACGGTGGGAAAATATCTTATCTCTGGGAAGTCTAAACTAACCCTTAAAACGTACCTAGCGACGAACCCGAGCAGAGCGAGTCTAATATACAAAAATAAATTGTTTAAGTGACGACCTCAATATCGACTGGGGAATTTTATCATATACATGTACATGTGTGTGCCATACATGCAACTAAAGAAATTCTTGAATCAGACAAATCGGTAGATTATATAACCCTGTTTGGGTTATACTCAAGTTTTTTTAATGTCGCGCTTATCAATATAACTGTGCTAATACTAGTATATACTGGTTTACGATAAGTCCCGTAACAACATAAACAATTTACAAATATCATGTACAAAACCTGTATAAAAACTGGCGGTAAATCTTCTATATTAAAATGCCGCCTATTTTTCGGAGCTACTGGAAGGACTATGTGGAATCCTTTCATAACATTCTGATTCAAACGTATCGGCAAATCATGCATTTCACTTAATTGTTGTACGATCTTCTGTATATCATCTATGAGCTCCGAATAGGTCCGTCTAGCAACATCTAGAAGGCCATTTATCTCTGGCTTCACAGCAAAGCATCTTTGTAGACTTCCCATTGCGCCTTTCTCTAAATGGGCGTCATCTTGGATCACGTCACGTATTCTACTCGATATTTCATTATAATGTGGATTTTCGAAATCCTTGAAAATATGTAATTCGTCAAGAATAATCCTTGGATTATAACACTGCCACTCTGAATTAAGTTTTTTAAAACGTAGATACGATTAGGTACTTATGGTGCATTTGCTCTTTCAGCCGTAATATTAAATATTGCCGATGATTATTAAATTCGTCTAATGGCTATTTTTAAGACTAACGACAGCCGTTCTGAACCGTAATAATTCTAATCACTTTATCTCTCTACGATATATAATCGGGAGACGGCTTTAAGGTTTACCACAATGACACTTTAATATAGTAGATACTTTAAATTTGATATCACCATGAAAATTGATAATTTTTTGACAACCTTTACTCATTTGAGATTTGTAAGATCTAAGATTTGTTAAGATCAAAGCCAATCTACTACTGTGTGGATTTTTATACTTTACTAATAGTTTCGTTACAGGATACTTCAGAGCGGCATTGTTATAAGTTATAACACGAAAACTAAATATTATTTCAAATGTTTAACTACCATTTTGATTGCTCTTAATCTTGGACTCTCTACAGTATTCAAGGCTTCTATCAAATTAGGTACCATTTCCATAGTTGTCTTAAGAAGTATCGTTTGATTTAATTGACTTTCCCCGTACTTGTCCATATTTTGATTAGGTGTTTCGATACATAAGAATAATATTTTGTCTATATCAGACAGTTTCTTTAGAACGTCCTAAATTAGATAATTAAGTTTATTTAAAAAGATAAATAAATATGGTGGGACATTAAGACACAGCCTCATCTGGTTCCATGGCAAGCTACGAGGCTTGTGTTGTGGATACCAGATAGTTACATACATAACTTTAAATACATACATATTTTAAATATAAACACCCATGACTGGAGTACAAACATTCGAGCTCATCACACAAAAGAATGCCCCAGCGAGACTTGCACCCGCGACCGCTGGCATAGCAAGTAGGGTCACTATAAACTGAGCCAAACTAGTTCATTATCAACACGGTGGATACTGGATACGGTTAACGTAAAGTTATCGAATTGAGCTTAGAATACATTTTTATTGACAAAATAAGAGTTAGATATAAAAATTAAATATTTTAGCAAAATTTAATCTTTTCTAGTGTATTTATTAACCAACACTATTGAATTTAGATTTTGTACTAAAAATAACAAAAAATAATGCATATGATCTACCAATTCTTAAAATAAACCCTTTGATGTAGAATTATTAATTATTATTGTACAACATAAATATTTGACTAACCTGTAAATCAGCCATCAAACCTGTTTCATTTTCAATCAATTCCTGCACAGCATCCAATCTACCTTCAATATGTTCTTTGTTACAAGACGGCTGTAATATTGCCGCTCTAAGAGCCCTAATCCCGCCAAAAGTGTAAGTTGGTCCTAAAACGCCTAATAAGCAACAGGTAGGTCCAGCGGATGGTTGTAATGGCTGAACTAACTCTAATTGTGTTGCTGTTCCGACATCTACATGAATGTTTTTAAAATATATATAAGTATCTAATAACAATAAGAGTTATAAATTGGCAAAATTATAATAGGGTATTTGAGAGATTGTAGGAAAATGTCTCAAATGGTTCATTTTAGCAAAATACATTTGCAATTTGATTGATTCCCTGACCTAATGAGTTTCAACAAAAACCTACCCTCTACCACTATGGGTGGATTAGTTAATTTTAAGTGATTTTGAAGGCGGTTTGTACCCTTTTAAGCAAAAAAGTAGGTAAATCATTATTCAAGAAAAGTTTTATAAAAATGTGTTTAAAATATTTTTTTGTTTAAAATAATACATTATTTTTCCTATATACATGTCTGAATGTCATGTATAGTTGAGTTTAATGGACGCTTGTCTCTCAGGAGGACGTAATTACCCTGTTTATCGTTCACGCCTCCTGATATTTAGTAGATTAATCTGTTAGAATTGGTTAAGTCTAATGAAGTTAAAATACACTGAATATCCTGGAATCGATTCCTGCTCAAGGCGAAGATCAATAATGGTCGAAAATTGTGATACTAAGTCTATTCCCATCTTTAAAAACCCAAATTAATAGGGAAGTATGAGGTTAAGCTATGTAAAAGATAGGTCATTTCTTTGTGTGGATTTTAAAAGTCAGATGAGACTATTTTTGGAATGGTGTGTCAGGTAACATTAGGTGTGTTAGGATACGGGGTATGTAGGTACTAATATACATACCAATGATCATAGTATTTTCAGAAGAGCGGTATTCAATTTTCAATGATTCCCTTGCGAAAACAATGCATTGAATATACTCAACGTATTTTAATACAGCGGCAGCAGCCGTTAATGCATAAAATCTAAAAATGGACTTTTTATCAAAAATGTGAACTATTATAATTATGAATATCATCAGTAAAATCTTCAAGACGGTATTTTATCGTGTGTGTCGTATGGGATTAAGTTTATAATTATTATATTTGCACCGAATAAAATCCTACTAATGTTGTAAATGTAAAAGAAATTCTGTGTGTCTGTCTGTTACCTTTCTACGTTTAAACTACTGAACAGATTTGGATGAAAGAACAATATAAATGACATCCTAGAGACGGACACAGGTACCTACTTGTGCGACTTCAGATAACATGCATTCCTTAACCCACATATCTTTCTATTTAGGGTTAATTGACTGATTTTCATGTAAACTTTTATATACCTATTTATTATTTTTTTAATTCATAAACAACTAGAAAATCAAGTAAACACGAAATATTGCCAAGATCCGTCGATCAAAAAGAACTAGATACACAATCATTTAATACAATTAAAATTCTATAGAGCTATGTACCTATAAAAAGCTAAATATTTTACGATCGAGGCTCGCTGGTCAACATATATCAAAACAAATTCGACCTTACACGCATGTCTTAAAGTCAAAATTACAAAGTGCCAAAAAACCAACAAATGGAACAGAATCAACGCACCTAACCCGAACAATTTAAGTAGGCATGCGATAGAATGATTAATACGTTTAGTAAGAGTCCTAAAGAACTCCTGCTGTTTATTACGACTTAATTTAAAAACTGTTTTTACGATGATTTCTTGACAAAATATAGTATTTAGAATACAATGATAACAAAGAATAAGACATGAAACTTCATCCTTTTTTAGCATCCTAGATGTGTGATTTTTGCAATTTTAAACGAGCACTGAGACTTGTTTACCGTCGGAACGTTCGAATGCTACTAAATTAAAAGCGCACCCAAATGGTCAAATAGGCACTCATTCGGTGAGGACATTTTGTGTCGCTGATTGTGTATTTAGTTCTTTTTAGTGATCGATGCTAAGACCAGATAGATATCACAATGCAATAAAATCTCACAAACATCTATTAATAAATATATTAAACATTCATACTTATGTAGAACTTGAAGGTATACTGCGCTATACTGAGGAGCACATAGAGTCTGTATATTCTGTCTACCGGCTGCATCATTAAAATAGCGGCGTTGTACCGCCGTCACATTTACTAATGGATATTGGTCTTTAATAAGTTGGTATAGTTGGTTTGGTTGGACACCTTCGCAGAAAGTGTGAGGTACGATTATCTAAAAAGACAACTTCGTTTTCTAATAACATATCAAAATTAAATCAAATAATTAAAACTATGCAAATTAAACCTCTATAGGGTTGAAGTAGTTTATTTTTGTCAGTGTGTGCGTGTATAATAACGTGTCACTAAATTGACATAGCACGAGATGTGGACGACGGAGATCTACAGCAGCCATGCCTATTTCTCCTCTAGCCATTCCTCTGCCTTCTGATATTGCTGGAATTAGGTAAACAAGTAACTGTTTTATATATAATATAAAATAGTATTGGATATGAGCAGAGCAGAGGACAATCAACGGCAAGTCACAGAACTAGCTCTGACCGATAACATCATTTAAATAGTCTGTGTTAATAAAATCTATAATAAAGTTAAGATCAATGAATTCACTGGAAATAAAGTAGAGGTGTTATTTTTTGTGTAAATTGCTTGTGCGAGTTCTGAAACAACCACTAGGAAAATCCAAGCACTGCCATAATAAATGTAGCTTAGTATCTTAATCCTTCCAGGAACGTGGACACGCCGGCGTTACAGTTAACAATAGATTTCTTAGAAATTTAATTAATTTCTTAGAAATTTACCTGGGGGTGGTATAATAGTTTTAAAATAATGTTACTTATATGTAAAATTATTAAATTATAGAAAAAACAGGACAGGAGGTTTCTTAAGAATTTTAGCGTATTAAATGTTTAATTTAATAGGTATGTATTTAATAAAAAATAATGTGACTCACTATGAAAACTTAATGACATTTACATATTAAATGGGTTAGCAATTTTTTTTGAGAAGATAAATACTAAAATATTTTACTTACGTAGGTACCTACATATATTTTACCGGTACTTCTGTAACCCTTGCATTACACGAACTATGCATGCAACTTCAAAGAAAGGTTTTAAAAAAGTCTTACCAAGTATTACACTGGCATCAACTACAGATGTGCTCGTAGATCTAGCTGATCTAGTGCCACTATGGCCACCTGTATTGTCAATTAAAAACGTCTTAATCTAGCGTTATGTAACTTACATGTGTAAGTATATCAATATCTAATTAATACTTAAAATATTTCTTAAATAAATTGCATTCGGAAAATGCTTCAGATATAGATAGTAAAAAAAAAGTTTTAGCCAACTGTAATATTATGTGAAGTTCGTCTGAACAAAACAAATGAGCAAGTCCGGAAGTTTTACAAGAAGCCATTGAACTTTGAAGAGATCCACTATTCACAGCCTGGCTCAGTTATCAGTAACTTCATCTCAAAATTATTATATTTCTAAAATACTAATTATTGTATTTTTTGTTAAAATCATCTTCCAAAATTTTAGAAGAAGGCAAGTGGACCAAAAAAGCTTGGTAGGCACCTAATAGAAGCTAAAATAATTTTTCGAATTTTAATCTTGATCGCACATTATCATAGAAACGATGTAGTTACGCTTTTAGTTTTGCTGGTAATGATATGAGTACAAATAAAGCAAAGTTTGATTTTGATCGGTCGAGTAGAGGCAAAAATACAGAGTTAGCTGTCCATTCTAAATGTTTCTACACAAAGAGGGGGCCATGTTTAGTGTTTAAAGCCGATGTAAATAATAATTTAGTTAGTTGGATATTCCCTTGAAATGCCAATGAGGTCTTATACGGGAATACACCTTTTTCATATTAATAAAATAATTAAATATTAATTATATAATAATTATAAACCGATTCTACGACCCAAATGGTCATTTTTCTACTATTTAAATATTGAATTCTACGGTTTTTATATTTTCATAAAAAAATGGTAAGTTCTAACTTCTAGGTGATGTTTTTAACCGATTTTAAAAAGGAGAAGGCACTCTATTTGTTTTGATTTATGCAGTGAATTGGTTATCATAACTCTTTTTATTACCTCTAGGGTGTTCCCTTATAAAACAGTAACGTTTTCCCGCAGCTATGAATGCGTAGTTCAATTTTGTATTACTATATCTTTAAAATTACTTATAGCTTACTAGCGTTACGTTTTAACGTTCAGTATAGATTTCTCAGAGATGGGATATTTTCCCGCAGTAAAAAGTATCCTATATGTTGGCATGGATAACCAGCTATATCTGTCAGTGGTTTTCTCGTGGTGCGTTCCTTATATGTATAGATTATTGTATTATAATAGTTTTAAAATATAATTAAAAATAATGAGATAACAGATACCTCTACTGCTACTACTGATGTATCTCAACGTCGAAGGTTTATTTTTCGGCGTGCAAAATTCAGATGTGTAGTTAGCAGAATCATTGGCTAAAATTCTTGGTTGGCCGCTTGAGGACGTTTCAGGTTTGGATGAACTTGAATAGTTTATTATTCTAGATACAACATTACATTAAATTACTAAAAAATTATAATGACCTAACGCTCGACTTTGTATACGAATTACGAAGGTTTAATAATACTATAAGGTCATCAGGAATTAAAGGAAGTTTAAATAAAATTATACAGATGAAATTGTATGGACTGATGTTTGTATAATGTATGTCTTTATAAAATAATTATTCTGCCTAGGTAGTTTAGTGGCTAGCACGTACAGCAAATATAGCGGCTCTGGGTTCGAGTACCGGGTCAGTGTTCTAACTCCCAAGCGAAAGAATAGTCCGAATAAAGGCGTTTCCTTTCATCATATTTTCTTAGATTAACGCAAATATTTTACATTTTAAATAAAACATTATATTCGAAATTTTTTCGTAGAATTATTTTGATTTTTGGTTTCTGGCGTTTCCTTTCCTCTAGAAAATTGAATAGGGGAATGTACCTACATATAGTAGCTTATGAGAGCACCGCTTACCTTCGTTTTACACTTGGTGGTGGACCTGAAGGAGGCCCCATGGAGGATCGTTTCGATGTAGTCGACATTCGAGATTCGATATTGAATTCATAACGAGGAGCAAGTCCTCTATTTATTTTTCCAAATGTATTAGCTGTAGTCTGAGGCTTACGGGGTAGTACAATCGAGCCTAGTATTCCTACATAATTATCAATTTCGTTTAATACATTTATAACAAATACATCGAAACTGTTAAATTAAAATATAAATATTAAAGGTTTTACTAATTAAATAAAGAGTAGTTATTGTGTAGAGATTTGTAAAGAGAAAATCTTTTCTTTTATCTAGATTTCGTAATATTCATAGTTAAGTTTTAATTTGTACATAATAATAATACACGACTAATAATTGATTCAATAAAGTAGGACTTTATAATATACTAGCATTGTCCGCGGCTTCGCCCGCGTTCAGATGACCGAAAACCAAATTCTTAGGTTTTACATATTAGTATACTCTTACAATGCAGTTTTTGTACTTTTTCTCAGAAATGAGATATTTTTCCGCGGTAAAAAGTATTGTAAAAACTATAGATTCGGCCTCTGTACCGATAATAATGTTTATTTCAATCTTAGAGTATAGCTGTATACTTACTCGATATTTCAATATGATTTTCCAAAAAATATTTAATATACAGATTCGGCTTAATTACAATTTTATTATAATAATGTATAGATGACTAATACCTACCTACATACCTAATATATGATTTAGATAATGTGTCGCTAGGCGCTACACAATATATTATACGGTATTATTGACCACGACTTTTAAATACCTAATTTATCTTTATCACATAACTTATCGCTTAAGCGTATATGTAATATATTCAAAAAAAAAGAGGCATTCTTCATTACGCATATTCATTATACCTACCTACATTGCAAAATATTATCATGCATATTTACCTATTGCAGCATCTTTTCTAACGAGCTTGGATTTAGGTTTTAAAATTGTTTTTCGAGACTCCCTTTGTACGACATTCATTATTTTTTACTTTATAACAAAATAAATATTCAAGGAAAAAATTAAAGTGTTATTATTATTAAAATCAAGTGCCTTAAATTAAGCTTTTGGTCTGAGTTTGCAACTGCACAAGTGCACATTAATATCTACAAAAATGAAAAATCACTTGTCTTTTTTTTCAGTAAAATGCTCGTCCCGCCTATTTATATTAGGTATGATTTTTTTTTTATTAGAACTCAGGAAGTACTATATGATCGATGATTTATTTTAAGTAAAGACTTTGACTTGCCTATTGTCTAGTTTATTGGGTCGTATAATTGCAGTTAATTAATTAATAATTATCTATTTTAAATGTTAAAAAATAAATTTTACAATTCTAGAGTTGTACTAGTCTTATATATTTTTTTAATACTTTGAATATCTAACTTACTACTTTCGCGATTGGCTTTCACATGATCACATGACTCACGGAAGGAAGGTACACAAGTTATTACCATTTCGTTCGTAAATATAAAAACATTACTTTATTATTTTGGACGTTTAATTTTATATTTATATATTACATTTGGTATTTACTAATCAGTTGGTAATTTTGGAATAAATATAAACTTCTTCCCAAGTTAACTTATACTGAACAATAACGTTGGAATAAATTGTTACTGAACCGTCGCAAATTGAGTTCTCAATGTCAATTGTCAAATTTTAAATTTGGTTGAACTTGTAAATAAATCATCAGCTGTATTTAGTGTTAAAATAATTGATTGCTTTTTATTGTAATATTGAGTCCGTATTACACTATTAATAAAATATAATAATATTTTTTTTTCTAATGTCATTATCGTAAAAGGATTCTGTGGTGGCATTTAGGTTTAAGAGGTTAGATTCTTCAGCGGTTTAGTTTTAATACGTAAGTAACAAAGTCTTAAATAATACTTCTTTCTTTTATTTCAAATATTATTAGTGAATAATAATCACGTTATCTGATAATATATAATAGTAATACATTTGTCTGTTGACCTTGTTACTATCAAATGTTAAGTATATCACGGTGTGTAGTGAAAAATGGATTTTATATTATTATACATACATTATATACCATGACTTAATATTCTCAACATTATCTTATATTTCTTGAGTTTACTGTAGTAATATATTTTTTTTTACAATTTATACCTGAATTAATGAATTTAGAGTATAAAGGAGTGGTTTTCCAATCGATTTATCGTAGGTATAAGATATAGATGATTATTATTTTATTTATTTTAGACATGAAATGGCTACTTTTTGATGCAGTAATCTTAAATACAAGATAAATGTAATCTTAGTTATAATTACAGTTTTGTGTGAAAAACATATTTTTAAAAAGATTTTTAATAAATTACTCAAATAGCATCCTTTAAAAACATTAATTAAATCTTTACAATAATTGGTAGAACAGATTAAATAGTTATATAATACATCTGCCTATCCATTAATTTCATTCATATAAATTTATGCACATTGTTACTAATTTGTTGTTATGTGATAATAGATAATTGACCCTAAAACTATTATAAAATTATACATTAATATCTCGTTATATAACAATATGTTAATATAATATAACAATTCTGGTAATAGAAAGTTTTCATATTGAAGAAATTTTTCTTAAATATAGATCGATCACAATCACTTGGGACTATCTAATTAAATATTATAAGCTAAAATTTATGTTCTAATCTAAAGATAAGAAGTTTTTATCTAAATATATTAGTAATATTGTTATTTTGTTATGTATTGTTATTGCAGTTAAAAATGAAAGTGACATAACATAATAAAAGGACATATTTGGATTGATTAGTAACTCAATAAACATTTACAATCTGTACTTACTTAATGTTTTTGATTAAGAAATGCCTATATAATTTTAAAACTATTATTCAACTGTACAAAATCATTATATTTCATGAAGATAAACATTTACAGATAGTGGAAGCAAGTGAAAAAGATATTATGTAACTTTATATTTTTATTAAAATGTAATTGTTAAATATACATACATACATGTATGAAAATGACCAAAAAAGGTATTATTGGTTCAGTAATCAGTAGGTACTAAATAAGTTTGATTATATGAAAAAAAATTAAAGACTCATCATCTCACTTTTATGTCAACTCATGTTTTTAAAAATAACATTAACATATTTCATTGCTAAGTTCTCATAAACATAATCAGGTTAATAATATTGCCCATGTTGGGCAACTCATTTTCTTTCTTAGATTTAATTGAACTTAAGTCTTAACTTTAAAGCCAAATTGGACACAAAAATTTTTTTCCAATATTGCCAAATTTTAGACTTTTAATTTCAGCAGAACCCTATTTAGGGATTATGGGATAATAGGGCAAAATTTTAGCCAGGTCCAGTGGCTTGGTTTCATTGATGATCATTAATCAGTAATTTAGTTAGGATATATAATTATACATGTATAAGTAAATGTCTATTCACCTATAAGAGTTTTTAATTCTTATAGATTTTGTTATACAAGTCATATAGGATGTGACCCTTGGTGCGGGTCTTATTTTTGAATAGGGGTGGTGATGAGGAATATTTTTTTGAGGAAATTAAAGATTCGAAATTATGAGAAGAATTTTAAGAGTCTAAAGTATGTACTGGAAAAATCATAGAAATGCATAGGAAATTTCTAAATTTAGGCCTCTATAACTACTGTATTCTCCTCAAAACTATTTTAAATTTAGAAGTTCCCATCACCCTCCATTCAAAAATACAATAACCCTCCCTATATACGTGACCCAAAATTGTATACTAGGCGTAATTATAAAAAAACATTATCTCCTTAATTTCGATTGTTTTTTTTTTATTTATAAGAAAATAACAATATTATCATCATCCTCCTACGTCAAATGCGGTTGATAAGGTGATATTGCGCCCGGCGCAATCCGCAAAACAACTGTTGCCACAAACATTCCATACTCTTTTATCGCGAGTGAGTGAGATAGATGCAGTTTCGTCGCCCTTACTTTGAATTTGTCTTTTGTCTGGCCGTAGTCTTTAAATGAAGATGACGTGGTGACGTCATTCATAGTACGTAGCTCTCAGATAGAAGTTTTGTAGCTCGCATCATAACGTTATCGCGTGGAGGCTTGTGGATATAAGGCGATAAAGATGGTCCGAGTACACTGTACCATATGATATCACACTCAACGGAGGCGTGTTCGTGATAGTTTCCGGTCAAGTGGGTTTTTTAATAGTCTCATAACCTTAATCAAAAGATAATTGTAACATTCAATACTTTGTAAGCTATTCATTACGAACGTACCCGCGCACAAGTTATATTGTATTTTATAATAAATATAAAAGAAGACATCAGATATGGCTTTATGCAGGTATTTTTGCCACAGGTTTTTGCACGTTTGCATGCTATATTTAAAAATAACGTATGTATTTATTTTTATTAAGTGTACTTGCGACCTTACTTATTCAATAAGTGGCATAATTTAGTTCACGGTTATTATGTAGATGACTTTCCGATTTCTTTTGCTGTTCATTGTCAATAATATGCATGCTATAAATCATTACGTGGGTCTTAAGAGGAAAATAATATTATTGAAAATTACATATAAATACGGGTTACGTTGGAAGGGAATAAATAGGTATTAGACGTAATAGCACTCGCATGTATGGTGTATTTAAAAATTAACTATTAACTGACTTAAAAACATAATAATTTTTAATAAAAAAATAGTAGTAGTAAAGGGTTTTTTCTATTTTAACTCTATTACCTACCGTTAAAACGTAACAAAATCTAACCCAAAATTTATTCTAACAGCTTAAAGAACAATTTGCAACTGGCCACTTTGAAGACTTTGTCCCTGGTTTCTATAAGCGTGATGTCACCACAACAAAGTGTCCAAGAAGTGTTCCGAACAGCTGACTGCGTCTGCTTCGATGTGGACTCAACAGTAATACAAGATGAAGGCATCGATGAGTTGGCCAAATTTTGTGGAAAAGGAGATGAAGTGAAACGACTGTAAGTATTCCTTATTTCTATCCTCTTCGCGGTAGTAGGATTTGGTTAAGTAAAAAAAAAACTTTAGTTGAACATTAAATAATAGCTGTAAATAATTTAATCTTTTAAATTTCAATAATCACGTATTACCTAACTGATATCATTTATCATTGTGTATCTTACTAACAAAACAATGGGTAACGAAGGATTTAAAAGTTTATTTTAATAGAAATACCAAGCGATGTATCGGGAAAACAATAGAAAAAGTCCAAAAAGGTAAAGTTAGGGAAAACGCAACTAACGGTTTGCCGTGTCGTTTAAAATGAGGTTGAGGTACAAGGAAATTGTTTGCTATCCATTTGCTGTTAATCGTCACTAAATTAAGCAAAGAGTGAGTAAATTTAAAACCGTTCCACTGATTGCTAGGAAAATTGGCACACTTAGGTTATTGAGAAGGAGAATATTTTCCCATTATCCATTTTGCTGTAGCTCGTTATGTTAATTGATCTTTCTTTCACGCATTAATAAAACGACGAATATTATGTAATTTCCTATAGAGAAAGTTATTGTGCCTAATACATACCTACTGCATTAATTAATTTTGATATACGTATATCTGTTGCAAAAGGCGTTTCAATAGTTATGTAATGATGTTTAATTTTGGCTGGCGTTTTATTTTACGATTTTAGAGAAAACGAGCATTATTTGCATTTTCAAATTCTTAAGAAAGAACTAAGAATGTAGTTCTTGTTAAAAGAGAAAATTTTAACTTTATTTTGAGTCTTTGAAATCTTTTCTTGTTTGTTGAATTTCGCATTTATTTAATCATGTAACAAGTTATACCGTTTAAAAATTCGTAAGACAATTTTGAATCTCTGCTATATTTTTTTTCATTATTTTTTGACTTATTTACATTTATTTAATAAATAACATAAGCTAATTTGATTCGGGATCAAAGTTTTAAAGCGAATTAATTGACCATAACTTAGGTCTTTGAGGAAATGAATAAAACATGTTAGAAGCTCAACAACTCGAGCACATTTTTTTTACCAAAACCAGTTATTTTACGAAACTAAATGCTCATAAAAACACTGCCCGTAATAAAACACAAGTAATTTATACAAAAATAAATAAAGTAAAAGTTTAATTATAATTCTATTAAAAAATAAATGTAATATCTAGAAGAAATTGAGTATATGATTTCTTTGAACCTCGACCTTGATAGTCAATCACGCATAATATTAATGAGTATCACGCAAACTTCAATAATTCCTGTTTTTTTAGAACTGCTGAAGCTATGGGTGGCAGCATGACTTTCCAGGAAGCCCTCAAAAAGAGACTGGACATCATCAGACCTAACGTTAGTCAAATTAGGGAATTCCTGGAAAAAACACCCATACACCTTACTCCTGGTATATCGTAAGTATATTTGAATTCTAATTCATTTAAATAGATTATATTTGGAGATGAAATTTTGTTGATAAAGATTAGGTACTAAAACTAAAAAAATTAAAACTGATCTGGCCCAAATTATTTTATGTTAGTTTTGATAAATCATTCGTCGTGATTCTGAATTTAATCTAATTTATATTTATGTATTTTTTTATTATGAATCAAAATATTACAATATTAATAAAATAATGGTATCAATAATGAAAGTAACTTCCAAATCATAGTTTACTTCGATCGTGTAAATTATAATGTAAGCAAAATCCAGTTTGGTCCACTTTGCCATCTATCACAACGACCCCGGCTGACTTTAAGCAATGAGTGTGATAGATACAGACTCCTTTAGTCTTCATCTTAAAAAACTAGGTCAAAGTGCATTTTTTTACAATATTTTAATATAAAATTTATTACTTTTTGCAAGAATTCGAGCTAATTATTATTAGCTAAATAAAATTAAACGTAAAGACTTACGTTATTGATTTTTATTTCCATATATGCTCTATCAATAAATCAATCGACCCTGTTAATCGTACTTCGCACTAGATATTTCCTTTTAAGGTTTATTCCAAAGACATCTGAATAGTTTAATATAATGAATGTTACGATTATGCGCAGGTGTTCATAATCTATACTAATCCATACATATTTAATATTATGAATGTGGAAGTTTGTGAGGATGGATGGATGTTGGTTACTCTTTTACGCCAGAACGGCTGAACGGATCTGGATGAAAGGCACAGAAATGGATTATAGTCTGGAATAGCACATGGGTTATTTTTTATCCCGGAAAAATATACGGTTCTCGTGGGATAGATTTGTTTATGTTTTGTTATGCTTCAACAAAAATAGCAATGTCCTCTTAGAAATAAAAATATTAATTTATAATTTCTTGCTATTATTTTAGCGAGTTAGTAAAAGTGCTACACGAAAAAGGTGTGAATGTGTACCTCGTGTCTGGTGGCTTCAGGAGTCTCATAGAACCGGTGGCAGTCAAAGTTGGAATTCCTATAACCAATATCTACGCTAATAGGCTGAAATTCTTTTTCAATGGTAAGTTATACGTAATATACTTCATAATTTTAAATAATAATTAAAAAAACATCCATTGCATTCCAACAAATTGATATACTACATATAATATATAAGTTTAAATACGTACATATACACATAATATATAAGTTTAAATACATACATATCACAAATGAATTCCCCCCGCCGGGACTCGAACCCGCGACCGCTGGCACAGCAAGTAGGGTGACTACACGCTGAGGTAAACGTGTATACGTTATTGTTTTTTCTATTGATTAATAGGTAGTTGTTGTTTCTTTATATCGTAATCGGTCGTTACATATTTATATGTAAAGGCGCTTTATAAACAAGCAGTTGCTATCTCGAAGTAGGAACTAATAAATGATCGCTTTATTGTGTTGTTTAGACTTCGTAACAACAAAGAGCACGTAAAGAAAACGAGTATGAATTAAATACAGATAGACCGATAGGTATATAATTTCATTATAAACTAGCGACTCACCCTCGCTTCGGTTGCTTCTCCATACAAATTTTCATCTCCATTCTCACCACCTTACGGGATGATTTCCGGGCTAAAAACTATTACACTCATGCACTTTTCATATCATGAATTTAAAAAAGAACCTTAAAAAGAAAGAAATAAAAAAAAACTTATTTTAGTAAATTTGTTTCTTTTACTTTTCTTCTATATACAATACTTGTCCTGACAATAACAAACAAAAAAAAAATTATTCAAAAATTTGGTGCTGTCGATAAGAAGTTATGCGTGTGCATACATTTCGGTGATTCATTTTTATTTATATAGATATGAAATTATTTACACATAAAAATAACTTTTTTCAAAATAAATGATGGAATATTTAATGCAAATTCTATAAGATATAATTAGCTTAAGGTTAAATTATGATGAAATTTACAAAACATATATTAATTAAAGATTATAATAAAAACACAAAACATAATTTCCATGTTGATAAACAGAGGCACGCCTCCTGAGAATGAGGTCGCGTGTTATCGGTGTCAAGTCAAACTGAAACGTTTGATCGACTGACTTTTAAACAACATATGTCTTAGGGTCAAAACTCTTAGTCCTGTTATTTTGTTAATATTGCTAAGATTTTCCTTACAGTAAAACTTTAAGGAAAAACATTACACTGAGAAGGAAATTGTTTGAACGTTTCTTTTGTCAAAGTTAATACTAGGTAGCCTTTAATCTATCTCAGTGAATAGACTATAAAATGCAAATAGATTTTCTTTAGTGGACCCACTCCAGAGATTGTTCGTGCAGACAAAAAAAACCTCTTGTGTTTAATAATAATACATAAAATTGATGAAATTGACTAAAATTACGCTGTAGCTTTAAAAAGAAAGATTTTAGAATTACACATAAGAAAAGTAAAAAGCAAATCAATCAATTGTAACTACAGTCCTTCTCTATATAAACACTATACCGTACACGCAATATACATCTGTATGTATGTACAACAAAAGAACGTTCTCTTCACGTTTAATATATAATACTACACATTTTGTTATTATGGCTGTCCAATTGAAAACTGCACCTACACAGTGAAAATACAAATGATATTCTAAATCAAAACAGTAATTTAATACGCGTTATATTTGATAATATAGATAGCGGCTTGTGAACAAATATTATAATTTGTTAATCTCCAAATAGATTAGTTTACAATTTTGCTAGTGATTATTAATATGCCGCTCGTTCTCACGATTCCCGTTAATAAGACGTACATTATGTAGTATACAAAAGTATATTTATATATTACTTGTATATTTATCTATGACTTTTGTATTAAACCGGTTATAAATTTACCGGTTACAATACATATTTTATTTACAATCTTTCAGGAAAAAAATGTAATAATTTATTATTTACTTGATTAAGAAAATCCTCAGGTACATTTTTAATGTAAAATTAGTCTCTTTTTTAACGTTGGGAAATGCCTTTAGGCACGAGGTTGTGGGACTCACCGGCAAAGTCAGTACTACCCATTAAAACCCAACGGAACCTCCTTAGTCTTAATGGGGCGTCGCAGGATCGTCGCAGGATCGCTTACGCACTCAACTACGACGCCCCTACGGCAGGTCTGCCGAAGAAGACCACAAAACTATGGGGTTGCTATAATGGTCCATTCTGCTATCATTGAAGTACCAGGAGCAATCCGCAATGACGGGGTTGCCTGAACTTTCGAGAACAAATTTTACTCCTTTTCACTTTTTTAGAGGATAAGGATGCATTGAAAACTTCTTATTTTTTCTCGATCTCATAATAGGAATGCCAAATAGTCCTTCAGGTCCTTGATCTACTGTTTTCGCATTGATGAATCAATAAGTTCATATGAGCTTTATATATCGGAATAAAAGATTGTTTACTGCGATGTGTCATCCTTTTATCTATATATAAAAGATATGTTATAATTATCATATACTCGTACATATTCGTATCGTATCTGAAATTGAATATTGATATTTTGTCTCGATGAGAGAAAATCGTTTCTTTTTCTTTTCTGTTTATCTAATCTGTTTAATTTTCTTGGAATCTTGGATATCCTTGGCCGGGTTTAATTGAATTTTCCTTCTACCGTACTTACAAACCTGACTATTCTATTACCTATATAGTAAAAATGAACGTTTCTATGTATGTTTGCGTTACTTTATGCGTTGCTAAACCATTCATCATATTATGATGAAACTTTGGTGAGTTATTCTGGGAACCGCAAGTTTCTGGGCATAAAAGGATTTTTGTCCATGTTTGACGCACCCTGCTTCTGGTAAGCCGCTAGTTCTTTATATCATGCGGTCATGCGCTCTGTATATGGCGGTTCTATAAGTGGTCACGGTGCATAGTCAACAATTCACATACAAAGTCGCAAGTAAAAGTTAGTTTATTATTATAACGACAATGACCTCACTGCGCAAAACAACATCATACAATATTATGTTGTTGTTTGAAGGATTTCTGAGGCTTCATAATAGGAGAGATAAAACATATTGAATATTTCAATTGATTTAGCACTAGTTCTTGCCCGTGGTTTCGCTCGCGTGGTTGGTAACTCGGAAATCAAAGGCAGCCTATGTCCTTCCGATGTAATCTATATAGTTTATGTCCTTCCTAAATTTTATTGAATTCTGTTCAGCGGTTTAAGCGTGAAAAAGTAACAGACACACTTTCACATTTATGATAATACAAACGGCTCACCCTCGCTTTGCTCGGGTTCGTCGGTAGGTAGGTTTCCGTGTATCTTAAGGAACATACCATTTTTTTTATCTCAATTGGTCGAGCTGTTCTCGAGTTTTGCGCTTAGCAACATTCATTTTTATTTATATAGATAGATTAGTATGAAGTCCATACAGCGTTCGTATAATAACTGGGATATTTTACATTTTTATATTACATTTTAACGCTTAGTATAGATTTCTCAGAGATGAGATATTTTCATGCGGTAAAAAATATCCTATATGTTGACCCGGATAATAACCAGCTTATACCAAATTTCATCAAAATGCCTCCAGTGGTTTTGTCGTGATGCGGTTACAAGCAGACAGACCGACAAAAATTCTAAAAACTATAGATTCGGTCTCTGTATCGATAATAATGTCTATTTCAATGCGATTTTCCAAAAAAATATTTAATGTACAGTTTCGGCTTGGTTACAATTTTACTGTATGTATAGATTATTTATTATTTATAAAATATCAGCTTCTTTTGCTTCGGTCGCGGAGTCAAATTACGTTTAATTTTGCCCCGTTTCTAAGGATTGCAGCATAATATGTAAGATAGCCTATAACCTTCGTAATAGGCTGCAAAATGCTAAAGTATATTTTCAATATTGAGTGGTTGTTCCAGAGATAATAATATACAAACAAACAGTCTTTACAACATAGTTTAAAGGAACATTTCGTTTGTTTGCTTCCTGTGGGCTGTGAATCATTGGGAAACCTAGGCGAATTTTACCACGCAGTTTTATCTTAGTAGCAAGCAATCGTTTTCCTCAATGAACGTAAATATGTATACGACATATCTGTGCTAATATTTACTTATTAATATACATTATGTATTTAGGACAATATCAGTTTTGCATTTAGTATCAATTGATAGCAATGACATCTGCGAAGAGCGCATAAAAACTGTCTTTGAATATAATATACCTATTACGTTTTAGATCGTATAGTTCAGTTGATTGTGGATATGATTGATACTAATAAGACATGGGTTCAATTTCCACTAAACTCGAATGTCCATACTATAACCGTCCATAGTTTTAAAAAAGAAATTTAAAACAAACAACAATTTATAGTTTTTTTGTTGGTTATTGAATGAGAGATGTTATTTGTATGTATGCATAAATATGTATGTTTTTTTTTATTTTGAGTACATCTGTGGCACAGTAATAAATATAAGTACCTAGCTTCGCTCAGTGTAGGTCCTCGTTTAGTAGGTAATAGAAATAATAATAACTTCTCTTTATTGAAAATCTACCAAAGAAGAAAAAATAGTAGGTAAAAACAAGAAATAGAATTAGGATTATATATACAAGAGGCGACCCTATCGCTATAACAGCTACTGAAAGACTTCAGGCAACCTTAAAAATGTTGGAATTGGCAAACTGTAAGAGGGAATGGGTGTGAACAATATTGTATTGTATTGAGCCCTTTTTAACATCCCACTGCTGGGTACAAGCCTCCCTTCAATACGAGGAGGATCAGGCCATAGTCCATCACGCTGGCCAAGTGCGGGTTGGCGGACTTCACATGTCTTTCGAAAACTTGCTAGGTGCTCTCTCTCAGACATGCAGGTTTCCTCACCATTTTTTCATTCGCCATGAACAATATAATTTGTAGAAAAACAAAAATATGTAATAATTTTAATTCTTATAACATTAATTATTTTAGTATAATTCCGATAAGTATTATTATAAACAAGTCGACCCCACTGGGTGTGTGCGACCTTATTTATGCGGCTTGCGAAGGACAATTAGTATAAATAATACGTATAGTTTACAAAAGATAATAATCTGTAACCGTTCATTAAGTACGTCATAGGTCTGAATTTATATATAATGTAATATTGACTTGAGAAGACATGCCGTTTTTTTTCGCAAAAAAAAAACATTTCTGTATCTATCCTATATCCATCCATTTACTCTACTGATTTTATTATAGCTTTTGTTAAATTTAAAGACTATAGTCATTAATCCCGTTAGGTTTTATTACAAATGCGAAAGTTTGGATCGATGTGTGTTACTCAATCACGCCAGAACGGCTGAACGGATCTGGATGAAATTTGGCACAGAAATAGATTATAGTCTGGTATAGCACATAGGTTTCTTTTTATTTCGGAAAAATCGACAGTCTCCGTGGGATAGATTGTTTTAGTTACTCACTAGGGACGAACCCGAGCGAAGCGAGGGTGAGTTGCTAGTATTTATAAAGGCATAAAACGGAGAATTAAATACTCGACTAAGTTTTGTTACAGTTGCATCAATAATGACGCAGTCGTTTGTCTTATTTAATTCGTGCCCGTAGCTGTCGATATTTATAGATTTTTAGATCAAACAATCTATCATTATGTATGTAATTATGTATATACTAAGGACTACCATTTGACCTATGAGCTTATGCAATGTGCGTTTACCATTTCTCGACCACGTGTTTACTGTCACTAAAGAGATAGTCTTTCGGAATTCATTTTTATCACAATAAGAATAAAGTTTAAATTCCAATGACATCTCACTTACATTGTTAAATGTGCTGTTAAATAATACTCAATATTACAGCTTCGGCATAACGTTTGTTTTTAAATGTTTCATTAGTATCAATTGAAGACAATTGTCGGTTATTTCACACGCAGTAGATACGTGGTCGTTAGGAGGTCTTGATATCATCTTCATTTTTATTTACAGTATACTGTATAGTATGATTTTAATAAAAATAAGGCAATAATATGTTGTAAATTACATTGTTTTATTACAGAGTGTATAAAATACGTTGATTTTATAATTTTTTTTTACATTAATTTTAGTCTTTACATTTAATATTTACGTTCTTATATACCCTACTACTACAATTTTGAGGTAAAACCGTAATAGATACACATAATTGTACGCAATAGATACTAATTGATATTATCTAATTCTGTTTATGTGTAAATATACTTACAACGTAGTTTTAAAACGTGCCAAGTTTCTGATAAAAAATATATTCAATCGGGATTATTTTTTTATAGCTTTATTGATAGATTAGCAATCGTTAGGTGTTTGATTTTATTGTTTTGTTTTTAATTTATAATTTACTACCGACTTACGCTTACACTTGCTTCTCTCCGGTGTCTCTACTTGCCTTTTCTATTTTTAATATTTGTATATCAACATTCGGCTTTTTTTTTACTAACAGTCAATTTTGAAGTAGAAGGGTTCATACGAATAGTTCATGAAAATTCATTCAGTACTAAATGTAACGGAAGAGTCGGTTTCGCAATAACAATATTGATTAGGGCCCCGTAGTACACTTAAAAGTTTTGATATATTTTCATTTTTGACGACCGATGCAAATGAAATTTACAAAAAAAAAATATAGACACTTATTAAAAACTCGTAGATTTTGATGGACCTTTTTTTCTTGAACTTACATTATAGCTCTGAGATATTAGTAGCCCAGTAGTAGGTAACGCGCTTGCTTGGGAAACCGGGTGAAGTGGGTTCAAATCCCGAGTTTCGCGCTTCTGATATTTTCATGTGCCAATCATTCCAATATGATTACTACTTGTCCTACGGTAAAGGAAAAGCTCGTGATGAAACCTTCAATCCAGCAGCTTTTCGTAAGACATGTGAAGTATCTAAGTGATTAAAATAAAAACATTATAACATGTATATAATATTATGATGTTATCATATTATCGAATTGATTTGCTTAGCTACACGTTGGCTAGCAACGATATCAAAAATAACTGATAAATATATATTATAAAATAAATACAAAAATTTAGAAGTGGGTATTTTTATATCGGTTTTTATTTAGTGCTGAACGGATTTGGATAAAATTTAGTATAAAAGTAGATTATGACCTGGAGTAACACAAAACTACTGTTAGTAATAAAATATTCCAAAAGGTGTCGTTGCCTGTATTTATATTATAAATATAAAAGACATTTTGGGTCCCACCGAAGCAAGGGCATATACATAATATATAATTATAGATGCTCGTTGAAACAAAAATAATTAAATTTGAGCTTAATTTCTATTTTTTTTCTCTGCTTTTGCAGGAGAATATGCCGGTTTTGATGAAAGCGAGCCAACATCGAGGTCTGGTGGCAAGGGTTTGGTTGTCAGGCGGCTAAAGGAACAGTATGGCTACCAAAGACTGGTCATAATCGGTGACGGAGCCACAGACGCTGAAGCGAGTCCCCCCGCTGACGGTTTTATTGGTATGTACTCGTAATATACGTTTCTTGTATGAAAAGCCCACAAATTTACATATAATATATTCTGTTCTGTGAACTATCTGGCTCCTAATTACGGTCTAGAAGAAACAGCTTTTTAAAATTACTAGGACAGATGGACAGAAAATAAACGTAGTTTCGGACTTAAAAAGACATGACTCATGCCACAGTGCACGCCATATAAAATCTTATAATATTAAATGAGCAATTCTTGTATATACATCGGCTCTGACGATTTAAATCTTGTATTCTGTTAAGTTTGTGCTTTTTTATATCTATCTATATAAATGTATTTTCCGAACAAAACGCCGAGTGAAGTTTATTTACCTAGGTACAACTGTTATTAAAGCAAATAAACTTGTAGGTACTCAATAAATCCACTACATAGCAAGGTTAATCGATCGTTGTTGTATCTAATATCAGCGTGTTTATTTGATAAGGTATCCATTAAAATGTCCTTTTTTGTACAGATTATTATATGTATGTATTTATTTAGCTTGTTTTTCTTCAACCTTATCGGTTGTTTGAAATGCAATTTTTCTTTTGACACCGTTTCTGCGGTCTAAAAAAGATACTTCTAATTACTAGTCTGTCCCATTGTTATTTACTTACAAAATTATATTTTTTTGTCAGACATCGTCTGTTGTAGTGTTCACTTTTGAGACGTCAAACATCCAGGTCTCTCCAGTGCTTGTACCATGCTTGCTGTAAAGTGTAAAACAATCGAAATTATCAGAGAATTATCAGGGAAACGAAATGGTAAATAAAAACGTGATAAAATCCGGAATGGTCCTATTTAAAATTTCATACGTTTTAGTCAATCTATGAAATATTATGATTTTTTTTAATGAAATTAATTTATGTATATTTTACTTATAGCAACATTTTTGACGCAGGTTTTGGCGGTAACGTTGTTAGAGAAGAAGTTAAAAGAAAAGCGGCATGGTATGTCACAGACTTCCAAGAACTAATCGCCGCTCTTGCCATACAAACAAAATGAGCAAATTATAAAAACATTAGGTGTTAATTGAAGTTCGACCTTATAGCACCGTCATGAAGATGAAATTCGCATACGAATTTATGTATGCATAGTTCGATATTATCTATAATGAGTGAGGGATGCATAGACTAAATAGTTTTAATACATAAATAATTATATTTATGACTTCTGTGGTTACTTTTGTAATATAAGTGCAATATATATAATTATTTATAGCTTTATTATTATTACATATAGATATATTTGCATTGTGCTGACTTGTGCAGTATTTACATACATTATATGTATGTACACTGTTGTGCATTTCCATACAAAGATAATTTAGTTAATACGACACAAATGTCAAATGAAATTTGACCATATTACGAACGTAATAAGATTGAAAGTCAAATACTGTTATAAGAATTTTTTTATTAATTTTATATGACATGGCTAATAGGATTAAAGTTTCATTATTAATTTTTATATATAATATTACATTTTATTATTAAAATATATTTTATATATGTATATAAAATATATTTTATATATGTATATAATAATTTAGTTGTTAAATGAAAATCGACCTTAGTCTAATGAAAATAAGCGTGATACTAAATGCTGATTATTTCTCAAAAAAAAACCGATTATACTGTAAGGTAAAAATAGCCTTTTTAGTTTTTTTTTTTCTATAATAGTTTTAGATAGATAATATATCAAAAATCAATCTTATTAATTCAAAGATAAAGTTGAAAGTGTGCCTTTTTCTAATAATTTTAGATGAATATCTGTAAAGATCTTTCATATTATATAAAGATAGTTTATATACAAATTATAGATAAGTAAAATAAATGAATTGGCCACCTGAAACTGCCATGGGGGTTGTTCATATTTTACAGAAAAACATTAATTCTAAAACATAAAAAAATATTTTTCGGAAATTTAAAATAGCTTGAATTTGAAAAGATTAATAGCAATGATACCTTCAACTACTTAAACACTTAACTTAAATTTTCTTTCATATATTGACATTTACCTTAGCTATAGATTCATTATGACATGTATGACCAACAAAATTGTAGAAATACATACATACATATTTGATATATCCTCTATTCTCGAATCCTTATTACTCTAAAATGTATGAACGGACCCTGAGAACAACGTAAATAGTTCTTAAGTGAACAAATATGTGCATTTACAATGTGATGGTACTTTAAGTACAAAAACGTAGTATTTCAGGACTTAGTCCTGTATATAGATAAAATGTTATCCAAATGGTGAAGTGTTTACTCTAAAATTTTTAGACGTATAATGGCTGTGTACTTCTTACGATTTAAGTAATCAATTTCTTTGAATGTTATTGTATGTTAAATTATAAATAAATGTTTGTTTATTAAATGTATTATATAATATTATTGTTTTATTTGTTTTATTTTTCATACTATTTATAGTCTCATTCCAGTATCTAGAAGTGTTTATATATCAACATCAATAAATAATTTTCATGATATGTTAATACAAGCATTGAGAAGTAATTTTCTGTGGTAATAGTTGCTACTTGCTAGTTACGGTTTATTTTGACATTGTATGTTTTTTAGAAACCATAATAATTTATGCAAGCATTTGCCTTGGGGAACTTGTATATTATATAGACTTTTTAGTTGAGGCATAATATAAGCCTCTTGTTCAAACTTTAACCTTACAACAAACTAAAATCTGCCTGCACTCATTTCACCGTATGTAGGCACAGTTGTTGGACATTATCAAAGTGTTGCTAGCGACAACTGCTTCATTGGTCTAGTGGCCAGCAGGCACGACTCAGTAGTGCCCGGCAACCCAACCGGGCGAGAAGCCAAGAAACGCACAGGGAGGTGGCCCACTTCGGTGGGCGGTGGGAGGTGGCCCTCTTCGGAGGGCGGTGTACCATGCGGGTTGCTCCTGGTACTTCTCTGATAGCAGAGTGGACCTTGGAGCAACCTCATGGTTGTGGTGGTCTGCTTCGGCAGACCTGCTGTCGGGGCGTCGTAGTTGAATGCGTAAGCGATTCTGCGACGCCCCATTAAGACGGGGGAAGGTTTTGTTGGGTTTTTAGTGGGTAGTACTGGCTTCGCCGGTGAGTCCCACACCTCGTGCGTAAATGCATTTCCCAACGTTAAAAAAAAAAACAATATAAACAGAAGAGCGGGTTGGACCAAAATTGTTACTTGGTATTTAGTTTTCTATCATGAAATACTCAGTAACAACCCGGAGTTGGGAGGTCTTTGGAGAGCATATTGTTGATCTTGCGTATTATCTCTCACCAGCCGTCGTCGAGTTGTAGTTCCCGCAGATATTATTACACACACTTGTGCCCTATAATGTCCCATGTAGGTAGTTGGCTAGTCTCAGTGAGGTTTGCCGCCGTAATCGAAGTCGGTTAAGAAGAGATACATTGTGGCCATACGCATCGTACTTGCTTGTCTCATATCCCTTATCGTATTCAAGCTTTTTAGATATAATAGACCGATTGAAATGACTGACCGATAATTAATTTACACTACATATGCTTTTCCTGTTAAGAAACATTTAAGTAAAATCAGCTAATCACATATTCTACGAATAATTTAACTAGGGTAATTGTAATGTCACTGAATATGTTTAGTGAAATTATAATGTAGCTAGGCTTGTCCCGTGATGTTGTGTGAAATGGAGACGATTGACCAAAAATGTAAGTATACGTATAGTTGTGAGTTTGTGTTATGTATATATTTAATATTAATAATTGTACCGTCGCGTTTGTGGTTCCACGGATCCTTTGTGAAGTTGTGTTGTTCGTTTTTCTTTTCATCTTCTGTATTCTTCGTTTATGTGTGCAATAAAGTATTTATCTATCCATCTATCTCCCAAAGTAAGTAAGTAGTACTATTACAATACTTTGCTTTGATAGTATTTATCATAAATAATGAGATGGTAAAATGTAATTAAGAATCGCAATATCTTGTAAATTAGTAGGTAATCGGTAATTCATGAGCAGAATACGCAGACACATAACTGTAAATTTGCTCAATATTTATCATTAGGCGTTCATTTGCTTTTAAATCGGAAGAATTGGCGCTTGCAACTCATTTTATACTATTACGTAGTATTAGAAGTTAATAGAAGCTTGTAAGTTAAAAAAGTCATAAATATATCATTCATAAATAGTTCGCATAGATATCAAGAGCCTGTTTTACCTTATACACTATTTAGGTGACTCCTGTAAATTAAGTTCTTTTTTATCCTAATAATTATCTACAATTTATACGTACATCCTACTAATATTATAAACGCGAAAGTTTGTGAGGATGTTTGATTGCCTGGATCTATAGATGTATGGATGGTTGTTACTGTTTAACGCAAAAACTACTGAATGGATTTTAATGAAACTTTTCAATAATATAGCCCATACATCAGAATGATACATAAGCTACTTTTTATTCCGAAAAATGTACGGTTCTCGTGGGACAGATTTGTTATTGTTTTTCTAGAGGCGAACTCGAGAGATGCGAGCGTGAGCCGCTAGTTATTTTTATAAAATATTCATTTAATTCACCAAGTAAGATCACTTTCAATAAGCAGACATTAATGTAAATAAAATGTAGTTCTTGAGAAGTCAAACCCAACATTTATTAAAGCAACCCTGAGATCAAGAATTTGTATTAATTCATTACTTCCCTGTTCAATAGGTTCCTAGTATTAAATTCGTTATTCGCTTTATGATAAAAGGACAATTCAACAAATACACTTTTACATTTAAAATAATTAAACAATAATTCGAAGTTGCGAATATTCGTAACAGCGTATTGAATTTACATCATATTAGTAAAATATTCTCAAAAAATATTAATATAGTAGTATAATATTAATGTAGTAGTATCAAATGATATATCGAGAGGTTCCAGGGGGATTATTCGATCGCAAAGCAAAGTTGGAACGTATCACGCGTATAGTACTATAGTTTTACTATAAATCTGTAAGCACTTTTTAGGTATTATTAACTATCAAATGACTTGAAGACGACGGAAGCTCGTGCGTAAAGCGCGAGCGCACGAACTTTCAACTCTAAAAATAATTTGGTTGTGACCCCGCGCGACTCTCGCGCAGTCGCGCTGACTTCTGAAAGGTCAGGCCACGTTACTTCGCATTGTGTCGGTTAAATCGATCTATCAGTTAAATATTACGTGTGACATGAAGTGACATAAACAGTGTTAAAACCTGTGTTTTTAAATTGTGATAATGTGGATGCCTTCATAAATTCAAGTTTCATTTTATCTATAGTGTTCATACTTCAGTAGTATTTTCAGTACTTTTATACTAAAAGTATGCCCTACAAGTGATGTGCAGATTATAATCAGCAATAATGTAATCAAAATCTACGGTATAATAAAATCGTTATGTTGTAAGTTTTATAAAATGTAGATAGGTAAATACCTAGTTAAAATAAGTATCTACTAGTAAAAATTCTTAGTTAAAGTTTATTAATACGTAGCGTGAATTTGTTATTGTTTTCGACCGTAACCTCTTTTTAAACAAAAAAAATATATAAATTTGATTAATTATAAATTTGAAAATTTAAAAATTAAATTGTTTAACAATTTAATTGATGTCAATTTGAAATAATAAATAATAGTACCTACTTTAGAGAAATTTTTATTTATTTATTACCAGTAACATTGTTTTCGCCGAAGACCAGTAAAATTGTTTTCGCCGAAGTTTCGTATTTAGACTTTCTGTTAAAATATATAAGTTTTCATTATTAGGGTTTTATAGTCAAATCGTAAAAATCGATTTATCAAAATATTGTCCTGTCCGTATTTTCTATATACTTAGGGCTAATTAGAAACGGTAAAAACTAAAAAGCAATTACGAAAAAATTGAATTTGAAGGATGAAAAAGTTCAGTAAATCACCCACCACAACTTTTCTTGTACGTAAACATTTATTGAACCCAGAATAGTCAACGTCAATAGGTAAACAAAGTAGATACTTGTAGGTATACGACAATGTACATAATAGGTATATATGTATTTAGCACTTATTATATTGAAAACTAGCGACTCATCCTCGCTCCGCTCGAGATCGTCCCTAGTTACGGTTTAACGTTTAGTATAGATTTCTCAGAGATACGATATTTTCCCGCAAAAAGTATGTTGACCCGGATCAAACTCTGTCCAGTAGTTTTCTCGTCATGCGGTCACAGACAGATAGACAGACAGACAAAAATTCTAAAAACTATAGATTTGGGCTTCGGCCTCCGTATCGATAATATTATCGACATTTCTATACCTATTTCAATAAGATAACTATTTCAATAAGATTTTCTAATTGAATTTAAGAAAAAAAATATTTAATGTACAGTTTCAACCCAGTTAGAATTTTATTATTATTATGTAGGTATAAATATAGATAGATAGACGACGAATACAGAAATTGTATTTATAATAAGCAAAAAATGCTGTCACGCGGAAGGTTTCGTCAAAAACTAAAAATAATATGAATAATTCGTAAATATTATAGTATGTATCATAATTTAATTAAAATATTTTTTTAGAATTGTGTGACTTAAATGCGCACTTTAGTAGCTTATCTGTGACTTAAGTAGACCATTACTAGAATTTTTCATTTTACAGTTTGAAAAAAAAACTATTTACTACACAGATAATATTATGGTAAAAGACAAGTTACATTTGCATGTGATTTGACAGTTACGAGGAAACATACACTTAAATATGTTTTAAATAAAAAACATAGTTATAATCATAGACCAGGGTAGAAGAAGCCTTTAAAAATAATAAAAAGTGAAAAAAAATAATAGTAGGATGCAACCCGTTAGAAAAGGAGGGGAATATTATAAAAAATGAAAGGAAAAATAATTTACGGGCGATCTGAGGTCGGGAAGGGGATGGGGGCGAGGTTTTAAGGGTAAAAAACGGTTTTACTCGATTTCCGGCAAAACTAAAAGTCCTATCGAAAAAAGTAAATGGCAAAGTATACCCCCATGAAAAAAAATATATTAAAGAAATAAATGTCAAAATGTATAAAAAATATATTATAAATATATTCAAAATCTATAATAAAATATATGAAATATACATGAAAATCGGCCAAAAGTTAGTTATTAAAAATATATTTACTATACATATTTTTAATATATTTATAATATATTTTACTCACGATAAAATAGTGAAGGCATTATTAATTCGATTTTGTCTTTTCAGATTATCAGTATGGATGAATCTGTTTGTATCATCTGCAATAAGGCAGATGATAAGCAAGTGTATGAAATAAAAAAGGTTTTTTGTTTTTTGCATTTTCTCAAAAGATTTACTATAGTAACATATATTTTTTTTCACCATCGGAAAGTAGAGATTTCAACGAACAGAGAACATACCAACTTTTTGAAAAAAACTGATATTTTGACGGGTGAATTTTCGATTGAAAATTAGGGTTCTTTTTCGATATTAATTTAAAATAAGGTGAAAAAATAAATATTTTTAATCAAATAAATTACAGCGTATTTAGGACATAAAAAGGTAAGTTTTCACCAAATTTCGTTAAAACAAAAAAAAATGTAAAAGATAAAAATAAAAAACCAAAAACTTGGTTTTTTGAATTTTTCACATAAATTTTGAGGTTATGTGAAAAAAGTGTAAATACAAAAGTTTTAGATCTTTTTATTACCTACAACTTTGCCATTTGACTATTTTCGATAGGACTTTTAGTTTTGCCGGAAATCGAGAAAAACCGTTTTTTACACTTAAAACCTCACCCCCATCCCCTTCCCGACCTCAGATCGCCCGTAAATTATTTTTCCTTTCATTTTTATAATATTCTCCTCCTTTTCTAATGGGTTTCATCCTACTATTATTTTTTTTGGTTTTAAAAATTATCGACCCTGGTCTATCAATTGGTTTCTTTATCTAAATTATCTATTACGGAAAAAAGATGCTTTTAATGTCTCTTACGTCTTTCTTAAATTAACTTTTTGTTATTCCTTTTGTAACTAAGTACATTTTTTTATTTGTTTAATTATTTTCATTGACTAAACTGATCTTTAAAAATGCACCTTGGCTCGTAATAGCTTTAGTTTTAGATTCGTCTTATTTTATCTTTGCTTTTTAGCATGCTTAATTTTAAATTAATTATTTTAAAATAGTATTTAGGTTTTATATAGTTTGCGTTTCTTTTCTTATTCTTTTTTTATTAATTACAATAAACATTAGAATTTGTGTTAATTTACTATGCTAGGTTGTCTAGATTTGAGCCAATATTAAAGGAATAAAATGTGAATCCATTGATAAATGCAACGTTAATTTCATCATTCGTTGTATTCCAAAACAATATTTGGCAAAAATTTTGGTAATCTGCCAAAAAAAAACTTTTTTGAATCTTTCGTTTAAGAAACTAACGGATTTATGTCGCACGAACTATAAAGGAGCAAACGATACACGTGATTTAACTAAATATACGGTTTCGTTCTAAGTCACACGTATCGTATTGTAATATTTTCATTTGTACGGGCTGTATGTTACGTTCCTTTCCTTTCCCACATGACCACCTGTATGTCTATAGGTGGTATGCGTAAATGCATTTTCCAACATTAAAAAAAAATTGACTATACAAATTAAGTTATGGAAAAATAGTTAAGGAATTAGCTGTTTACGCATTCTTGAATATTCCGCATGTACATTTATGATCATCTTAAATATTATTTTAAATCGGCATCTTTAATAACTACTTACTACGTTTTCTGGTATCGATATTATATTATAGTCCGAATTTTCTAATTTTCTCCTATTAGGATAACCCAATGTAGGTCTAACAATGATGTCTTTATGATAGTATCTACCTATTTTTTTATCGTTTCGTATACAATGCCTTTGGCGACATGGCTTAATTTTATATAAATCTTTTAAAATTAATCGTGTAGGCTTAACAGATTCAACATTATAGGGAATTGTTGACTTAGTCTCTTTATCTTTGTGTATTGTTGTGCTAGTAACATTATTATCTTTGTCTTTATCATTATCCTTATCTTTATCCGTATCTTTGTCTTTGTCCTTATCTTTATCCGTATCTTGGCCTTTATCCTTATCTTTATCCGTATCTTTGTCTTTATCCGTGTCTTTATCCGTATCTTTGTCTTTATCCTTATCTTTATCCGTATCTTTGTCTTTATCTTTGTCTTTATCCTTGTCTTTATTCGTATCTTCGTCTTTATCCTTGTCTTTATCTTTATCATCTTTATTAGTACTTGTTGTACTTGTTTCTGTCACTTTAGTTTCAGTTGATGGAGATTGCGTTATTGTCGTTATTGTAGGATTTGCTGTTGTTGTTGATGTTGTTGTATACCATGGGAAATTTGGGTATGGAATGAAGGCCGGGGGAAATACATTCTTTGGTAGAGTGAAAAAAGGATAAGGATTTATAGTACTAAATTGAGGATAAACTATACTTGACATTTTGTTGTCCGGAGGATAATAATCATTGTAATGTTGATTATCCTGTTGATATGGACAACAACATTCTTTTTGTCGTTTATTTTTCTTACAGTGTTTGAAAGAACATTTACATTTTAATCTCTTAGGTTTTTGATCTATTCTAACACTGATGTCGTAGTCAATGTATGCTTTTCTCTTCCTTGTATATTCTTCGTCGTCGTAATGCTGGTAATAAGCTTGAGTGCGTGGATATTGAAACGGTGCATTCGGTGCGTATTGACAAGTGGATCTATGAATTAATATAAAAATTTCAATATTTACAATCTGCAAAAAACATAATTTTATTGAAGATATATTTTTAAACTCTTAAACAGACATTGTTTTGCCTTATGCATTTTATATTATTGTATCTATATTGATAATAAATTATTCAAAACGAAAATATTTTTTTATGTCCACAGGTAACAACTAATAATGAACATCAATAATATTTGTATATTTGATTACATACCGCGTTCATAATATAACGTCTGTTCTACTCGTACTATCTTAGTTTAACTGTTACATTTTTAAAATAATTTGTAGCTGCTACGAATCCGCGCAACAAGCATGTACCTACAAAAGATTCTTTGTATATAAAATCCGATTTAGTGCGGCCATAAAATATTATATTACATTGTGATAACGAGTCGATGTATTTTTTATTAAACAAAATATATAACGTGATTATCACAGAGAAAAAACGAAGCAAACGGTTTCAGTTTCTGACATGGTTCAATTTACGATAATAGGTAAACCTGGAATAATATAAAAGACAAGGTTTTTCTTTATTTTTTATTATGAGACAATAGCCTTGGGTTGTTTTGTGTTGAAATGTTTGCCTTTGTATAATATATGCACAATTGCGTCATATATATATACTACAAAGAATTGTCTAGTGAAATGGTATAAAAATTTTAAAATATTTTTACTTATATATTTATAAGGAGTAATTAAGATATTTAAACGTTGTAAAATGTGTCGTGTATAACTTTGTATTTTTATGTACATACTAACATGCATTTCAAATATCTTACGTGTTTAGTAATCTAAAATAGGCGCACGAAACCTAATTTTACATCGTAATATCATCCACATTTCGCAAATTGTTTCTACTCGGATGCAGAACTTTCATACTTCTCATCTGGAATATTAATTTCTCCGCGAATTGGTCAGAAATTGGCACTACACCGTACTTGGGTATCCAATTAGGTTTCGTACGTCTAAGTGAAGTTGGCATATATGGGCTTTTATTTTTCATTTCCAGAAACCTAGGAACAGAAATTTCCGTAGTCTCAATGTTAACTTCTGTTGTACGAATCGGAAGTTCAGTTGCTAAACTGCTAGGGATAGAAGATTTTGTTATTTTTTCTACTGTAGTTGTTTGTTTTGTAGAAGTTGTTTTAGCAGGGCTTTGTGTGACTTCTAACTTTTCAGTAATAGAAGCTTGGGATGTATTAAGAGGTGTTTTAGGGGTTATCTGATAGGGATACGGAAAAGGTATAAATAAATAGCTAGATGCCATTGGCCCTAGAATTGGAGGCGGGGATGCATAGCAATTCGTACACACACTTCGACACGACGGCTTAAGATTTTCACAGTCATCACAAGAGCAATCCTCTGTGTCGTCACCGTATTCCAAATTACTTTCTTGTAAATTCCACTTATTATTCTCATATTGGCTTGAATATTGAACTCGACCACTTAGTGTGTGTTGGTAGGGGCTGTATTGAAATTGCTGAGCACTGTATAAGGGTTGATAGTACTGTGACATCGTGTGATTTAGCAGGAGGCAGAAGGCGTTGATATTAATTAACTGAAATAAAAAATATAATAACTTAAATACACACATACAAACTTTGGTATTTATAGTGGTAGTTTTATTTTAAAAATTCTTATTTTCTTTAGAATTAATCAATGAAAATTATTAAGAATGATGATTTTTGGATGAGCGTTAGATTTCTGAAGCAGCTTCGAGAACTCTGTTCTGTGCCAAAGATAAGCTATATGAAATGCATATGTATCTATTAAAATGTTGTTACATATTATATTTTACTTACAAATTTTCGTTTCATTTTAAATAATTATTAATTAAACACTCTTATTACTTTTCTTTACACTCTCAACAGGTGTGTAACTGGTGATTGTTTCTAGTAACACTACGGCTTCATTGTTTTTTGTTATATAATTGGGCGATTATTTGAACTATAACAATGCGTTTATACAATGTCCGCTTGAAGTGATTTTGTATTGTACATAACGTATGTATGATATAAGTAGTCCAATTATTCTACTAATGCATGCTTTAAGTATAGGTACTATTTTAAACCAGTTGCTGTAATAGCGCTTTTCCTCTGTCTGGAGGTTTTTAAAAGTTTATTAAAAGTATTTCAAATATGATAGTAAAGTATAAAATATGTACTTATTTAAAATTTACAAGTTTTTTATGTTTTGCTGATAGTATGCGTGGGTGCGTGTTTCGGTAGAGTATACTCATATTGTACTCGATATCTTCAATCATAGTTTCGTTTTGCTTGGTTTATAAAAGTAACCAATGGCTGACCCTCGCTCACCTCACTCAGCTCAAAAAGATACGATTTTGTCCAAGTTAATAATATACACACATCATCATTCCGATAGATAATTTTTGCAATACTTTTATAAAGTAGAGTCTTACCTTTCTGCACATCCTCTGCTCGTGCGGTCCACTCATGCACCGCAGAAGTACCTATCTAGGGCAGCATATTATGCAACCGGAAGAGATACAGATGCTCTCCGCTCAGAAAATCTGGAAGTTCCTGGAGTCAACAGGACTAAGCGGAGAACTTTGAACTCTTTATAAAGGGAGTTACAATGGACCAAAACTGGTCGACGTAGCTAGGGCCGACCTCGGCACCACACCCAACATAAATAATAATAATAATAACACCTTTCTAGATAATACCTCTTTTTATTGAGGAAAACCGTACGAAAATTCGTACAGCAGTTTCTGAGATTAAACCGAATAAACACAAATTCAACTTTAGTTTATAATATATAGTGGTACGACGCAATATTTATAAATATAAATACAAATATTTAGTTTGCCCTTATTTCTACTTCTAACAGACTACAGTGCACCCGCCCGGGCGGTGTAGGCGGGTGGCGGGTCATGACCTCGGCCCCGCCTGAAATACATCTAGACGTGGAACCTCGCCAACACCCAAATACATTACAAATAAACATCAACCATCGGTCATCCGCGAAAAATTCTCAAAAATATAAGAATCATATAAAGAAATGAAAGTCAATGAATGTCAATGAATGAAGACTAATTAATATTTCAAACTAGGGACTAACAGGCTTCGCCTGAATGCGTCCCTAGGTACATCTCAGTAGCCTATGGATACTCCAGGTCCGCTTAGGCGTTTCAACGTAGGTAGGTAACAAATGCATACACACGCACATAAAAAATGTTTGCATTTATAATAGTAGTAAGACAAGATATTGTTACGTTCTAGGATCGGAAAATCAAAGTACGTTTTAGACTATAGATGTTTCATTGCTTTCGGTTCATTCACTTATGGCGGTTCACAAGCCTGACTGATGACCAACTTTAATGTTATTTAACGCGGAAAATGTGTTCGTCTATGTGCCAAATGTTTTAGACCGCTTGTAACAGTTAACTAATGTCCTATGATAACTACTGATAACGGGATGTCGAGTAACTTTTGTCTTGACGGATCGTAAACATCTCTATACAAAAGACTATTCAGTATTCATTCTCCGTTACTGCGAGAAGTACGAAATAACCAAAAGGACCGCCAAACATATTTACATTTTTGTAATATTAACTAACTTTTGCTTGCGACTCTGCTCGCGTTCTTCTTGAATATGTATATAATAGCTCCTAAGAATTGTAAAGTTAAACGACTTTTAACATTCGTCATAAAATATGCTATAACATGCAAAAAGATTTTTTTAATATCACTGCGCTTGAACAAATCAATTCAGTCATACAAAGTTGTCTCGATATAATGTTCTACGAAAAGGAGCCTAGTAGAGAAAAAAAAATATCTTGGACGACTCTAATAAAAATAAGATGTCGTTTTTGTGTATGTGAATAGAATTTCAAATTTTTTATGGCAAAATTTATGTCCATACTAATATTATAAATGTGAAAGTGTGTTTGTTTGTTTGTTTATTTGTTTGTCAAAAAATATTTATGATCAGAATTACTTGAAACTTGGTATAAAATTATAAATGCCCTTCAATAAAATTAATTAAATACGTGTTTTAGCATTTTTCGAAAGTCCCATTAGGGGGTAAAATGGCGGATGAAAGCTTGTATGAAACCTACCATTTTAGAGTTTTTTTTGTAGTTTTAGCGCAAATGAAGCCGCGGGTGCTGCTAGTATTATATATTTGCTATAAATAATAATTTACATTTTTATTAATTTTTAATAAAATAATATTTAGAATAATTTTCAACATGGTTTTTTCCATATTTTGGTAAGTAAATAACAATCTTATGGTAGTTCGTAGATCCCCTATCGTTAATAAATAGAACAAGGTTTCCTTTGCAGTGAGATTAGCTCTCTGCCAGAGTCAACAGTCGACCTACTGCTTGTTGCCTGCCATTTTAAAACCAATGTGAATATCCATATTAATATTATAAATATGAAAGTACCTCTGTCAATTACCTTTTCACGCTTAAGCCGCTGAAAAGATTTCGATTAAATTTGGCATGGACGTATATAAATGGCATCCTGAGGACGGAAATAGGCTATTTTTGATCCATGACTGGACTAATACAACCAAATTAAAGTTAAAAACTGCTATACAAGTTAAATAAATATTGCATTTATTAAACATGAATTATGAACAAGACATTATTAGTTACTTAAAATATAATAATGAAAGAATATTATAAGCAATCAGAATCATTGAAAATCTATTAAATCTAAATTGCTCTATTATTTTATTTTTAAAGAAATATCCAATTTGAGTCGAACGTACGTCAGAGCGTCGGCGCAGGGCGTCGGGTCACGACCTCGCCGCCGGAATTAGCCGCCTCGACCGCCACCCGGACACCTGCGCTTATGACATATAAGTCTGAAATAGTTTAATCTATACTAATAACTAGCCCCGGCTTCGTTCAAATATAAAGTCACGATGAAACATACAAATAACAACATTTAGATGTAAAACAAACGACGAATCTTTCTCGAGACGAAATAATTGGAGCTCAAATGGCATGTTTTGAAACCATGAATAAAAAAATTTAATTGAATTGCAAAGTGACAAATAAAAACTCATCTAAATCACTTACCTGTTGTAGGATCTGTTGTGTTTATACTAATAAATATGTAATTCTACGATACTACTAGTGCGCTCTATATATTGTTAAATTAATAATGTCCTCCTGACCGATTCCGGCCACGGCGGCCAATCTCATTGAGATTAGCCAACTGCTCAGGAGATATTATAGTGCACAAGTGTACGCGCAGACACAACGTGCACTCTCTATTCCTATCATTCTCATACTCCGGTGGGATGACTACTTGACGCGACCGGTAAGACTTAAGGCAAAAGACTGACGGCTTTACGTGCTCTCCGAGGCACGGGGGTGAAACACCGCCAACTTCCCAACTCCGGGCTGTTACTAAGGCTTAATATACAAAAAGACTCAATAAACAAACTTGGCCCGACCCGGGACTCGAACTCAAGACATCCGAGTGTGCAGCCGTACATGCTAGCCACTACACCACCGAAGCAGTTAGATTGTTAAATTATTGACACTCTTAGATACAAAAAATGTCTTCTTGTAGAATAAAGAGCTGCGTCTGAGTACCTTCTACTCTATCATATCATTGTCTTTTATTTATATCACTCGGAGTCGGTGTACGAAATTAAATGTCACGTGTTTTTTATTATCATGCTGTTATTAGGTTCATTTGTATATGAATACGATAATACAACTCTTCAGTAGCTACTAATAAGCGTCTTGAGTTTGGGTAGGTTGGTTTTAACTACCTGGGGTCCGGAATCCCATACATTACACTTGGTGGAGAGATATGGTAATGAAGCTTGGTGGTGGAAAGTGGCTTTTCTGTGTATAGCCGAAAGAATGTTTTTTATCAAAGTATGTACCTAATAAATTCTTGATTCTTCTTTAAAATATAATATTTTGATTATAGTAACCCCTCCAACAATTATTGTAAGTGTACATAATACTAAATAATAAAACAATAATGTCTTAATGAAACTATTTATTCTTTTCCTGCACTGAAATCAAAAAATTACAATACTTCAAGCGCGTGTAGGGCGTCAGGTCACGACCTCGCGCCGCCGTATTTAGCTGCTGACGATCAACTTACTAACGCTCATATCGCTTAATACTTTTTTAAATTTACGAGAATAATTGCCATTTTAAATAAAACTTTTTCTTTTTTGAGAGAGTCATGTCTCTTCCGTGACTATGTTTGTTGTAAAGCGTTCAAAACATTGGGAACCAAAAATTAAATTAAAACCGCATACAAATCCGAAGTCCTTTTTAAAATACTAAAATTGCTATTTTCTTTTAATTTACTTATTTTTAAAAGTAGAATAGTGCATTGTAATGTATAAAAACTAATAATAATACAACTTATAATTATTATAAATAGGATCTCTTATTGATATAGTGCATAGTGATACTCCTCTAACTCACAAATTTCAAAAAAAGGTTAATTTAATATACTTATAGGTATGTAACTTCTTACAATAGAGCAAAATTACAGGAACAACTTCATGTATCGAGATCAAAAGTTAATTTTATCACTCTTATGCCTGTAAACTATCGCTATGCAAAAATCACATAAACACTATATATATATATATATATATATATATATATATATATATATATATATATATATATATATATATCTATATACGGTGTTTGAAAATAGAACAAACAAATAAACATTTATAAAGTATAATATAAATTTATTACGGCATTGGCATTATGATATAAAATATTCATTATTAATTCTACGATTAGGGCATGAAATTATTCTGCAAAAGGACTCTCAATGCGCCCCATTTGAAGTCGTAGTTTAACCTGTTAGGTATATGTATATGTTTCACCTTACTCTTGTGGGTTAGATTTAATTGAATAACACGCTTACCTACTTATAGTAGGGGAGCCCAAGAGGGGATTTTTGCAGTTACTCAAGCGCGGCAGATTAACATAAGGGGGGATATCTTGCACTCAAAACCGTCAGATTAAGGTATGGTGGGCTAATTACGTCCTGAAAAGTGTGCAATTCAATAACCTGCCGATTTGCACAAGCCGAAGAGGCAAAACTCAACATAAACTTTATAATCGATTATTGCCTCTTCGGCTTGTGTAAAACGAATATTCATTTTCGTTGAAAAGAGAGTAGCAATGATCACAATATATATTTAATAGTAATCATCCATCAGGCGTTTTAGAAAACTATTTTTCTATCGTTTATATCAAAAAAATCGTGTATACAATAATTGCTTATAGGTACTATATTGCATTTCGCAGAATTGCAGAAATATGCTTTATTTGTGAATTAAATACCATTTTATTTTAGATAAATTGAATTTTGAATAATAAACTAAATATAAAAATATTACTGTAATAAAAACTGATTCGTACACTTAAAGGTATACCATTTTTTTTTTGTTTTTATTCAACTTTTCACACCCACAGTGGATAATGTAAGTTGCTAATAAGTTATATTACATATTCTTTACTAACCTTTAAAGTAATATAAAAATTAGTCTCCAGCACATTAGTCCATTCTAGACCAATAGCAATCAGCACTAAGTCAAGACGAACTTCTTTTTGAAATACTTATAAATAGTTTTTATTAGTTATTTACATTTTATTTGATTTTCGTGGCTTTAGTATTAATGAGTAGTTTTTCAGGCTCATCATGAAAAGCTAAAATAAAATATTTTTGCTTTGACTTATCCCACTTGACTCAGACTGAAGATAAAATGCTTTGCATAGTATTCAACTGATTGGTTTCAGTTATTTAGGAGGGAAACTTGCTATCTGCACTTAGAATGTTTTATTTTGTGATTAGATTACAAGATTAGACATAAAAATCAATTTTATTCATTTGTTTCTGAAGGTATTATTAATTTTATTAATTAGATTTTTTTACTGATATTGTATTTTTAATATTGGAGTTTGGATGGATGTTTGTTACTCAATCACGTCAGAACGGCTGAATGGTACTGGATAAAATTTGGCACAGAGATAGATTATAGCCTGGAATAGCAAATAGGTTACTTTTTTTTCGGAAAAATGTACGGTTTCCGTGGGATAGATTTGTTTTTGTTTTTCACTTGGGATTTTTATTATTGTTTGCAATTTTCATTGATGAAAAGGTTACTTACGATTTTAAAGTGGAATGAAAATCAATTATATGATTGATTTATGGTTTCGACCCTTCTTTGCTATCACCTTTTAACTAAATCAGCCACTTACTATTGATTAAGTTGCTATTAACACGTTATGTATACCGTTTTCTTTTATCGCTCTAGGAAATTGCTAATTCTAATTTACATCTAGAAAACCAAACAAATGAGGCGAATAGCCTCATCTGGGAATGGAATTCGCGACCTCTGAAGACAGACTCGGTGATTCACACCAACATGGCTTACATATTGTAAAATATTAATAACCATTTTTCTGGCGCAGTCGGGTAATAAGAATACCAATTTCTCTTAAATGCCTAGGATTGTCTTCGGATAACAAGAGTTTTTTCTTACAGTTGAATTTTAACGAAACAGATCAGTTCATCGGCTTAAAAATTGTACACGAACTCCTTGTATACAAACAGTTTATGTAGAAACAATTTTGTTTCAAATCCTTACGTTGTAAAGCCTGAAGACAATCAACAATTATTACTGTCAATGTATTATCTTCGGATTTCCTTGAACGCGATATATTCCTGTCCACAGTTCACTATCAGCTTATCAGCTTATCAGCAGTCACGACGCTATGACCGGTCGCACGTCTGTACTTATGCCCTTTCATTGTACCGTGCTAACACTGTAACGTATCTGCGTGTTGCAAGCAATTTTTGACCAACTTTGAAAAGAGGGAGGTATTGAATTTGGGTTGTTTGTTTATATGTATGTTGATGTCTTTGTTAATCATGAACTGATTATAATGATTATTTTTAAAAATAGCTTAAATGTACATACATACATATTATGTTAAGAGCTGTCTCAATAAATTTTCTATTAACATTTAGTTTTTAGAGTTATTCCTTCTTATCACGTTTAAAATTATTTTAAAGTCTTTATACCCTTTAGTTCAATAAAAGTAATTATCTACGTAGAGTTATAATTTGAAAAAAAACGATTTTAAATTCAGTACCTAAGTTTTTGAATATTTATAAAAATACTCTCTATTCTTTGTTTAATGCACTTTATTTAAACAATATTATTTTTAAATAAATGTAAGGGCACATGCAATTTGACGTTTTTAATATATTATTCTACCGTAATGAGATTTATGATATAAAGAATTAGTACGATTTTATAATAAAATATTAATTTATTTGAGTAATTTAATGTAGAGCAATAGCAATAGATTTTCAGCGAAGAGAAAAGAATTTATTTAATAAAAACATAGTACCTACATAAAATAATGTTAAACTGTATAAGCAAAACGAAGACCCTTATCTCGTTATCTTCTATAGGGCAAATGTAATATCCTATTAGGTTTCATGTATAGAATTCTTCAGGATTCGAGGCAAGTGGCATCGGAAGGTTAAGAGCCTGTTATCGTTTCTTATCAGTATACGTACCATGCCCCATTTGCTCGTTTGACCTGACACCAGTTATCAGTGTACCGCGCGATAAACCGAACCGCCATACCTGCTGTTACCTTAACGTTGTTTTAAGTGAAAAATATTATTTGATTATTTTACTGTGTTTCTATGTTTTGAGTGTAATGCCATAGTTCTCATTTAAAAGGTAATCTAGAACGCGTACTACTTAAGATTATTTACTTCCTAACTCGTAGTCTTATACAGTACCATAAAATAACATAAAACATCTAGTTTAGATAAATAAATGCGTAGAAAATTTGCAACGTCAATAGTAAAGTTCTATGATTGAGGACCACACAGACGAAGTCACAGGGTATAATTAGTGTCATATCATGAACTGACATTTCTATAGGTTTTGTAAACAATAGGAGGCGTTGGCTTCAGCGTATATGTCAATGATACATTATATTAAAAGCATATTCTTGTTTGTTTTGTCGAGTGATTGATTGAAACACTTGCGGAATAGATTTCATAACTGAATTATGTTGCTACTTAAAGATTTCAATTATTTGCATTGGGTGACGATGTTAGCAATCGCTATGTGTAGAAAATGAAAACGTTCATATTTGAAGTCTCTATAAAAGATATTTTGTATATATGTATGTATACATTTTTTGTAAATACTTAAGTATATACTTAGGTATAAAAGTCAAGATATAAAACTCGTCGCTAAGCAATATATATGAGACTAGCATTGCTCGCGGCTCCGTCCGCGTTCAGATGACCAAAAACCAAATCCTTAGGTTTTACATATTAGTATACTCTTACATTGCAGTTCTTGTATTTTTTCTTAGAAATGAGATATTTCCCGCGGTTAAAGTATCCTATATGTTGACCCGGATAACCAGCTATCACCATACTAAATTTAATCAAAATCCTTCCAGTGGTTTTCCGTGATGCGGTAACAGACAGACAGACAGACAAAAATTCGAAAACTATAGATTCGGCCTCTGTATCGATCATAATGTCTATTTCAATAAGATTTTCCAAAAAATATTTAATGTACAGATTCGGCTTACTTAGAATTTTATTATAATATGGTATAAACGTATTTTCTGATATGTTTTTTGTACGATACTTGAACTTTAAGGTAGAATTAAGTGACTATTGTCACGAATGAATTTTAATCGCTCTACATGAAAGTCGGTTTATCAGCTTGGGCAATATATGTCAAAAAGGCGTGAAAATGATAATTTAGTTCTTTCGTGGGCTAAAATAAAATAATAATCGTAATGTCATTTCGCAAGTATAGAAGAAATTGTATTGAAATGACACATTTGATCGTTGTCATAAAGTCCTAATATATCATGCTCATATTTTTTTAAGTTTCTATCTATAACTATTATAGAATTTCATCTTATCTCCTCAAGTAAGTAAGTAATAAAATTGACGGCAAGGAAACAAAAACTTAGGCGAGTTACAAAGTACAACCCTAATCTAGTTCGTTTCGATAAAATGGTGTTTTCTTTTTTAACATCAAAGGAAACAGTTTCGAGTACTTTATTATAATTAAATTATAAAATTTATAAGTAAATGATAGTTCAAAGTCATAGACATAGTTTATCAGTCGATTGCTTTTATTAATCTTTTAATAAATAAGCACTTGTATGTATGATAATAAATTAATAAAAATATGATATATAATATTAGTTTATTACCTATATGTGTTTTAATTTCAATAAAATAAAATTAGGATTGTATTGAATTTGACAAAAAAAGTTTAATATAACGTCAACGTAGGGAGTTACGGTTGTCAGGAACCAACTCCCGCATGTTGGTTCAATTTTTACCTACAGATTTTTTGCAAAAAAAGGGGTTGAAAAGTAATTAAATAAATCCTATTACAGTATTTCCAAAAAAAATTAAAGTCTATAAACTTGACTTGATTTCTTGAACAAGAATTGATAAACAATATGTCAGAAATAGTGACGAAAAGTTCTGAAAAGGAAAAGTTAGTTATTATTAGTGAAAATGATGGTGATAGTGATGTGATTAAAGAGGAAGTGAAGGAAGAAGGTGATGAGAACAAGAACTCTTGTCACCGGGAGAACAGGCTGACGAGTATCATCGACCAGTTACGTTGTCAGAGCAAAATGAAAGGTGAGCATATTCTATCTATAGTATATATATTCATTATTTACCTAGCCTATCTAATTATTACGTATAAGTCCACGTGTAAAAAAGATTTCTTTCTTACCAATTAACCTCCTTCATGTCTGCTCTATTCAACATAATTTATATAAGTAAACAAAAATGAAATGATATTCGATGGTAGATGCATCACTTGACAAAGTGCATTTGGCAACCAAATTTTCTGAAATATATTAGAGATATTTTAGAAAATAACCTTCTGCGCATGTGTACCTATGGAGGTAAAAGTCCTAATAAGGGTTTTAGAATAAATAATTCGAGCAGTTGCCTGTAAAATTTGGGTTATTTGGAAATGATTAGAAAGTGCTTTCTTTTATAGTGTTTTTGTACGAACTTAACGATCACAAACAAAGAACAGGAAAATTTTTGAAATAAGAACAACAGAATTGAATAAAACTATTATAATTTGATTAAGCTATCATATGTAGTGTCAGATATAAGGACAATATTGTTAAAGATATAATATATTATGTAAATATATCAAGTCTTCTAAGAAAATGATAATGTTCCCGTTCATCAATCAACACAACAATTAGACGTTATTGCAAACTCATTAAATATTTTGTGAAATAACCATACGTCTTAATTTTTTGTATAGATGGTTTTAAACTATAAAATAATACTTACCGTAAAAATATAAATATATTAGAAAAATATGTTTATATTTTTTTTTTATAATGTAGCCTCTAGAAAATTAAAATACATATAAGTAGAATTGATAATATTGTGATGTCAATTAACCTAATGTAGTTTTATCATGGCAATTTTATCTATTTGCATTCGTGTAACCATATTGTTTTTTATTTCCAGAACTAATTTCGTAAATTCATTTTTTGATAAAATAATAATTTACGCAAAAATGCAGTGTTGACTTAAAACTTTAATATCAAACTTCACGATGCGCGTAAAAGTAGTAATAAGTATTTGTTTCAATAAATGAAAAATTGTTTAAATGAACTTCATATTAATATCTGACTCGCTTAAATGTACTATAAATTCATAACCTCTGGCTTACTTTTAGTTATTCACGAGACTTTGATCTAGATTCTAGATCTATAGAAACATAAGGATGAAGTCATATTGGGGATAGAAGAAATATCATAGCGTGGCGGATTTTTGAAGACACAGAATGAAGTAAGGATTTGACTATAGGATGGCGGATTCGCTATTTAGAGATATAAAGTTTAGATTTATCATTTTTATTAACTGTTGAGAATTTTCAAGACTCATAAAATTTACTCTACGCTTAGTCAAGTTAACAATATTACAATCAATAAATCTAATAGCAAACTAAAAAATATGAGAATTGTGAAAGGGATATATTTTGTCCAATTGACATAAAAAAATACGATCATTGTATTTTTTTGTTTCTACTAGCGATAGCGATTGAAGAAAATTATCTTTTCTAGTCATCGATAAATCTAGCCTAGAAATACTTTAAAAAAACGAATATGAATTAAGATTACCATCACCGTATCTTCCGTTATTTTGCAGAATGTAAAACTGTCGTTAAGGTTATATGTACAAAGGTTAAGCAAACTAATTCGGAGTAGGAACGTCGCGATGCTGTGATAGCGCTATCTACCATCTCACTATTGTTGTGGGGTATTCGCATTGTAATCGCCGCTAATTGCGCGCGCACCCGGCACGTGCCTTTTGTCTCGCTAATCTGTATTATAGCTACATTGTCTGTGTGTTGAAATTGTTTGTTATACAAAAACCTTATGAACTACTGTTATTTTTTGAATAAAGTAGCGATTTACCCTCACTTCGCTTGCATGTCTCCTACTTAGGGAAAGCTTTGATGGTAACGTATGTGTTACTCCAGGTATCTATTCTAATAATAAAGAGGTAAAGTTTGTGACGTTGCAGAGGGGATTATCTGAATCTACTGAACTGATATAGATAAAATTTGGTAAGAGGATAGTTTGAGGCCTTGGGAAGGATATAGGATACTTCTTATCCCGAACATCATCTCTTAAGGGGGTGAAAATGGGGATGAAAGTTTGTATGGGGAATCAAGCTAGGGACAAACCCGAGCAAAGCGAGGGTGAGTCGCTAGTTAGATCATGTTATTTGTATTAAATTTCATCCAAACCGTTGAGCTGTGTAAGATTAAGCGAAGGAGTAACATACTTACCTTACAAACAAACTGAAAGTAGTCCGATATAAAGCATAAAGTCTTATAAAGTTTTTCACAATTCAATCGATAATCCATAGATACTTAATACATATTATATTTATATTTGTATTGAAGGTGCAGTGCATATACTTTTTTATATTTGTTCAGCCGTAAACATTATTTAGTTATGTTAGATAAAAAGTAATTACAGTAGAATGGAAATTAAACGAAAAAAACGAATAATATTTTCCTGTTACTCCCATTTTCCTCAGACTTACAACAAACAAACTCCTGCTTTTTACTTAGTACGTAAATGTAAAATTTATAAATCTAGCGATTTACATGTTAACCGCGATAACATCACAAAGGTTGCGACTCTTGCATTCGTTCCGGTCGAGGCTCTGTTTTCTATTAGACTGGAGATTTATGGCCTGCTAGTTGTTCTGTAATTATAACTGATCTTGACTTGTAATTATGTCCAGATTGCTCTACAATAACCTTCATTGTTTCAATATACCAAATAAGAATACGTTTACAGCAATTGTGCTAAGATAGCGTACGCTCGAGTAACTTTAGTGAACTTTCACAGTACTTTGAAATTCCAATAGCTTAGACGATAAAAACCATTTATTATATACTGTGGAATATCATTCGATTGAGTCGATACTCGACGATATATTCCAAGAGCTAGCGATAAATTTTGGGAAGGTCCTTTTGGCAAGTTGAAATTGTGAAAAAATATAATTTTGTCAATTAGCGAGTCCAGTCCCGCGAGTCTGGGATAGCGTTTGCGGGTATTTCGTTACTGCACATATATAACATTTGCAAAAAATATATATCAAAAAACATTTATTTTTGGCAACTTGATTTTTTTTAGTCTTTTAATTTAGTTTATATGTAATTAAAAAAAAAGAACCCCAGAAGTTTTTGTCGGTTACAAAGTATTACCAGTCCTCTCCAAAGATATTTTATTAAAATTCCCAAAAATATACTTTTGGCAATCTGAAATTTTGAAGAACGTATTGATTGAGTAATTTTCAATAATACTTGCAAATCGCCAGACAAATTTACCAGTTTTAAAAATTCCCAGACGTAAATAAAGTTTACAAATGAGGACGACAAAAAAGTTTTATGCGTAGCCATAGGTGCGAGAAAGATAGCTTATCGAGGTATGCCAGCAGCTGATGGGGGCCCAAGGTCCTCGCACTGTGATTGGTTACTGGTAACTTGATTTTTATTATAAAAATATTTTGACTTTAATTATAATTATGTGTTAATAATGTTGGGTCCTATTGTTTTAGAGAACAGATATTCTTTTTTTTATTTCTGAAGATTCTCGATTATGAGATTCCTAATACTTTCTTAGTTTTATGCGAATATTTGATTTTTTTAATAAAACTATCATTGCGTCGGGAACCAATAAATCTAAATAAATCCGCGGAAAAATCCGATGAGATTTAAAAAATATGAGAATTGAGAATCAATTAAGTACAATTATTCCAGATTTTTTTGTTTTGGGAAATTTCTCTTTTCATATTACGTATTAAGTATGGTAGGTAGTATAAAGTGATTTTTGTTTTTTTTTTTAAATGAATTAATTATCTATATAAATAAATTTAGAATGCAGATGGAGTATGAACTAACCAAGGGACTCACTCGAGTGAAGCGTGGGTAGCTAGTTATTTGTTATTTTATAATGTATACATATAATAAAAGTCTAACTGAGTCGAACCTGTACATTAAATGTTTTTCGGAAAAATTTATTGAAATAGTCATTATTATCGATACATAGGCCGAATCTATAGTTAATAGAATGTTTGTTTGTTTATCTGTCTGTCTGGGAACGCACAGCGAGAAAACTACTGGACAGATTTTGATGAAATTTAGTATGATGATAGCTGGTTATCCGAATCAAAATATAGGATACTCTTTACTGTGTGTGTACTAAACGTTAAAATGTAACTAAAAACAAGAGACAAACCCGAACGGAGCGAGGGTGAGTCGCTAATAACAAAATAAAGTTATCGACTTCTATCTTAAATAAAGTACTTTCTGGACTTACACACAGCGCTGGATTTACACTAGGGGCACACGGGGCTAGGGCAAAATTTAGAGGGTGACATTTTTTTATCTTAATGTTATCGAAAATTCTTTTTGTATTTTCCAAAAAAAATAAAAAAATAAAAAAATGTGTAGATAGTTTTTTCGAAAAATGGAAAACATTTTTAAATCATTTTTTTGTATTATTCAAAAAAATTATAATTAAAAGAAATTAAACTTTACCGAAACTTTATTCATTTATGCAAAATTTCGCTAATATGGCGGCATTTTTTACAGTGCCCAGGGGTGGCGCTAAGGTTGAATCAGGTACTGCTTACACAACATAGTTATCTTAATTAAATCTTATTGGCACCAGGAACCTTGCATCACAACCGACCATCAAGAGTGGTATTATTTTTGTTCCTAAAAAATGACTTCATCGACCCCTCAATTAAAGGATAAAAGCGGTGAATTAGCTAATTAATGAATAAATCGATGTCAGAATGTACTTCCGACGATAGCGTTTAATCAGTGCGTGCAATTTATACGGCGACGAAGCTGAAATACGGCTAATGCTCGATCGGCAGCTGAGTTTTGTGCCTTTGTATAAGGTTTGCGTAGTGGGAAGACACATATGTATCCACCTAGACCTATATACGTAACAAAATGTAATTTTATGGATGACTAGCATTGACCGCGGCTTCGCCCGCGTTCAGATGACCAAAATCCAAATACTTAGGTTTTACATATTAATATACTCTTACATTGCAGTTTTTGTATTTTTTCTCAGAAATGAGATAAAAAAGTAAAAAGCGGTAAAAAGTATCCTATATGTTGACCCAGATAACCAGCTATCACCATACTAAATTTCATCGTAATCCCTCCAGTGGTTTTTCTGTGATGTGGTAACAGACAGACAGACAAAAATTCTAAAAACTATAGATTCGGCCTCTGTATCGATAATAAGTCTATTTCGATAAGATTTTCCAAAAAATATAGAATGTACAGATTCAGCTTAGTTACAAATTTATTATATGTATAGATAACTATCATACTTGTAGTTTTATAAAGCCTGTATAATGAAAAAAAAATTGCCTAATAGTTAACATGATAAATCATATATATTTTTTGTTTAAGAAAAAAGTTACAAAGTTTCCTGAAAATATTGACATTAATTCATTATTATCGTATTAAAGAATGGCCTAAAAAAATGTATGTTCTTATTAACTTTTTTCTGTTTAAATTTAAAACATATTATTTTTTAACGTACGAGTATCAGGGAAAGAAATATTTGATCGTCATATATAGGTTTGTTCATAGTATTCCGAGACTAGTATTTACCAATTAAATATATCTAAGAACTTTGCTTTCAAAAACTCCATTCACGAAAGTTCAATTACACGTCAACTACGACCATTGCATTTTCTTATAAAAATGCGATTTCATTTGAAGGAATACGCGAAATGAAACCATGCTTCAAAGTGATATGGAACAATTTAGCTGAAGCAATAAGACGCTGTTAATTTCTATTCGTAGTGAGTAAGTATCGAGAGCAAGCGCAGTGATCTATAGATCTTAGAACATGAAGCAATCTACGAGGTGTAGGTAATGGTGGCAAAGATTAATATTGACCAAACGGTGTTTTATTTATATATTTATGTACCAAAAATTTTTTTTGTATAAAATAGAAAACGGATAGATACAAAGGAAGTGATATATTAGTTATCTCTTTAAGAGATCTCTGTTTTAGGTGATTTTCAAAATGTAATATATCGAAATTATATGTATATTTTTTGACCGACTTTAAAAGGAGGTACTCAATTTGGCTGTATTTTTTTTGTAATGCGTAATGTAATGTTTGCCAAATGTGAATAAAAAATAATTGTTATACATGTGTTTCATATCAATTTATAATTTACTGCATCTGACTGTAAACTAAACTACGCAAGCGGAGCCACGGGCAAAAGATAGTATCCTTTTATATTTGTGTAAAGAGTACGAGGATGTATGTATATTTAAAAAATGTTCGCCGTTCCACGCCCATAAAACTTCTAATTATTGGTTCAACATAACTTTTACTTTATCTTATTTAATTGCAATAATTATTTTATCGTAATTTTTGTTTTATCATTTTCCCTTTTTAGATAAGAAATGTTATTTATTTAGTCTTCATATCAATGACCTCATCAACCTTACCTTGCTTATTGTAATCTTTGATTCAATCAATAACTTTGTGGCTTTTTTGAGTTTAATTTTTTTACTAATTAATAGGTACAACAAAACAATTGTGAAAACTCATTAAAAATAAGAATTGGATTGAATTTTTATTTTTAATAAGTTTTAATTGTTTTTGTGAGAGGGGAATGTTAAATAAATTCGTAAAATTAAGTTCGAAGAGAATTCTTCGAATATTATTATTGTCAGCGAAATTCCTTTAAATACTAATTAATTAATTATTATTGCTTATTAAGTATTAACGTTCCATTTACTCACAACATTTTTTACATACTGACTGTACAGAAGGAATCATCATGTCATTCGCAAATATGTTTCTTAGTATATTTTAGATTTTAAATAAATATCACTGCTTTCTACATATTATTATTCCTATAAAAATGCTAGTTTTGTATGTGAATGTATATCTGTGTGTTTGTTACTTCTTCACGCTGAGAGAGCTGGAAGGATTTTGATAAAAAAAGATAAAGATAGACTATGAAGTAACACAAAGGTATTTTATACAACTAATTAATAATTCTAGAAACTTCAAAATATCAGCTATCTTATATTTTATTCTATGGCAGAGGTCGCGTGCGCGTGCGCCGTTAGCGCGCTGGATATGTTATAATGATCGATACTCCCCTCATTTCCACTGGACCTTGCTCCGGTTACGAGGGTCGTTTTACTAAAGCCCGTAGTGTTTTAGATTAATTTATTTGCACTTTCTTTAGACAGCCTTTGTATTTTGAAAGCTTTTAACTTTATTTATTGCTTGATCTTGAAAGATAGATAGAATATAATGAAAATCAACCTAGTTTTCTGCCACAATTAATCTACTAAGAACATGTGTTATGTATTCAGCCATTTTTAAAATCCCACTGCTGGGTATGGGCTTCCTTTCAATACGAGGGCCATAATCACCACGCTGGTCAAGCGCGAGTTGCCGGACTTCACATGTCTTTCAAAAACTTGTTAGGTTCTCCCTGACATGTAGGTTATAATATTTAATATATGCAAGATTTCTAACTAATGTTTATTTAGTCTTCAAACCTTTACTAAAAACAAAATTACTTAACAAAATAATATACATATATCATAATTTTATTGTTGTTATAATAACAACTTTTCTATTCATAAAGTACAGTGCTGTAGGGTTTTCTATGAAATACATAAAAATAATAACACTTCGAGAATAATTTCTAAAATTACATCCGTTATCTGAGAACTAGCTAAGCTGCTTTAACTTTACTTATTTTAAATTTATTCTTATAGATACTTTATACTTAGTCGTTTGGTTTTTATAGAAAAAACTTGCTTGATGATGTACTCCTTAAAAGTTTAGTTTTAAACCATTAGTAATAATGAACAGTTATCGTATCAACAATACCAATTAAAACATGAAAAATATTAGAATTTAAATAAAAAACTTATCATGAAATTGTATAGATTGTTATATGTATAGAATTGATAGATATTTAGTAACATAATTTAAAAAGGATCTTAAATAAATAAATATTAAAATTTTGAAATTTTCAATATCATTATAAACATACTCGTATATACAAATTACAACACACTTATTTATTTTACTTAACAGTTAACTATTATAATAAAAATACATAGATTATAATAAACAACATTTAATTGGTGGCTTTCAAGCAAACATGCTGAGTTTATGTTTGAGAAAGCCTAATGTAATTAATTGTAGGCACGCGTTCGTTTACGATATAATAAGAGTTTAAGAGTTACTGTTGTGAATCAGCGCAGTACACTTATAAAACTAATATAATTATTCGTTATGGACCTTGTTGATTATTTTATGTGCAATGCTTTATAGAGCCTATTCTTGAGCAAAGTGAATGATTCACATTATATTGCCTTATGACCACATAGTGAATGTTTTGTCGGAAAACGTTAGAATGTAAAAGCGTGACCATACAATAATTAGTTATATATATAAGTTAATCTGATAACGTTATGGTGTCAGACAATAGAGCTTTGTGCTTCTTTATCTTTACCGTTGTTTAGTTTGTAGTGAAATTTTACGCTCACAGACTTTTTAATTGATCCATGGTATTATAATTGTTGTTTTATAAATACAAATATGTTTGACGACACGTTTGGTTCAGTTTGTAGTGACCCTATTTGCTGTGCCAACGGTCGCGGGTTCGAGTCCCGCTCGGGACATTCGTTTGTGTGATGAGCACAAACGTTTGTACTTCCACTGGTGTTTATATTTATAATATGTATATATTTAAAGTTATATATATGTAGTGTATCAACTATCTGGTACCCATAACACAAGCCTCGTAGCTTACCATGGAACTAGATGGTGCTGTGTAATAATGTCCCAACATGTTTATATTTATTTAGTATATATCACAACACAAAATAAACATCAATTAGTCGGAGATGGACGGTTTTATTTAGATTTCTTGTACCAAAAAAATCCTAAAGGAGATGTCTTTACTCGAGTATTATTCAATTTCTAACTAAATGACGCCAACGTCTATGACATTGAGAGTATATTGATAAATACCATTCTTATATTTCGTTTGTGAATGCAGGTAATACTTTCGTTACACACACCTCATAAAAATACCCAGATGTAAAGAAATTTATATATACAAAATAATGACTTTTAACTATTTTGTTAGCCCAATAATAAACATAAAAGTAGTGAAATCGAGTTCTCCACGAGATATTGTAATTACCAAAAGTAACATAAAATATTTTTGTTTTTTATAAATAATTTACTTTTATACATTTAAAATGTTTAAAAGTCCACTAAAACTAATTTGAATTCAATTAAATCGTATTAAATCACAGTAGAAGTAATGAGACATAACTATCATTTGTATCGTTGGTAAAAAGTACAATAGAATAAAAAACTGATAAACTCTCGCATTCCGTATGGTTAGATGTACCGCATGCGCGGTCGTGTGCATCTCTAGTTTTTGCCAGTTTGCTGCTGGGGCTTTGCGCACTGCGGGTTATTTGTTTTTGCTTATTTAGCTATACAGTTTTGCTAGAATAAAATTACTGATATTGCTTACTTTTTTTTAAATTATACAAAAGTATTGCTATGAATTTTATACAATATTTTCTTAAATATTTAGTAAATAATAGAGTAGGTACTTGTTTATTTATACGATTTTAATACATATAATGTACATACCTACATACGTATTTACATGATGTGACCATACCATTCCATTCTTTCGATCGCGATGAAATTTTTGGCAGCTTTAAGTGTGAGTTGAAGTTTATTATTTACTAATTACCTTTTTTCTGTATAGTTTACATAAATTGGAGTAAGGATCCATTTATTTGCACGTGAAGTGTATTAAAAAAAATCTATTTATTTTCATATACTATATGGAATTCCAATGTACCTATTTCAATCATAATGTTATGATTCAGACATCACTAAATATTATAAAATAAACAATTTTGAGTATATTTGTAATATAAAAATTTTGCTTTTACATGTAGATAAGTTATTCAATATACATTTATTATAATCAATCTCCCATCAATAACAACGGAACGTACATATTTTGTAGTAACAGATAATTTCAAGAAAATTCTTGAAATATGGTACTTTTTTAAAATCAAATCTTTAATAGGTGAAACAAACTTGGTATTTTCTTTAAAGTTGCAATGTGGGTGGCAAGCCTTTCATGGCTCCAATACGGTCGTGACGCCATCGAGCTACTTGTATACCCTTTATATTGTTATTTTCAGAATATTTATTTTCATTGGTATAATTAACTTTTAATTAGTTATAAATATTGACACTTGAAAAGTACAGATCTACTTACTTAATAGCTAATAAATAAGCGAGAATATCTTACGAGTATCTTTATCGGTGACAAGAAAGCTGGCTCGATTTTTATTTAAAAAAATCTACATTCCAATTCAGTAGAAGAATGCAGCTAGCATTCTTGCCACAATTCCATGTGTAATTTGTAGGCTAATTAATACGTGTACATTTGTTTTGCATATTTTTATTGTATTTTTCGTCTGGTAGTTATAGTGTTCATAATGAATATTAAAAAAAGGCAGTGGTAGCACAGTGGTAACGCGTTCAAATCCCGGGTCTCGCACCTCTAATATTTTCATGTGCGAATCATTTCTAACATGACTACCACTTGTCTTACGGTGAAGGAAAACATCGTGAGGAAACCTGCATGTCTGAGAGAACCTAGCAAGTTTTCAAAAGACATGTGAATCCGCCAACCCGCACTCGGCCAGGGTGGTGGACTATGGCTTGATCCCCCTCGTATTGAAGGGAGGCCCACCCCCAGCAGTGGAACGTTAAAAAGTGCTCAATAGATACATATGTATATACAATGAATATTATATACAAAATAAGACTATTTATAGCTTGACTTATGTTGCTTGAACTTATAATTTACTTAAGATTTCATAGCTTAGTAATGTTAGGTTTTATAGTAGAATAGCGACTCACCCTCGCTTCGCTTGGGTTCGTCCCTAGCTTGATTCCCCATACAAACTTTCATCCCCATTTTCACCCCCTTAAGGGATGATTTCCAGGATTAAAAGTATTCTATGTCCTTCTCCTGTCTAAAACTATATTTTTACCAAATTTCATCTAAATCGGTAATATTAGTATAGAATAAGAAATAATTTGGCTCGCATTCCGAAGACAATGTGAATGTCATCAAACACATCAGCTACCGCTTGGCACTCGGGTAATATTTTATCCGACGGTCTTCATTGCTCCGATCGAAATTATGTAGAGATGTTCCTGAGCTCATGTCAATATAGTCGATTGTAAACTTAATATTTTGTAAATTGTTATTGTATATCAAATTTAATATTGAAATATAAAATATATTATATAATATTTTCATAGGTATGCATAAAATATGCTTAAACTGAATTATCGAAGTTGTCACAAAGTTTACTTTACTCATTTGAGACAGATATTTTTGTTATAAGTAATTAATTAAATAAATATATACTCAAATGATTCATACTATCACGTCAATAAGCAGAGAAGGGAGATATATTTTCTTATTTTGCCATTGGTTAATGCATAGAATTTTAATGCTATTGAAGAGAAAATATTTTTTAAAATTGCCTTACATTCTAAAAATTGTTAAATAGTTAATACTCAAAAACTTATCGATGAAAAAGTTAATATTAACATCCCTAAAAAGCGAGAGAAAGAGGTGTGCGCCGGTTGCTCTCATTAATCTTTCATTTCTACGTTATATTATTAGAGGAACAGGTTTGCACGGATGCTGTGGGGGGAGGGACGTGAACCCAAGTGAACCCTCGGTAGCACCTGCCGCGTCCGGCCTGAGTAAGGCTGCCTCTACATTGTTTGTAAATGCAAAAATATTATATATACAATTCATATATAAAAGGAAGTGATAAAAAAAGATGAAAAAATATTAAAATTCTCTGTAAATTTAATAAAATTAATATAATATTATTAACATATAATAAAAAGTAGTGGTTTTGATAATAGATAAGGGTTTTTACAGCTTTTTAGTTTTAAATGTATGATTCCATAAAAAATATTTAGCATAATCGAACTTTTTTATTGGCAAGTGAAGCGTCACCCTTAGGTTTTACTTCTATCCTATGTAA